GGGGCTGCCATAACAACCATGGATCTGTTTCATTGTATTTCTGGCTAGCACACATTGCATATCATTTCATTCATTCGCTCACTTGCTCACTCACTCACTCATTGATTCATTCATTGTACTTTGGCAAGTGGAAGGTGGTCTGAAAGGAAGGGATTTTATAGCCGTTCCCCTTTCCTGATGAATCTACTTTCTATTTAGATTAGGCTTGTAGCAGCTATCCCTCTTTGCAAAAAAAAAAAGAAAGAAAAAGAAAGAAAAAAAAGGCATGACTTTTTTAAGGAGGCACAGAGAGCATTCCCACCTGATATCAAGCATTTTTCCCACTTTGGATCTGAACAGCTACATTCTGTCCACAAATATTCGTGATGTCTGTTTCAGAACACTTGCAATTATCTTTAGTAGGGATTTTTCTTTTCTAAAATTCTAACAATTTCAGCCTACATTTATTCACTTAACACTTATATTTCATAAATATGAGTTACATAAATCAGGGGTCTCGAACCTTGGTCACTTTAAGATTTGTGGACTTCAACTTGGCTGGGGAATTCTGGGAGTTGAACTCCACAAATCTCAAAGTGGTCAAGGTTGGAGACCCCTGATCTAAATTAGTCACATGTTGAACTGTATGGAAATTGAAAAGACTAGTGATACCACCTATATAGTGTGTGCAGTTCAACTTTTTTATTTCAGATTCCATGGTATTTTTGTCAAGTAATTATTTATTTTGGAGATAGTGTAGCAGTTCAGCTGCCATGCTAGAAACCAGGAGACTGTGAATTCTAGTCCTGCCTTAAGTATAAAGGTGACCTTGGGCTAGTCACTCTCCCTTAGTCCTAGGACCGTTATGGCGAACCTGTGGCATGCGTGCCACAGGAGGCACACGTAGCCATATCAGTGGACATGCAAGCTCAATTCCGATGTGCATGCGCGCACCAGCCAGCTGATTTGCGGGGATTCTGGGCCCACCAGAAGTAGGGAAACAAGCTGTTTCCTGCCTCCAGATGGCCTCGGGGGGAGGGGGCAGGTCTGTTTTTTGCTGTCCCCAGCCTCCAGAGCCTCTCTAGGAGTCTGGGGAGGGTGAAAACGGCCTTCCCCACCCCACCCCTGGAGGCCCTTCAGAGGCTGAAAACAGCCTGTTTGCCAACTTCCCGGAATGGGCCGTTTCTGGCCTCGGTGATGGGGGAGGCTGTTTTCGCCCTCCCTAGACTCCTAGAAAGGCTTTGGACCCAGGTGAGAGAGAAAAACAGGCCTACCGGGCTATCGCATGCCAGGAGTGGGGGGGGGAGAGAGGTCGTCCATGCATGTGCGGGGGCGGGGCGCAGAGAATTATGGGTCTAGGCCATAATTCTTTATATTAATGATAGGATATAAGGTAGAAAGCTATATTTGAAAATTAACTTAGTAATCATGCTTCTTAATAATATCTAAGATTACGTTTGAAACAAAATATAGGAGTAGCTTTACTCTAATAACATCAGTATACCGTATTTTCCGGCGTATAAGCGACTTTTTAACACATGAAAATCTTCTCAAAAGTCGGGGATCGTCTTATACGCCGGGTGTCGTTCTCCTGTAACCAGGCAGACCAGCCCGAAAGGCTCTGACAAGCCTTAAATGGCTCTGACGATCCAAGCCCTGACGATCTGCTAATCAGGCAACTCAGCTGGGATCGCCAGAGCCATGGAGAAGGAAAAAAGTTTTCCCCCTCCAGCTTGCTTACCTTAGCTGCTTGCCTTGCCTTGCTTCACTTGCCTGAATCCATTCCATCAGCAAGCAACTCCCTGCCTGCAATCAAACAGGCAGGGAGTTGTGGACTTCAACTCCCAGAATTCCTCAGCCAGCAAAACAAAGCTGGCTGAGGAATTCTGGGAGTTGAAGTCTACAAGTCTTAAAGTTGCCAAGGTTGGAGACCCCTGTTCTATTGGGTAAGTTTTTTTCCCCTTTGGGATCTTTAAAAAAAATAGTTAATTGTGGGTTTTTTTAGTTGTTCTTTTTTAGACCTAGCCATTTAAAGTTTAGAAAGTTTTAAATTTAGCTTTCATATAAAAATAAAAATAAAATAAAATAAAATAATATTTGTGCAGCTTTCTGAGATTTAGTATGTTTTTGTAGTGTTTCACTCTAACTACACAAACACACAAAATCTCAAAAAGCTGTATGTGGAATTTTGTGTGTGTAAAGTGTGAAAGTTGTTTTTTTGGGCTTTTTGTGGCTGTGTGAGGTTCCTGCTTGTTTCAGGGGCCATTTTGGGTCTAGCACAGCTGCTTTTACATTGTGGGTGAGCCAGTTGATGTTTTTTAATTTTTATTTGGTGTGCGTTGGAAGAGGGGTAGTCTTATATGGCGAGTATAGCCCAAACCCTATATTTTAACAGGAAAATTCGGGGGTCGTCTTATACGCCCAGTCGTCTTATACGCCGGAAAATACGGTAGTTACAAAACTTTAAAATAAAATATGGTAATCATATATTCTAAACAGTTCTATTCTCTCAAAAGATTAAATACAGGTATTAGCAGTATTCTAAGTAACTTTTATTAAGCTGGAATGAGCATTGTATAATCAGTTTACCAGTTATCCATGCAGTCTAAGGGTGGACAAAGAAACAAAAAAGCTTAATCTTTCTTAGAAAGCAGTAGCATTCCCCTCACCCCAATTTGACCTTTTACTGTCTGAATAAGTAATGGCAGTTTGTTCATATATCTAAAAAATATAATTACTAGGTATGATGAGGCAATAGAATTCCAGAAAGTAATCAAATATTGATTACAGTCTGTTTTACATTGAGTACCTCTTATTAATTTGGAAGTATGGTTGAATACATACCAGAAATCAGGAAACCATGAATTCTAAACCTGCTAGAGCACAAAGCCAACATTGTGATATTTGAACACTGACATACTCTCAGCCCTAGGAAGCAGGCAATGGCAAACCCTTCCAAAATCTTGCTAAGAAAACTGCAGGGACTTGTTTGGGCAATTACTAGGAGTTAACACTGACTTGAAGGTACACATATGCAAAAAAAACCCCCATAGCAATTCTCTGCTATGAGAATTTATGCAGCGCTCTTTTAAATAAATTAACTGAACCTACAAGATATTAAAAAATAATCACATTTACCCCCCCCCCCCAATTGTTCATCCATGAATTTGAAAGTGGGAAGATATATTTACTGAGAATAGAAGGAGATGCTAATGGTTGCAGATACCTAAAAGTTAAATTTCTGTTTACATAATAATTTTTAATTCTTTCTGTAACTTTTGAATAGTGTATACAATTTCTTCATTGCAGGTACTCATTCTGTATTCATAGGAGTAAAAGAATAAAGAAAGAAATACTTCAGTACCCCAATATTTAGTTCAACTTACATTAAGTAACTTGAAATAAATAGATTCATCCCCATTAGAGCAGCAGGTATTATACTTATCTGGGAGTAAGAGCCATTGAATTCATTAATTTTATTTATAGAGTCTATAAAGATGGTTTATACACAGAGTAATTATGCCTTTTTTTTTAGAGCAGTGTTTCTTAGCCTTGGCAGCTTTCAAATGTGGCCTCCAACTCCCAGAAATCTTTAGCCAGCCTCAGTACTATAAGGCTATAAGATATAAATATATACAAAGCCAAGGGTAATCCACTATTGATTTTGATGGGTATGTGTGAGCAAGCTTGATTGTCAGGATCAGGGAAGGAAGCAAAGCAGGGTACTGTAGAGTACATCTCTATTTTTTTTTTCTTTTGTCTTGTGGAAATTGTTTCCTTTCAGGTAACTCTGAACAGGCATCAGAGTTAATATCTTTGGGGTGTGTGTGTGTAAATAGGTTGTTTTGACTTCACTAAGTTACCAATTTAGCTTAAAAGGAAAGGCTACTTGACTTCATTTCCTAAAGTTCAGTCGACATTTATCTATTTGACTAACCAAATTGATTTCAACTGAAAGATTTTTTTAGAATAATTTACAAGAGTGAAGATGAAGACAAAAGCAATAGAATTACATTACATTAAATCATATAAATACAGTTTATAGAATTGTTCCATGTATTGATGTCAGCTCTTTGAGATACGTTGGTTCAAAGAGAACCAAGATGGGGCAATCTTGAGTTTCTGTCTCAGTCCTCCTCTCTTTTTAAGACTAAACTATTGCTTACATAACTGAATTTCTTCTTCAAGCTTTTTTTTTTTTTTTGTTCTCCACAGTTTTTAACAGTTTTCCTCTTTTATCTCATATGAAAACTCCACTGTGGTTATAGTGCTTAAAGAAATCATGTGTAGTGATTTCAAGAGTTGGTATTGCACTATGACCACTTTTTACTCCTCTGGTTTATTTTGTATACTTCAGATAGTTCAGGATGAATTTTGAAAAAAATCCCCTATTTTTGTTCTGAACTCAAGGAAAAAATGTCATTAATTCTTACTGATCTGTGCTTAAGGGAGATCTTTAAGATTGGTAGTAAAAGTTGGACAAAAATTATACAAGCTAGTGCTGAACTGATGTTTTCTATAGTCAGTTGTATATCTAGTATCTCAGTAGAGGTTTTAAACTGAAAAGACCCTCTTTCATTTATCTATTTTCAGTGATACTATAATTCAGTATGTGACAGTGATAGAGGTTGATGAACTTGCTTCTTCTATGCTTTATGTATTTGTGTTACTCCATATGAAGAGATGATACATTTCTATGTTGGTTATCAAAGACTGCAACTAATTCTAGTAATGAGATTAATCTAGTAATGAAATCATTTCACATGAAGTATTGTTTTGTGGGGGTGATAATAAATTGGGATTGTGAGCTTTATCTATCTAAGGGATTATATGTAGTGGGGAATTTAAAACAAAATAGTTTCGATCTTGTAGAACCAACTTCTTGAGAAACTTAACTTCTTTCTAGCTTGCGTTTAAAATAATAGTTATGGTTCCTCCAAGCTAAGCCCCAGGAAGAGGCTTAAAAAAATCACTTTTCTAATTTTTGCTGAACTCAAAAATGCTTTGTCTCCTTCTGATAGTGTCAGCAGCAGCAGACTCCTTCAGTTCAGCAGGCTAGTATGGTATCAACTGCTATGGGATCAGGAGCACCTACAGCAGACCCAGAAAAACGCAAGCTTATACAGCAGCAACTTGTTCTCCTCTTGCATGCTCACAAATGTCAAAGACGGGAGCAAGCAAATGGAGAAGTACGACAGTGTAACCTCCCTCACTGTCGAACCATGAAGAATGTCCTCAACCACATGACACATTGCCAGGCTGGAAAATCTTGTCAAGGTAAGTACAACTTCTGATTTTCTATATACTTGTGATCATGTTCTGTACAGCAGAGATTGGCAAAAATTAAATCTTAATCTAATGTTAGTACTTTGGATGATTTGTTGGAAGTTAAGAATTTATGTTAAACTTACTTAACATGAGCAACAATAAAACTACTTGCTTTTGCTTAGACTATATTATACTGCTGAAATGAAAACTGGTTTGTAGTTCTAGTATTTAATAGAATGATGAATTTGAGATCAGATTTATTGATTTATTTAGCATATGGTGTTTGTTCATTGAGAGCCAGTGAGTCTAAAATGTTAGTACAAAATAGTTTGGCTGCCTAAGATTGCTAGTTTCATCCAGGGTACACCGTAGGGGTGAATTAGCTCCACCCACAGAGTGTCTAACAGTGTTCTGTGCAAACATCATCTGGAGCTTTTCTAAGCTGAATTTGCCTCGCATTCAGGCAGGTCCAGGGTTAATTGGTTTCTTGCTATTTCACAAAGCGCCGTTAGCTTCCCATCAGAGTGGTACCTATTTATCTACTTGTATTTTGCATGATTTTGAACTGCTATGTTGATAGAAGCTGAGGCAAATGACAAGAGCTCACTCGATCCCACAATGCTAGGGCTCAAACTGCTGGAGGACAGAGAGAGACGACCTTTTCCACCCGGCAAATCCAGCGTCTTTAAGCCACTGAGCCACAGTGCCTCGTGAGATCAGAGTTATAAATGCACTGAAAGTTTAGTAAGCATCTTGGTTTCTACTATGTAAGAAAAAAGAATGGTCTAAATGATTTATTACAATATGTCCAGAAACTATAACCTGTGCTTGGTTGGAATGAATCCACAAGTATTTTAATGGTCACAACAGGGGTAGGCTTTCTAATTCTAGGAGCCTACATGTTTTAAAAGTTGAAATTATATTGTACCAGTAGATTTCAGTTTGTATAGATAGTTTAAGAAATGTTCAGGGTTGTGTGAGTCACAAAATGTTTTTTTACTTTCTTTTAGTGGCTCATTGTGCATCTTCACGACAAATCATATCTCACTGGAAGAATTGTACCCGGCATGATTGTCCTGTGTGTCTTCCTCTTAAAAATGCTGGGGATAAAAGAAATCAACAATGTAAGAAGTTCTTTACACCCTTTATATTTACTGTTATAATATCATTGTTAGGTTATTAATAAAATCAGAATCTTATGTATACTGTAATTTCATAGGTTTTTTTTTCAATGTTATGCAAGGTAAAATGCCTGAGACTGAAAATCTTTTATAGCAGTGGTGTCAAATTCAAGGCCTGAGGGCCGTCCGTCCTGGAAATAACAAAGGACCGGCCTGGGTGCCTCTGGCAGCCAAAACAGGGCACTGTTTGGTAGGCAGGATGCTACAGGAGGCAACATCCTGTCTCCCCCCTCCTGGCTGGTCCATGGAGGAGAACTACAATGCTGATCCGGCCCTTGAAGAAATCCAGTTTGACACCCCTGTTTTGTAGGACAAACAGTGCATCAAAAGATGTATTTCTGTTTATTGCATTAATTTATGTGCTGCCTCCTGGGACACTAAGCACTTAGAATGTAATAAAGATGCCTGTTCATTTTTTAGTTTTCTTCCTGTACTTTCATCCAGGGGTGAAATGCTCCCGTTCCGGACCGGATCACCCGATCCGGTAGCGATGGCAGCAGGTGGTTCGGAGAACCGGTAGCAAAAATCCCTGCCCCCCCCCCATGCCCCACTGAGCCGCGCGATCATCAGAGGCTTTTTTTTTTTTACTTAAAAGCATTTTTTCTACAAACTCTTCGGCCGATAAAATGCTTTTAAAAGTAAAAAAAAAAAGCCTCAAGATTGCGCAGCTCAGCTGGGATGGTCAGAGGCTTTTAAAAGCATTTTTTTTACAACCTCTTCGGCTGAAGAGGTTGTAGAAAAAAATGCTTTTAAAAGCCTCTGACCATCCCAGCTGAGTTGCCTGATGGTCAGAGGCTTTTAAAAGAATTTTTTTCTGCAACCTTTTAAGGTTGTAGAAAAAATGCTTTTAAAAGTTAAAAAAAAAAAAAAGTTGGCCACGCCCATGCAGTCACATTACACCACCACCACCACGAAGCCACACCCACAGAACTGGTAGTAACAAATTTTACATTTCACCACTGCTTTCATCCATGTATTGCAGCCTTTGCTATCCTGCATTTACAGAGGTTATAACGATAAGAAAGTCCACAAAAGCTTTCAGAACAAAAATCTCTTAAAATGAGTTCCTCAATTACAATTGCAGTAGTTTAATTAATAAAACTTTACTTGGATGAGAACAATCAGTATACCAGGTTTTGTTAGGTCAGGTTAAGAAAGTAACATATTTAACCTTTTCAATGCCTGTAGGAGTGACATTTTAGTAAATCAATATTTCTTCATTGATGAAAGGTATATACCATTCTTCCCCCATAGTTGTGCTTTTATTTTTCATTTTTTTCCTTGCCTCTCCTCTACACAACTCTTGATCAAGCTGAATAATTGGCAGAAATGACCAAGACGTATGTAATAATAATTTTAAAATAATAAGAATGCAAAATGTTTATAAAATGAGCACAAAATTATTTTATGAAAACTTAATTCTGATGAGTTTAACACTTAGACATTAATGTTGTTGAATGGGCTCAAGTTTTGCTTCAAAAATGGCATTCATTGGGGGGGAAGTTTTTAACAGCTACAATGACTAGCATTTCCTGATTCCATGGTTATTTTGGGGGGCACTGCTGTTCCATCTTTTCACTTGCCATGTCAGCAGGTCTAATGAATCCTATTACAGAGAGCAAAATTTCTGTCATATGAATGGGCTTTTTAGAGAGCTCTTTTGACTAGGCTTGTCTCCAATTCTGTAATTTGATCAATGTAATAAAATAAGGGGAAAAATTCTCACTTGAGTCTGAAATCCTGATTAATGACAAAAAAAAAAATCCAAAAAAATGTTTCTCATCAAGAACTTTAAATGGAGTATTTATCTCAACAATTTTTTGATGTCCTGATTCTGCCCAAACTACAGATAGATCTTGACTTACAACAGTTCATTTAGTGACCGTTCAAAGTTACATCATCACTGAAAAAAATGTGACATGACCATTTTTCACACTTACGACCGTTGTAGCATCCCCGTGGTCACATGATTTACACTCAGATTCTTGACAACTGACTCACATTTATGACAGTTGCAGTGTCCTGGAGTCGTGTGATCCCCTTTTGCAACCTTCTGACAAGCAAAGTCACTAGGGAAACCAGATTCACTTAACAACCATGTTATTAATTTAAGAATTGCAGTGATTCACTTAACAAATGTGGTGCGAAAAGTCGTAAAATGGAGCAAACTCACTTAATTTTCTTACTTAACAACATAAATTTTGGGCTTAATTGTGGTCATAACTTGATTACCTGTATAATGTGGCATATTTGATTTTGATATAATATGCTATATGGTTTTTGATGTTTATTTAAAAATATGGATTACTATCAGTCCAGCTGGGTTTTTTTTAATCACTTCTCCATCTTTGTGTTTTCATTGCTTCTAGCATTATTAGGTGGTGCTGCAGTAGGAATTGGAAATTCTGGTTCTGTGGGAGTTGGGCAGCAGACAACACCCAACATAAATGCTACTAACCAGATTGACCCCAGCTCTATTGAAAGGGCTTATGCAGCTCTGGGGCTGACATATCAAGGGAATCAGATGCCAACGCAGACACAGGCTCAAGTGAAAAGTCAGCAGCAAGGACAGTCACCACAGGGGCTTCGTCCCATGAATCCCACAAGTAAGTTCACAGAAGACAAAATATATGTCTCCTATTGTTGTCTTTATCTTATTGATGAGTATTTCTCTCTGAAGTGCCAAAAGAAATTTAAATTATTAGAAAATTGTTACAAAAATTGAAATTTTTGATAAAAAAAATTGATATCTTTTTTTTTTAAACTTAATTATTTGGTACATATTCCTATGGGGGAGGGGGAAGTATCTTGGAAGTGTGGCTGTAATTTTTGCTTGATGTGCCTGTGGTCTCAGCAATTAACTAGGTCTCCCTTAAGAATCCTACTGTATTTCTCATGAAGGAGATTTCTCTAGTAATGGTAATTATTTGATGCAAATGTTTCAAACTTTGAATATGTTTAAGTTATAAAAATCAGGGATGGAGTGCATTCTTACACTGTACAGGTATAATACAAACTAATACACATTAAGGCTTTGCATTTTGTAAAACAACATAGTAAAGATTTAATTAGGATGTTTGGGCTTTGTTTTGTTTTTCCTATATAGGTGCTAATCCTATGGGAGTGAATGGAGGAGTTGGAGTTCAAGGCCAGAATCTGCTACCAGATGCAATGTTGCATTCAGCTGTAAATTCTCAAAAGTAAGATTACTTTCATTTAAATCATAACCTATAAAATTAGTAAAGATGGGTGGTTGCTATAGTTGAAAGATTTTCAGGTAATTTAGCACCAATAAGAAACTTTACAGATTGATTCCAGCATCCTAACCTGAGCCTGGAAATGCATTGATTAGTGCTGCCCATCCACTACTTATTAAATTACCCAAACCATTTAAAAATCACTAAGACTGGGAACAGCATTTTGTACCAGCTGAATTTCCATTACTACATTACACTACATTACCCTGTGAGGTAGTAATTCAGACTGGATATTACTATTACTGAGATTGAAGGCTTTTTTTTTTCTTTTTCTGGTAAAGCTACAGCTGGTATACATTCTAAATCGGTTAATTCCTAAATATAGCATGATCTGTTTTGGATGATGCCAAGTAAAGGAAAACATCCAAGTAGTGCATCTGAAATGCAGTCATATATAAGACCAGATACAATCCTCATTCAAGGCAGTTGATTAGTTTTTTACAATAGCTCCATCTTGTCAGGTTAGATTAGATCTGCATTAGATCTTCTCAAGGAACTGGAGTAAAATCTTGTAAACACAAAAATATTGAAATTTATTTTATTTTGAATGTTCTCATGTGAAGGTTATCATAACATCTAGAAATTCTAGAAAATTTCATTTTTAAAAAGAACAGCAGGATTCCATGTTTCTTTTCTCAGTAAAAAATAATTGTATTGGAGTATTGAAAAAAGTTTGACCATAGTCACTAAAAAGATCAGAGTATTGGATGTAAAAGTAGATATGATTGAGCTGAATGAAGTAGATATCTCCACTAGAAGTTAATATAAAGTATGAATAAATACTTACACTTATTTTTCTGCATTTTTTCCTAATATACTTAGTAATTCATTGTATTTTAGGACAGGTGGAAATCAAATGTATTTCATTTTACTCTTTATCAGGCAGTCCTCGATATACAACCACAATTGAGCTCAAAATTTCCATTGCTAAACAGCACAGTTGTTTTCCCCCATTTTATGATCTTTCTTGCCACAGTTGTTAAGTAAATATAGATTACTAATAAAAAAAACATTTAAAAAATAATTGATCAAGTATTGTAGTTGGAAATGCATATGTTTTCTGAAGAAACATATATTCAGAAGTACAGCATTGACAGAAGACTTAGTGACTATGATGACTTGCTGGATTTTTATTCCCAATATCAAACCCATAACATAATTCTTAAATGCTTCCTTATTTCCCCAAATAAAACTTTCAGAGGTATATAAGAATATTATGAGTTCTTTTTCTAATTTTTGTTTGATTTTAATCTTGATAATTTGACAAGAGATATTGAAGCTCACATTTAGGAAATAAAAATCATTTGGGGGGAAACACAAAGGTTTATCTGTCTAAGATGACATACAACACACCTGATCGTGCAGAACAGGAAACTTTTTATAAATATAAGAGGGCTACACCAGTAAAATAAACTATCTTGTCTTCTATATAGGGCAGTGATGGCTAACCTTTTTGCTGTCGCGTGCCAAAAGCGTGGGGAGGATGGGGGGGTTGCACGCGTGCGTGCCCACACCCATAATTCAATGCCCCCTGCCCCCCATGCATGCATGCATGCGCGACGCCCCCCACGTTCCCCCCGCTTTTGGCACGTAATGGCACAGTGGGACCAGTAGGCCCATTTTTTGCCTTCCCAGGCTCCAGAGGCTTTCTTGGAGCCTGGGGAGGGCAAAAACAGCCTTCCCCAACCCACCCGGAGGCCCTCCGGAGGCTGGAAACAGCCCATTTCCCGACTTCCAGTGGGCCCGGAAGGCCCAAAAATCAGCTGGCCGATGCACGCTGGAGCTGAACTAGGGCAACGCTCACGTGCCCACAGATATGGCTCCATGTGCCACCTGTGGCACGTGTGCCATAGGTTCGCCATCACGGATATAGGGTATCACTAAAGTTTGTTTTATGGTGCCTCATAAGTTTCTACTTTGTTTTCAGTCCTATGTTGAATGAAAATGCAAATGTTGCTGGTCTGGGAACTATGCCAACTGCAACACATCCTTCTGGTATTGGAATTCGGAAACCATGGCATGAAGATATTACTCAGGATCTCAGAAACCACCTTGTTCATAAACTGTATGTACTGATGAAATATTCAGACTTCTAAACAAATCTTATAAATAAAACAATATAATGAGAATGGTAAACATAATATAACAAAATATAAATCCGTAATGTTTTTTCACAATATGTAATGGTAATTATTGATTTCTTCTTTACTTATGTAACTGTGGAAACTGTCTTTATAGCATGTTGAACTAGATATAGGGCGAGAATCTAAAGTTAAGGCCATAACGTTTCTAATGAAAAGAGAAATTGATATGTCCATATAGTGTAAGAAATACTCATAATTGCTGCTTTGATGGGGCAATAAATTCTATTGATAAGGAAGCAAGATATCTTCATTATTTCCAGGACTAAAACGTTAGTGCACAGCAACATTGTATAGTTGAAAAATTGTATCATTTTATAGTCATGCATACCCATCAAGCGGTTTTCTTTCAATATAAGCAGTATTATGCAAAGCAAAGAAAAAAGTGAAATAAATAAATGGCAGAAGATAGAAAAGGAACTTCAAAACCATTTTTTAAAAAAAACATTCACTATACCTCCCCAGGATTTTCTTTCCTTTCATGCTGGCTTTGCTTCCACCATAGCAATACACTATAACTTGACTTTTGTTCTTTAAAGTATTCACCTGACTTTTTTTTTTGAGACCTTATCAACTTCAACTAACTACAGTTTTCTTGATTTTCCCTTTCCTCTTAACTAATTTTGTCTTCCTGTATGACCAATCCATTTCAGTATATTGTTTTTGTATAACTTCCTTTTGTATTCAGTCCATTTTATTTTCAAATGTATAGTGCTTTTTTTCTCAGAGTTGTACATTTGGACTGTATACAGTCATTCTTGGCATTAAACCATGTCACACTTCCCAAATTTTGCTCATTTTCACTTCCTTCTCAATCATAATTTTACCCAACACAGTCCCACACTTTATAATAAATCTCACTGTAGATTTTGCATTCATTGTTATATCTTCCCTTTGTATAAAGGAACTATAATACCATTATTCCAATTGCCATAGATAGATATAGTCTTTGCACACATACTAAAAAGGTTACATAGCCAATCTGTCACAATCCTATAAATTCCTACTTTCATATATACCAACATTAGAGGTATCTAGTAGTTGAGCTCTGACCTGAACTAGATGGCACCTGATCAATCAATCTAAATTAAACCAATTTCTACCCTCTTTATGTCATATGTTTTAACTTTTCCATTCATAATTTAAACTATGTATTCATCAAGGTCTTAGATAATTAACATGCCAAGTTTGGAGTTGTAATCCTGGAAAAAATGGACAGGATCCTCAGATCTGCTAACTTGGCTACCTGTCTATTTGATCATTACACCTTGTGGCTCATGAAGACTGCTTGGAGGGGATATAAAATTGCACCCTTGCAGCAGTTTTTGTTTTGTTGAAGGAGTGGGTAGTTTTGGCTATCATTGGAGTCAGTGGTTCGGGACAATTTTTGTCCAGGTTCCATGGTATCCCCCAACCATGTTTTATGAGCTGCATTGGTTAACAGCAGGAGTCTGGATGCAATTCAAGGCACCTGTTATTACCTCTAAAGCCATTTATGGTATAGGGCCTGGTTATCTGAAGGGCCATCTGTCCTTCATAATTTCTGCTATCCTGTATGATCAGGCAGAGTCAGCACACTTCAAGTGCCATCCATTGAATAGTGTTATCTGACGGGGCCTAGGAAGCATGCCTTTCTATAACCTATGCCTGCCATCTGGAACAGCCCCTTAGCGATTATTCAGAGCACTTTGGGCTATAGTGGGTGCAGTTTTGTTGTGTTATATGGCTCTTTTTTAAAGCTTGGGGCGGGTGTTGTTTGTTTTATGGATGTCTGATCTTCTGTATGTATTTCTAAATTATTTTAATATTGCATGTGGCCCACAATGGCAGTAGAATTGAATGGCCTTATAAATATAATTATAAAATTCCCTCTATTCCATATGATCAGACAATTTTAATTTCAATATAGTATATCCTTTCCTTTTCTCCTAGTCTATCATATACCATGGTTGTCAACTTTTGAGGTTATGGATACATGGCCCAGATATTGTGTTTTAAGTGTCTGTTGACTAAAATAAAATACATTGATAAAAAGCTATTATAACCAGTAATAATTAGTAATGTGTTTATTATTTTATTTATTATTCAGAATGTCTACAAATAGTTAACAATATATTGCAATATTTGCAATATATTATTCTGCCTGTAGAAAGTTATCTTAATTTTCCTTTGCAGAAGAACAGCATTTCCTTTTTATAAGGGAGCTAAAAATAAACCAAGTATATTTTTTTAATGGGACACCCATTGGTCCCCAGGATTTAGGATTCTGTAGGGCCTATTTGATCTACATGGATGTGTGTCAAATAGCAGCTATTTACAAGGCATGAGTATATCAGTGGCAAGAAAAAAGTGCCTTATCACTAGAGAAACTGGCAAGAAAGAAAAGTTTAATATGGTTCAGTAGTGAAATCCAAATTTTTTTAATACCGGTTCTGTGGGCGTGGCTTGGTGGGTGTGACAGGGGAAGGATACTGCAAAATCTCCATTCCCACCCCACTCTGGGGCCAGCCAGAGGTGGTATTTGCTGGTTCTCCGAACTACTCAAAATTTCCACTACTGGTTTTACGAACTGCTCAAAATGTCCGCTACCGGTTCTCCAGAACCTGTCAGAACCTGCTGGATTTCACCCTTGGTAGGGTACCATTGGATTGGAGTTAACCAAGAAAGGAACTTGATTCTTCCTTTCTATATTAGTTGGGAAACAAAGTTGCTAGTTTTATGCCTAAATTTGAAAATCAAATAAAGATCTTAAGTTACAGGAATACAGATTTCTCTTTAGTGTTAAGACATTTAAAACAATTAAGGGAAGTAGAGAGTTTACTTTCACTGTATGTATGTGAGTAGAGGTTGGAAATCCCTTTGTCGATAGTGCTTTAATTTGGATCCCTGCATTAACCACGGTTACAGAATTGATTTTGAAAAACCATCAAGCAAAAAAAAAAAAAATCATGCACAGAGATATCTCGGAACAGCTTACAAAGTAACAAAGCAAGCTGGTTAAAGACATGGCTGTTGTAATGATGAAAAGAAAAGTACTTTGTCCATGCTTCTGCACGTTGTCAGTCATCTTTTTCAAACAGTTTCCATACCTCTAATTGCTAAACATCCTTTGGGCCTAGACTTCAGCAGCTATGATCTACTGGCTCTTGTGGTAAACCACTGGAAGAGTCAGCTATAATTTTCTATCATAGCTACAGTATGAAAGCTACAAAGTAATTCCAGAAACCCAAGTAATCCAGTGCTTTCTGTTGATCTGATAGGGCTGAAAAAGGTTGCATTGACTGTGCAGCAGTCAACACAATCTTTTGTGCCTGGCTGTATTCTGTTGTATTGAATTACCATTCCTGTTACTTCCAGGTAGCAAGGGCAATGAAAGCTTTGGTCTGGCACATTTTGGAGGGGTCCTGAGTCAAGGAAGGCTGTTCTGTTAGATATCCGTTATTTCCATATTACAAGAAGTTGTGCTGCTGTGATTTGGCAAGACTATTTTGTATTAAACTTAAATAAGGCTGGGTGTACAAGCTTTCAGTAAGTTTTTTTTTTTTATTGTTTGAGTGCCAACATAACTGCAGAGTTCCTATATGTTTCTCACTTATAGCAGCATTGATAAGAATATCACAAGAAAGATAAAATACTTGTGGGCTAAGTAACTCCCTTCTCTTCCCTATTTTGATATGGCTAAATTAAAATTACTTGAATTGCTTCTCTCCCTTCTTGGCACTGATACTTTAGTTCATAATGATAACATTTTCTGGATTTCTAAACATACCGGGAAGTGTGAGATCGAATTTGGGTCAGTCACCTGGTCCAGAGATTTACTCTTCCCAAATTTTGGACTCATGCTGGAACCCATCTTCAGGGAACTTCTCTCTACTGGAATACGTGCTTTGGGCTGTTCTATGAGTTGTGTTTATGTGGTGCCTTCCTATTGGTGGCTGTTGTTTCCTTGTGCTGCCAAGCCCTCAGCTGCTAAGCCAATAGAGAGAAGCTCCCTGAAGATGGGCTCCAACATGAGTCCAAAAGCTCAGAAGGGTAAATCTCTAGCCCTGGTGAGTGCAAATTCGACCTCACATCATTATCCTGGGAAACGTATATTTGCCTTCATACTGGGAAGTGTTGAGGATTGTTTTGATTTATCAGCCAACCAACTACTTTTTATTCCTAAAGGAAATATGAATGCCATATTGAAGTGAAACATGGTGGTATTATGTAATACAAAGCTTCAAAAAATTTGTTTGCTTGCTTATGAAACAGTAGGTAGTTATTTGATTTGAGGGTCCAGATTTAATATTTTTTTCCCCTTATATTCCTCTAGAGTACAAGCCATATTTCCAACTCCTGACCCTGCAGCACTGAAAGATAGGCGTATGGCGAATCTTGTCTCCTATGCTCGGAAAGTTGAAGGGGACATGTATGAATCTGCAAATAGCAGGGTATGCTATTTTCTGGAGTCCTATTTCTCTCACACATTTCTAAACAGCTGATCCTTATAGTTGGATTACAAAGTCAATTACAGTTATTTAAACTCATTTGTTGTGTTCAAAGAACAAAATTCAGACCAAACCAATGTAGGTGAATGTAATTTTCGTGGTGCTCTTAACATAATTGGATAGATCCTAACAGTAAAGAGCAGTCTGCTACTCATTCTTGTGGTAAGATATTGCATTAGATGCAGTGTTGCAGATTTGCCTTAGAATGAAGATTAAAATCAAATGAATTTTGTGTATGATATGTTTTATATGGCCTTGAGGTTACATGTAATATCAAACTTCATATTACACTCCTGATGGTACTACAGTCTAGTTTGTAATGCAGACTTCTGATGGCAGTAGAGAGAAACCTGATTATCTTGGTGCTTATTATAGTCTAACTTCTAGGTATTCTTAGCTCCCACCTACCTGTCCAACCAATCCACATTACTACATTGTTTAGTTTTCTACATGCAGAACATGAATTACAGTGATAGCTCTTTTACTAGTGTTAAATATACATCAAATTCTAAAGAGTAAAATCCATATTGTACACCTGGAAGTTTAAAATTAGCAAATACATATCATTAATCTTTATTTAATATACATATCTTTCCCATTATAGGCAGAGTACTATCACTTATTAGCAGAAAAAATTTATAAAATCCAGAAGGAATTGGAGGAAAAGAGAAGGACCAGATTGCAGAGGCAAAATATGATACCAAATGCCCCAGTCATGCCACCAGCTCCTATGAGTCAAGGACCCATGGGGCAGCCGCAGCCTGGAATGACAGCAAGTAAGTGTTTACATTAACCTGTGTAATTAATATTTGAAAATTTTAATCCTTAGCCAGCGAAGAATCAAAATTACAATTGTGATACCTTAGAAATGGGCTCATCAGTTTATTTAGAATTTATAAATCTCATAGTTATTCTAACAAAATGGATATAGTGGTGCCATGGTAGGAGAGGCAAGTAAGAAAATATCTTACGGTAAATGTCTGAAGAAATTCCCAAATTCCCCATCTTCTTAAGCCTAGCTTTTCTTTCTTTCTTTCTTTCTTTTTTTTAAAGAAGATGGGCAAGCTCGAGTATTATGCTACAAAATTCACTAAATATGTTGACATAATTAATTTTGTCCCATCAGCCAGTTTCATTTGCTTTGTTACCAAGGCTTACTTACTTACTTACTTACTTTATTTGATTTATATACCGCCCTACTCCCGAAGGACTCAGGGCGGTGAACAGCCAAACAGTAAAAATACATAGATACAAAATTTAAAAACAAAAGTAACAAAATTTAAAAACAAAGGCTAGCAAGTAATGCTCTCTTGACAATTTCCATGTGGAGCAAGTTGGCAAAAATGATTGTTCAATTTCCTACCAGTAGGAAAAAATTCACCAACTGCTCTCCAGAATGGGCTAGCACTGGGGGGGATGGGGAAATCAGATTTTGAAGATGTTTAGGTTTAGTAATCTATCAGAATTTGATTTGTGAGACAGATGGGGATTTTCCATCTTTTCTGCTTTACATTCCTGTTGTTCCTTTCTATTGCTCACACTAGCACTTTCTTACTTATTCAGTCTTGCTTGTTTTTCTCATCTGGTAAACACTGAGCAAAAATTACACACTGGTACCTGGTTTCTCCTTTCTAAGCCAAGATGGCCATACAGGGAAATCACCAGTATTAGAAGGGAAAAGGTATGCCCACAATAGCCAGAAGCAGCCAATAGCCCCTGCTATATCATCAGCATGATTGTTACCAAGCCATCACAAACACTGCATAGAGTAAGGCTTGTGATAGAACTACTGGACTACTGCAATGCTTTCTACATGGGGCTCCCCTTGAGGAGCACCCGAAGGCTCCAACTGGTGCAGTGGGGGATTATGGGAGCGATGGGCCGCTCCCATGTGACACCCCTCCTACGCGAGCTGCATTGGCTCCCAGTGGTCTTCTGGGTGTGCTTCAAGGTGTTGGTTACCACCTTTAAAGCGCTCCATGACACAGGGCCTGGGTACTTACGGGACCGCCTTCTGCCACCGATAGCCTCCCACCGGCCAGTTCGCTCCCACAGAGAGGGACTCCTCAGGTTGCCGTCAGCCAGGCAGTGTCGGCTGGCGACCCCCAGGGGGAGGGCCTTCTCTGTGGCAGCACCTGCCCTCTGGAACGACCTGCCCCCGGAGATACGTAGGATACCAGATATCCGTGCTTTTCACCGTGCCCTCAAAACTTTTCTATTTCACCAAGCTGGGCTGGTGTAACCCCCCCCCCCCCCCCCCGATATTTTAATTGTAACGGATTTTAGTTGGGATGTTTTAAATCTGGGCCAAAATTTGTTTAATTCTTTTAATAATTTTAAATTTTGTATTGGATGTTTTTTATTCTTGGCTGTTCACCGCCCTGAGTCCAGCAGGAGAAGGGTGGTATAAAAATTTAATAAAATAAAATAAAATAAATAAAATGAAGAACAATAGTTGGATCAGATCAATATCCCCAGCTTTGGGTTAGGGATCAAACAAAGGCTGCATTATTTATTTATTTGCCACCCATCTTGTCATGGGACTACTCTGGGTGGCTTACAACAATAAAATGAAAAGAAATTTAAAAAAAATGTGAACATAACAATAGCAAAGGAATAAAACAATATACAATAATATGAAATTTTTAAAAATGGACTGAGGGGGACCATGAAGCCGGGGGAGGGGGAGAGGGGCACCATCTAATTAATCCAATAGCTGCCTCCAGTAATGTTCTCCCCAGTCGGATCCCAAACATGAGAACATGTATATAAAGAATCATTTACCAATTAGCATAATTGGAGGGATATGTGAATGAGCCCTTATAAAGTGCCTAGGATTTGTGAAAAAATATTAATTTAATTTTTGGGATTTTTATCTACATTACAGATGGTCCTCTTCCTGACCCAAACATGATTCGTTCCAATGTGCCAAACCAAATGGTAAATCGCATGCAGACACCACCAGGTGAGACTTTAGAGACCTCTCATATGACATTTATCGTTAGATTCAAGAAATTTTGTATTTAGGTTGTATACTCATTCTGCCCTAACAATTTCTTACTACTATGACTGGCTTTCCACATTCAGTATTTTAGTTCTAGAATATATCTGCTCTTGTTTTGCCACTTTATATTTTTTCTCAATAGATAGAGGTCATGTATCTCTGTCATATTATTGCTTTTTCTTATGTGACACAATCCACCGGCATTATACTTTCAGTGTAACTAAGCAGAGCAAGTTTTCCTTGTCCTTCAGTTGGATGCTTTCTGTTCTAGGCAAAATAGTTTCCTTTATCTCAAAGGGGCATATACCATATATCTTTTTTTTTTAATTAATTTTGATTTATATGCCGCCCTTCTCCGGAGACTCAGGGCAGCTTACAATGTGCTAATTTTCCTTTTTATCAAACAGTTGTCAACATTTTTGCTAATTTTTAAACCATCTTTTTCTGTTAGTTGGATTTTCAGATCTTGCTAATGGAAACAATATATGGCTTTATCTAGGCCACATAATTACACATAGGCTCTTGCTTTGTTCTTTTTATCTTTGTATTTTTATATTAGCCTCTAGCTGTGTTACAAAATACCTATATTAAATGGCTTTTCAAATAATACAATAAAGCCTTTGCATCAGTTTAACTTAAAGCTTTATACATATAGCATTTTAAAAATCATTGCTTTTCCATTGTTTCCTTCAAATGTTGTCAGGTCAAAGCTTTTTCTAAATGATTGTTTATTAATTGCTGATGTTTGTTTGTTTATTTGTTTATTTGTTTGTTTATTTATTTATCCATCCATCCATTCATCCATCCATCCATCCATCCATCCATCCATCCATCCATCCATCCATCCATCCATTGTTTTCTCCTTATTTTCTCACTAGTATTGAGTTGCTCCAACAGCTCTTTCTTTTTTGTACCTTTAAAAAAAAAGTGTAACACATCAATATTCTAGTGAACACTGTAAATTTTTATTTAACCATGAACATTCACAGGAATGAATCAGTTTGGCCCAATAACCATGTCGATGCCATCAGTTGGACCCCGACAAACCCCTCCCCTTCCACACCCTGGACAGCTAAACCAGACTGGGAATATAAATCAGGTTGGTTGATTCTTCTATCTGTTATTAGTTGTGATTTCTATGTTTTCTAATAAATTAGCTGGTAAAGTTAAGTCTTCTGTCTAAGTGTGGTGTTTTGTCCATATTTTAATTAGTTATGTCTTGAATTTGTTTAAGTCATATATGCATTCTTCGGAGAATTGATTTATTGAGCAATTGATGGAAAATCTATAGATAGTCAAATATTTCTTACAATTTAGAAGGGAATATTTTAAAACACCTGTTTTATTGGAATTTAGATAATATGAAAATTAATGGCATTATACAATATTTCTATTCATTGATGTTTTCTTATAGATTGGATTTTCCCCACGTATGCAACCTCAAGGGGTTGGTCAGTCTTCTGGTCAAAGTCAATTTGTACCACAAAACCAATTTCCTGCATTGTCCCCTGGAATGAATCCAGCTAGCACACCTATGACTCAACCTGCCAATCAGACTCCAGCTTCTCAAGTATGTGTTGAGAAGATATTTTAATCTCTGATTACAGATATGTCTATAGCTAATGTAGATAAATGAAATGTACAAAATTGAAAGAAGGTTCTTCATATAAGCTTGCCAGTGACATTGTCAGTTTTCTTTTTATTTGTAACTTTTATCTTTGCTGAATTCTTTTTTTCCTTTTCAGCTTAATTAATTGACTGTAGCCAGGGCTATGCTCATTTCCCAGAAGGGATTACTGGAAAGTCCAATTGCTATTGCTTTCTTAGCATGTCTTGTTTTTATGATAATAGCTGAAGGAGGGATGGGAAGCTTTTAGTCCTTATGGAGTGAATTTGGACCCCAAATCTACAAATACAGTATATTCAGAACCTTTTTTTTTAAAATTTGCAGGCACAAATGACCAACTCTTCATGTCCTGTAACATCTCCAGCAGTGGCTCCTGGCTCTCAAGGGGTTCATATTCATTGTCCCCCCATTCCACAGTCTGCATTGCATCGTAACTCTCCTTCTCCAGTACCAAGTCGTACTCCTACACCTCATCATACGCCCCCAGGATTGGTTTCCCAGCAGCAGCAGCAGCAGCAGCAGCAGCAGCAGCAGCAGCAGCAGCAACAGCAGCAGCAGCAGCAGCAACAACAGCAGCCAACTGCACCACAACAGGCAACTATTGCCTCTGCCTCTGCTGCTGTTTCTCAAATACCACCTTCTGGGCCCCAGTCACAAACTATGCACCCCTCTCAGAGGCAGACTCCAACACCCCCACAGGCTCAGTTGACTCCTCAAGTGCAGCCTCCAGTTTCTGTTACCCCTTCTGCAGAGCAGCAGTTGCCACAGCAACCTCTTTCACAACAGAGCACAACTGCATCTGTACCTACCCCAACAGCGACACTGCAACCTCAACACCCTACAACACCTGTAAGAAAACTTTTTACTCTTCTAATACTATTATTTTTCAAAACTGCAAATTTTTGCAGAGCAAAAATCTCTTTGAGTGTACGTATCATGAGGGAATAGAACTTGAACTGTGGTAAATTTTGAAACTTGCCCTTTCTTCTCCTCAGTGGTGTTTTAATGGAATTTAATAATATGAAAAACAATTGTCATCAGTTTAATTTTAATGACCTCTGTTTGGAGAAACAAACAGCTGTAAAAAAAATGGGATGCTTCCATGGTGGACAAGTATAAGCTAATGTTAAATTTATTGTGCAACATCTCTTTTGTGCAGGTAGAGAGCGATGCCAGAGCTAATATAATTTACAAACAGAAAAGGAAGCAAAAAAATAAATTTGGTAAAGTCATATGGCTTCACTTTTTATATTCTGGATTTATTGTGTTTTTTTTTCTAGCTTTCACAGCCAGGTGCAAATATTGATGGGCAGGTATCAAATCCACCATCCACCAGCAGTGCAGATGTAAACATTCAGCAAGCTGCCCCTGAGCAGCAGCAGCAGCAGCAGCAAACTTTACCTGAAATTAAAATGGAGGTTAAAATGGAAGAGGAGGACTCTGAACACACAGATCATCAAATAGATGAGAAACCAGAGGTGACTAAAGGGTGATAGGCATATCTGAAAATCAGTAGTTTGGGAGAGGATGCTTTACTCATTCACCATTCTGACCAGTTGGCTAATAAGTAAAACTAAAATGCTTCATAAACTGAAAGACTCGATGGGCAGGTTTTCTTTATTACAGGTTTTCTTTGTGTCTCTTGCTGATGTTAGGTCCAGTATCAGCAATAGGATCATGAGTAGTTATGTAGATACATTGAAATGAAAACATGCCATCATGCAGGAAAGTGATTTTCTCCTTTTAATATAAACTAATTCTGTATTCAGAATATGAGTGTCTTGGAAAAAGTACTTTAGTCAAGGAGAACAAATGAAAAATAATGATGAGATAATGGTGATCTAACTGAATTTAGATTATCTACAATATTGGGTAGAGCAAAAGGTTATATCTCCAGATACTTTGGATTTCATGTTTCATCACCCATAGTCACCATAGCCAATGGCAAAGTATTGTAATCCAGAATACATGGGAGCCACAATGCTGCACATCCCTAGTCTACATGTACTATAAGGCTGCATTTGATTGTGGCCAGATCTGTGCATGTATCATAGCCATACGTGCATATGTGTTTTCTATGCCCTTTTCTATAGATTCAGAGGAAACATATTTCTATCAATATTGACAGTACAAATATATATATATATATATATATATATATATATATATATATATATATACACACACACACACACACACACACACACACACACACACACACACGAGAGAAGTAATCTCTTAAACTGCTAAAGATAGAAAACATGTAATGTTAAATTTACAAACTGTTTTCCAGATTAAAGTAGAACCCCTAGCGGATGAATGTAAATCTGAACCAATGCAACAGGAGGAAAAGAAACCAGAAATGAAGCAAGAAGTAAAGGAAGAAGAGGAAAGGCCTAGTACTCCAGGTACCCAGTCTTCACCAGCTTCTGGGCAGTCAAAGAGAAAAAGTAAGTCATTTTATTTATTTATTTATTTTTTGGCCATCATCATATGGAGGCAAAGTCATTTTCTTCAACTGAGATTTGAATTTATGTTTTAACATTTTGGTACCAGAAATACTTTTCCAGAAATGTCTTATCTGTTAGAAGAAATACCTATGAAATATAGCTGTTTAATATTAGAAAAACAGAATACATTGCAGAAATTAACTTTACAATAATCCTAGTCTTAATATCAAAATCTAGATCAATAAATTCTGTCCAGCATTGGACACTGAATACTGACACTGCACTTAAAGCATTGCTTGGATGTTAAAATAGGTAACTAATTTGGTTGGTATGTCGCCTTCAATCTTCCATAACTTTTTTCAAAGTTTTCAAGCCGGAAGAGTTGAGACAGGCACTTATGCCAACTTTGGAGGCACTGTATCGCCAGGACCCAGAGTCCCTTCCTTTCCGGCAGCCTGTGGATCCTCAACTACTAGGAATTCCTGTAAGTGCATTTTAAAAAAAATCTTTTTGTATTAACATATCATTATGTTGCCAAACCTTACATATAGGTAGTCCTTGCTTAATCCTAACTGGGACCGGAATTTCCATCACTAAGCAATGCATTCATTAGGCAAAACATTGCTTAGCAGTGGCAGTTTTGGTAGTCACAGTTGCAGTTTTAAGCCCCATGCTTCTCCTGCCCTGTCAGTCTGACCTCTTCAACTTCCCACACTCATCTATTACTTCTGATCTGTGTCCTTTTGACCACCTTGCACTCCACCACTGCCCACTGCCTTCATGAGGCAGCTGGTGGTCATATGCAGCCTTCCTGAAGCCTCATGTGGCCAGCAGCTGTCTTGCAAAGGACCTGGCTGGTCTTCCTCATCAACAGCAAGAGGAAGAAGACTGTAAAGGTCAGCTGGGGTGATGAGATGCAGGACAGCAGGGACAGTGGAGGGCAAGTGGCCAAAAGGGCAGAGATTATGCAGGCTGGGATAGGTGGGTTGGGGAACTTGAAGCACAGCCTATGGTCATTAGATCATTCTGTGGTAATAAAAGTAGGTAGGCTGCCAAGTGCCCAAATTTTGAACACGTTACCATGAGGATACTACATTGGCTGTAACTTTGATGACTGATTGCCAATATCATTGTGAGCCCAAATAGAATATGCAATGCTGGTAGTAAAAAGGAGTTCATCAGCTGTTATGATTTTCTCCCCTCACAGATAGGGGAGTGAAGAGGTACCACCTGCCATTATATTATGTCAGGCAAAATCAGCAGTGCAGGCAGTTTTTGTTGTTCCTTTTTAATATCTATATCCAGCACTCTACAAATTGCACTGACTCGCAGGAAACTTTAGGTGCAATTCAAGGTGCTGGTTATCTTCTACAAATTCCTCTGTGGCATTTGTACAGGTGCATGTAGATATTATACATATGTACATATGTACCTTAATGGTTATGCTTATTGTCTTTGATAGATTAGTGTAATTGGTAATAATTGATTTACTATTTTTCTCTTTTAATATTACAAAGCATTCAGTTTGAGCAATAAAAGTATAATCTGTGACGTTTTCCATAGGGTGGTGTAGTTTATAATTTAGGATAAATTATAGAAGTCTCTTACAGAATAAGATTGTTGCCTTTCAGTTAATAAAGTGGTGATTTGAAATAAGAACTTTGTATTATTTTGTTGGAAACAAACTAGTACCTCCTGAGAAGGACAAGCAATTCCTTGAGGTTTGAGGATAGGTTTGTTTGGCTGAGGAATGAAGTATTGATATTTATTTTATTCAATTTATATTGCCATCCACTTGATAAGTGATTGGACAGGTAATAAAGGATTAAAAAGATCAAAATACATAAAAAATGATTAAAAGCTCAGGCATGGCACATACTTCACACTAAAGCAAGTTCACATAGCAACCTGGCCCAGCAAGAAGAACCAAGTCTTCAGGGCCTTCAAAATTAGTATGGTTAGGAGCATCCGGATTTTAGATGTAGGTGAAGCTGCTGCTCCAAGAGAAGGCATACCTCCTGGATCCCATAATGTGACACTGTAGAGTAGTAAACTTGCTTCATGCCAACCTTATCTGATCTTGTTGAAAGAGCAGAGATACAGGTAGTCCTTGACTTACGATCACAATTGAGCCCAAAATTTCTGTTGTTAAGTGAGACATTTGTTAAGTGAGTTTTGTCCCATTTTACAACCTTTCTTGCCACAGTTGTTAAGTGAATCACTGCAGTTGGTAATTTAGTAATCTGGTTGTTAAGTGAGTCACATTTTTAAGTGCCCTTGTTTTGTTTGTTTTGTTTTTTTAGATTTATATACCGCCCACCCCCGAAGGACTCAGGGCGGTGAACAGGCACAAAATAAAATACATAAATACAAAAGTTAAAAAACATAATTAAAACCAGATTAAATAATTTAGCCCGAGACAATTAAAAATCCCAATAATTTAAAACAGATTAAAATTACGATTTAAAAGAATTTTAAAACAGGGGAGAAAATTAGGCCAGGCCGGCTTGCTGGAATAGGAGAGTCTTAAGAGCACAGCGGAAAGTGCGCAGATCCGGGATCCTCCTTATCTCTGGGGGGAGCTCGTTCCAGATAGTGGGTGCCCCCACAGAGAAGGCCCTCCCCTGGGGGCCGCCAGTCGACATTGTTTAGCTGACGGCACCCGGGGGAGCCCCTCTCTATGAGAGCGTACCGGCCGGTGGGAGGCTGCTTGTGGTAGTAGGCGGTCCCGTAAATAACCAGGTCCTAAGCCATGGAGCGCTCTAAAGGTGGTGGCCAAAACCTTGAAGCGCACCCGGAAGACCACTGGGAGCCAGTGCAGCTCGCGCAGGAGAGGTGTCACACGGGAGCGCCATGTTGCTCCCATAACCACCCGCGCAGCCACACTCTGCGCCAGTTGGAGCCTCCGGGTGCTCCTCAAGGGGAGCCCCATGTAGAGAGCGTTACAGTAGTCCAGGCGGGAAGTGACGAGGGCATGAGTGACTGTGTGTAGGGAGTCCCGATCCAGAAAGGGATGCAACTGGCGAATCAGGCGAACCTGATGAAAAATCCTCCCAGTCACTGCTGTCAAGTGCTCTTCTAAAGACAGCCGTGAATCCAGGAGGATACCCAAGTTGCGAGCCCTCCCCGTGGGGGCCAGTGATTCGTCCCCAATAGTCGGCAATGGCGTCAACTGACTATATCGGGACGTCGGAAACCACAGCCACTCGGTCTTGGATGGGTTGAGCCTGAGCCTGTTCCTCCCCATCCAAATCCGCATGGCCTCCAGACACCGGGACATCACTTCAAGGGCATCGTTGAGGTGGTCCAGGGTGGAGATGTACAGCTGGGTGTCATCAGCGTACTGGTGGTACTTCACCCCGAAACCACAGATGATCTCGCCCAGCGGCTTTACATAAATGTAAAGCCTTGTAACTTTGAACAGTCACTAAATGAACTGTTGTACAGGACTACCTGTAATTTGAGAGAGACAGTCCCACAAATATTCAGGCCCTGTGTCATATAGAGCTTTATGGTAATTATTTATGCTGCTTGATCTGGACTAGCTGTAGCTTCTCAAAGGACCTCAACAACAACCCAGTATACAGTGCTTTGAATTGTCAAATGAGAAGTTAAAGGGGGAAATGAAATCCAATATTAGGATTGAAGATTCAGAAGCATAATTTATCAATGTTTTGTCTTGGCAGGACTACTTTGATATAGTAAAGAACCCCATGGATCTTTCTACTATCAAGAGAAAGCTTGATACAGGACAGTACCAGGAACCTTGGCAATATGTGGATGATATTTGGCTTATGTTCAATAATGCCTGGCTTTACAATCGTAAAACATCTAGAGTATACAAGTACTGTTCCAAGTTGGCAGAGGTTTTTGAGCAGGAAATTGATCCAGTTATGCAGAGCCTTGGCTACTGCTGTGGACGAAAGGTAAGGAAGAAGCTAATAGGTGAGAAAATGTAACAGTTATTAAGATAACTGAATACCTGGTTCTAAGCATGGTGCTTATATTGATTGTAAATATAAATATCCAGTCATGTGAAATTGCATTCTGCAAATGTCTCTTCCCTATAACTTTGTTTTTATCTTCAGCTTTTAATCTACAGTTTTAAAAAGTGAATTTTAAAATGTTTATCTTATAACTTATAATAACAATTATAACTTGAATATTGTTCAGTAACCACAAGTTTAAATTATTGTAAAATAGTAATTAAATATGGTTATGGACAATACTCAAGTTCATATACTCGGTACACAAAACAAAATTTAAGTAAAATTGGGTAACATAATAAGTAAACAAAAGAATATTTTAAAGGTAATTTAAATTGTATTCTGTACCAGAGAATTGATTTACCTGGAAATGAATATCCCATATGTTCTTGGAAATCGTGTAATGGGACAAGATTTCTAGGTGAAAAAATAACGGATTTCTACTCAATAAATATCCTCCTCTCTTTGCAGTTGGAATTTTCACCACAAACTTTATGTTGTTATGGCAAACAATTATGCACAATTCCACGAGATGCTACATATTACAGTTATCAAAACAGGTAAGAAAATAATAGTGCGCCTACTCACTGTTTTTTGCTTTTCTGTTTAAATCAATGTTGTCACATTAACAACAGCAAAAATGAATCTGTGTGGTTTAAAAAATAAATTGAAAGTAGATGCTTATTATTTCACAGTTCAGTTTTCATAACTTAAGATAATTAAGACATAATTAATGTATGTCAAATACTGTTGCTTAACAACTGGATTAGTTCAAGGTCCACCTGGTTTGGAGTTCCAGCAACCACATGATGTTGTATACTCTACTGTTGCGCCTTCAGTAATATGTGTGTGTGAATGAGTATGTGTATGTGTATATGTCTGTTGTTGCGATGATTTAATCTTTTTGGAAATGCAAGAGATAAAGATTTTCTCTTCCATTAAACTGAAGGATTGTCATCTGTTTTGGGTTTCTTAGAGAGATGAAGAATTTTTGTTTCAAACACAAAAAATATTTAATGTATTTTTGCAGCTATATACTTTCAGTTAATAGGTCATTTTGTTACTTCAGGGAAAAGTTATTTTTTAACTTTTAATCTACATGCCATATTCAGACTGTTACTTGTAATAAAGAGTTGCTGTTCAAAGCCAAAATCTTTTTAGTAAATGGCACTTCATGTCCTGATTTTCTGAATGTCCAAACTGATAATTTAGCATTACCAATGTATATGATTTCCTTTTATTACACATTAGAAAAAAAGCATTGGGGAAGTAACTTGTCTGATTCATTCCTTAGCAATTACAGATCTGATAGTGTTGTTTTTGTTTTGCTTTAAAATGTTGTCACAATTTGGGGGGGGTTTGTGTAGTTGTTTTGGTTTTGGTTTTCCTTTGTGTTTGTGCGCCCTTCCTGAAGCAATAGAGAGACAGCAGTTTCTATACACTCTTGAACGTAGTTCAAACCCAAATCAAATGAAGATGGAATCCTCTTAATACAACATCTATTCCAGACATCCAAATTTATGGACTTCACCTGCTAAGAATGTACAATATGCAGCTGCTTGTTATTGCATCTAACATTTCAACAAATCATGAATAATTGGATAAAAATTATTCAAATAACTCCTATAAAGAGTTATTGCAAACAAATATTTAAGTATATGCTCCATAAACATTAAAGCATTTGCAGGATCATTTATTTTCATGCCTATCCTGCTCTTTCATATTAGATGTGAAGAAAGTTGCTAACTTAATGCAGCTGCAGAGCAGCAGTTGCACTTCTTTTTTCTTCATTTTGATTGGTAATTGAGCATGGGTATACTTAACCAAATACATTTTGTTTGCTATAATTTGCTGCTTGTAATCCCATTTGAGAGATTTAATGCTAATCTGTGCTTTGCCTTGGCTTTCTGCTTTGTGTTGTCCTGTCTTGCTTCTGTGTTTTTGTTTTTTGTCCTGAAAACCCCATTTCTTTGTTTGTATGTATATTTTTATTTCTCCTTCATGCTTGTCGTTGTCTGCACTTGGCTTTGATTGCAAAAAAACAACCCAAAACAAAAACAAAAACAAAAAACAAAACAACCAATATCAAAATCTGGGTCCCATAAATCTTCATCATTGAATGTCCCTGTCGTCGTTGATGACCTGCTCTCTGCTCCCGCCCCCCTCCTTGGCCTGCTGTGATTGGTGACTTCGTTGCTTGGCTTGGGCTGTGTTGTGTGGACGGAACAGTTCACCCAAATATGGCCTTCTTGCCGACAGGTATCATTTCTGTGAGAAGTGCTTCAACGAAATCCAAGGGGAAAGCGTTTCTTTGGGGGATGATCCATCACAACCACAAACGTGAGTAATTGTGTCCTCTTTAATAATATTTAACTTTCAGAAGCTATAATTATGTTATTAGCAAACCTATCATGATGTACATTCTATATCAGGGGTGTCAAACTCACAGCCCGCAGGCCAGATGCGTCATACACTGGCCACGCCCACCCCTGGTTTAGTGAAGGGGGGAAAGTTGTGATACGTCATGTCATGACAATGTGACACCGCGAGTTTGACACCCTGTTCTATTTTTTTTTTTTTGAAAAAGCCATGTTTTAGTAAAAAGTTTTACTTAAGAAAATAAACCTCCAAGTGAGGGATTTGAAAACAAATTATTTTAAAATTTCAGAACAAGGTGGAATAATAAGAATTTTTCATTAAGTATATATGGAAAGTGCATAAATGTGTCCAGTACTAAAGCTTTTAATTCTATAAGTGTAAAATGATTTTGCTCTACAAAAAAGGATCATATTAAAGTCACAAAGTTCAAAGAAAAGCTTAGATCTGGAATAATTATACAATTATATTTTGTTTAAATTATCTCATTTTTTAAAAAATATTGATCTACAAGTTCTAAAGTTAGGGCATCATTCTTATAGTTTCAAGTGCTATATTTCCTCTCGTTTTGTCATAATAAATTTCTTCGTTACTGAGCAATGATGCAAAGCAGTAGTGTCAAGATTTCTAGTGTACGATGAATTTTCCATAGGTGGTGTCTTGAAATAACTATCTTTTGCAATATTACATTTATAAAAAAACAAAATTAAAATGTAATGATATAATAAACTTTAAATGTTAAGAAATAGATGGGATTGTAAATTCTTTAATCCTTTTTTATTTTACTGGAGAAAATGAAAACAGCTGCAATAAATATTTAGCAAGGTGTATATTTCTCTTCCGACAAACGAATTATTCCTTTATATAATTTTTCAGTTCATAGAAGTGCTAAACTCTTATCGCTGTGTTGCCTAAAAGCTATTTTATTATATTTTTGTAACTATACCAAATTTAGGAGACATAATTGTAAACTAGGTTGAATTCTAAAATGGTAAATATTTTCCAGAAAATGAGTTTACCAATGTCAAAAGGTGATAGGAAACTAACCAGACAATCCTGCTGAGGCAACAATTGTGTAATCTGAGTTTTACTGCCTGCTAGAAATCCTGATTTTGGAGGAACTTATTTGTTAGAAAGAACTTGCAACATTTTTTCAGATAACTTTTATTTTAGGCCATAGAAGTTAAGCCACTGGTTCAAATTGTGCTTGTTACTAGTTAGCTCTCTAGTCTTACAGTTATAATTATTTCTATGTGACATTAATCATGAGAAATTCTGGATCGACTGGAATTTCTGAACCTTACCTTGTACTAATGTTGTGTAAAAAAAAATGTAAAAGTATAAATTATGGCATTTCTGGCTTAGGTTGTTTATATAAGAAATTAACTTGAGTTGTGTATGGATAACTGTGTCCTGACCTCTCTGTCAAGAAATGAGAAGTAATAAAGAATTCTGATTGATGTAACCAATAGGTTGTGTTAAGCAACTAAACTTGTTTGAAAATGAATGTGCTCTATACCTCCTCTATGACCCTCTCCCAGCCATGAGATAGGTAGTTTACAAACATAGGTGGTTTTTATGCCTCATTAGGAAGAAATCTTCTGGAGCTTCTTGCCAGATTGTTAAATGATGTGAGTACCTTCTCAGGTCAGAACCATAGAGCTTCCAGTGTCTAAATCCAAACTTTGAAAGTATTAGCTTGGGATACTATATCATCTTGTTAAATAAATAAACCTTTCCTTTATTCCCCAAACATTCTTAAAAAGCAGTATGTTTAGAAGATCCTGCTTAAATGTAGATGTGTCTGCTGCCGATCTAAAATTGTTTTATTATGCTAATGTCCATCTTCGTACAACTGAAATTGCCCATTTCTCTCCTCAGCACAATAAATAAAGATCAGTTTTCAAAAAGAAAAAATGATACACTGGATCCAGAACAGTAAGTGATACTTGAGCAGCTAAATTTGTATTTTTAGAACAAAACAAATGTGTTATCATTTTGTTGCTGGTTTATTTTTGCTTTGGGATTGAAAACTATTGATTGCTTTAGTCATATTTGATAATACAGGTAGTCCTCAGTTAATGACTGGCCTATTTAGTAACTGATCATAGTTACAGCAGTTTGAATACTCAGTCTTCAAACTCAAAGCCATTGCAGTGTCCTGCACTTATATGATCGCCATTTGGACACTTTGTAGTCGGTACAAGTTTAACCCATTTTCACCATCCTATGTGAACTTCATAGCTGGCTTGTGACAAGCAATAAATGGAGAAATCAGCATTACAATCACAAGTTGTGATCACATGTCTCACCAACCATGGGTGATTGCTTACAAAGGAACTGGCATGGTGATGTTTTCTTAACATCTTTTAGCAATGGCGTTTCCAGTCCTAATTCTGGTTGTTAAGGGAGGATCCATTTTTGAAACTTTTCTTTTATCTTAAACATTTTATTAGTTGTTTTTTAAAAAATACTGATTCACCTGTCCCTCTCTTGTTATATATTTAAGTAGGTAGATACTGTATGTATATTTGTAAACATACTGTATAAAAGGTATGTTGGAGCTTGAGATACATTTTTTAATGGCACAGTAGAATTCAAATCTCAAATCTCTGTTAGTATGTGTGAGATAGCAATTCAGTTTTAAATGATATTTTGTACTTCAAGGTACATTTTATATATTTCTGATTAAAGATATGTATACAGAACTCTATAAGCTTAAAGAATAAATAGATTTTGCCACATTGCATAATTTCTTTATCTCTGAAACATTTTTTTAAATAACGATAGTTATTTTTTGAGTGCTTATGGCTCTTTTCTGTTCTAGATTTGTTGAATGTATCGAATGTGGAAGAAAGATGCATCAGATTTGTGTACTTCACAATGAAATAATCTGGCCATCTGGGTATGCTGCTTTTCCTTTTCTGTTTATTTACAATTGTAAAAATTACAAATGATATTTGGAAAAGATGCTAATGGTAAAATTTATTGTAGTTCCATGTGATCTTTGATAACCATCTAAATAGATTAACAAAGTTGTAATGTAATTTTACTTATTTAAAACTTTTATATAGCTGCCATTTTACATCAAACTCTGGGCAGCTCCCAACCAAAAATTAAAACAACATCAATAATAAAACCACATAATGCATGTCTCTATTAAAGCCATAAGTAAAAAATCTGGTACCAAAATTAAGCTTCTCCATCAGGTTCATTATTAAATCCTCTTATGTACTTCAGCCTGTCCCAGAAGCTGGGTGAATAGTCAGGTTTTAAGTGGTTTTTGGAAGGGAGGGAGTGCCTGCCAAACTTCAAGGGAAAGTTTTCCATAGGGCAGGGACTGCCATTGAAAAGACACACTTCCTAGATTCCATAAAATGCCATTGTTTAAGGGAAGGGGCTAGAAGTGTGCACACACTATTTGATCTGATAGAATGGGTAGATGTCCTTAGGGAGAGACAGTCGCACTGATAACCTGGTCCTATGCCATATAGAATAGAATTCTTTACTGGCCAAGTGTGATTGGACACACAAGGAATTTGGTGCATATGCTCTCAGTGTACATAAAAAGACAATATACACTCGTCAAAAATCACAAGGCACAACACCCAGTGACAGTCGTACAGTACAATAAGCAATCAAATCATACTAGGAAACAATATCAATATAAATCACAAGGATACAAGCAACAAAGTTACAGTCATACAGTCACAAGTGGGAGGAGATGGGCAACAGGAATAATGAGAAGAGCAATAGCAATGCAGCCTAATGTGAATAGCCTGACTTTAAATGGGACTTTAAAGATAATAGCCAGCACCTTGAATGGTATTCAGAGGGAAACCAGGAGCCAGTGCAGCTTGCACAGCAAAGGGGCACCTATCATTATGTGTGTAGCCACATTCTGGACCAGTTGTAACTTTCAATTGATCTTCAAACTGCAACCCTAAGTAGAGTACATTGCAATAATCCAAACAGGAACTGACCAAGGCATGAGTGAGTGACCATGAGCAAGATATTAGTATGGCTATTTAATTTAGTTTCAGTTTCCATGCACAATTTTTAAAAAATTCCAGTGTGGACAAGGTGTGCCCGGCCTGGCATTTCATGAGGCAGTTGCTGTCCCTGTGAGAACATCTACACCAGGTATTGCAAGGAAATCCCCATGCACAATCTGGGGAAGAAAGCCCTATAGGGTCAGCAGCTGCTTTGCAAAGGGCCAGGCCAGACAAGCTTAGTCAATAGCAGAGACAAGAAGCCAGCAAAGACCAGCTAAGGCAGCAAGGACCTTGGTGTGCAAGGGGCCACAAGGACATAAATGGGAAGGTGGTGTGGTGGGAGAGTTGAAGTGCCCCTGTGGTAAGTGCAGGTGGGATGTAACAATTTTTGATCAAGTGACCGCTGGGGCACTGCAGTGATTGTAACTTCAGGGACTAGTTGTAAGATACTTTTGTTTAGCACCACTGTGACTTCAAAGAGTCATTGAACGAATAGTCGTTATGTCAATGACAACCTGTAGTGATGTTATATATTATTACATCAGGTGAAATTGGGTGTTCTGCTCAGACTGTGATATACTGGAGCAAGTCTAATTTAGGCTGTCCAGTAACAGTTTGCAATCCATGTTTAATCGTATACTAGAAAATGCAGGGGAGATGTTTTTATAGAAATATTTTAATAATTATGTTAGGAATTTTAATTATTTTCTTCTGTTGTAGCTTTGTTTGTGATGGCTGCCTAAAAAAATCAGGACGAACTCGAAGAGAGAACAAATTTTCTGCCAGAAGTAAGTAGAGATTGGTGCATTTCTCATATTTATTTCTATTTGCTTTTTTAAATGGATGTATTTATTTAAAATGTTTTTATTCCTTCAATTAATGCCAAAGCAGTTTAAGGATAAGATAAAAACAACGATAATAAAACCAATATAAAAAAATCAAAGTAGAAAAATAGAATAAAAACAACATTCTGGAGGAGCCAAATAAAACTAATTCTAACAAGCCTGAAGTAGTATTTCCCTAAGCTTTTTGTTTCACTCAGGAGAGGGTTCTGTGATCTGGCAGAGACTTCAGATGTTTGACATACAGAAGGATATCCACTGTTCTAAATAGATAGCTAGATTTTCAGAAGTTGCAGGCAGTCCTTAATGTATGACCATAATTGAGCCTGGAATTATGGTCATAAATCATTGTGGTCATAAATCAAGGTACCCACAGGGCCAGCAGTAATTTTTCATCCTTTTTCTGTGATGGTTGTTAAGTGAGGTGGTTCATTTCAGTGGGGTGGTTTTTGCCAGGCAAAAACTATCACAAATGTGGGTCATGTGATTTTGGAATGTCATGAATGACTCCACCTAACATGCAATCTTATGACTGGGGGCGAAGAGCAGCATGACCAATTTATAACAGCCAGCGGTGCTTTACCAGCATAAAGCACCATTCTGTGGTCCTTGTAACTTCAAATAATTGTAAAATGAACAGTCATTAAGTAAGAATAGCTTGTACTGTTTGGGGAGTTAGTACCATTGTTTTCAATGAATTCTATTAACAAATTATGTTTTAGGGCTTTCATCCTTACTAACATTGTATGGCATAAGCATTATCCATCCTTTTTATAACATATACTGAAGAAAAAGAATTGCAGTATGTTCATCTGATCAACAATTCCAATACTGAATACCAGCAGTATTTCTCTTTGAGGAACATATGTCTTTAATAAATTGATTTATTGTCGATCATTTTATAATTAAAAAACCTGACAAACATAAAAATCTTTGATTTTTTATTACCTGCCATGACAAGATATATTTGGAAACTTAGTTCTTGAAAAATGGAAAATATGAACTTCAAGATAACAATCCAGGGAAGTTTATTTTTCAATTCCATTTTTCTCCATTCAGATGACTCCCGGTCACTGACCCCAATCTGATTGTTCTGGTTTCAACATCTTCCTGAATTTGGGCTAGAACAAACTCATTGTCTTGCTATATATTCTAGATCAGCGGTCACCAACTGGTGGTCCGTGGACCACTGGTGGTCTGTGAGAAAATGTTGGTGGTCCACAGAAAAATTATTTGCATTTTTTATATTGCACTAAATCGGGGTCTTCTAACTACGGCCCCTGGGCCGGATACGTGCAATGAACGTTTTTGTTCCTGTAGAGAGTCTCCCCCTTTGGGGTCTTTTTGTGCGGGTCAGAGGAGGGCAGAAATTCCAACTTGGAGTCTGCTTCAGCCTCCTGGTATGGGGCTTTGGGCGAAGACTGGAGGGAAGCACTGCTGATGGCGAAGAGCCGGAGGGCCTTGTTCCAGTGGGACTGCCTCATGGCCTGGAACTGGCTGACCATCTCAGCCCACTGAGCCTCCAGGCACCGGTACCTGGCCTTGCACTCCCACAGGTCTTCCCTTTGCTTGGAAAGCCTATGCTCCTAGTCCTCAGTGAGGTGCTTCTGCTGAGCTTCCTCGGTCAGATCCAATTTGAACTGAGTCAACTGTTTTGCCAACTCTTTCTCGTGGTGGCTGCTTAGCTCCAACAACTGCTTCCTGTTGGGGCCCTAAGGAGCCCGGGCAGGCAGGCAAGGAGTGGCTGGGAGTGGAGGGGAGAGTAGAGGACGATGAGGTGCCCCTTGACGTGAGTGACATTGAGTTGATCATGCCCACCCAGTCACATGGCCACCTAGCCACGCCCACCCAGCCGGTCATTAGGTCATATTAGTGGTCCAAGGAATTTAAAATTATGAATTTAGTGGTCCCTGAGGTCCGAAAGGTTGGGGACCCCTGTTCTAGATGAGTTTCCTTTCTTTGCTTAGGAAGTAAAGTATGTCAGATCTCCTTTGGCAACAGCTTGGACAAGCCTTATCTTTGATTTTTTTATTATTATTATTATCTGGACTTCATCCCTGCGGTTTTCTGGTGCAGCATTTTCCTAGCTAAGTGAAGAATGACCCAGTTTAGCTTTTTAAAGATGAGGCTGTATTATCTTAATTGAAACTCTACTACTGGTGTAATTTCAGTGTGTACTTCTAAAGTTGTGAATTAATACAAAATGTAAATTTTACTTGCTTTATACGCTACTTTGTTGTTAGAGTAATGATAAACAATTAAGCAATCTTCATTTTGTAGGATTACCAACCACTAGACTTGGTTCCTTCTTGGAAAACAGAGTGAATGAGTTCCTGAGACGGCAGAATCATCCTGAGTCGGGTGAAGTCATTGTTAGGGTGGTTCATACCTCAGAGAAAACTGTAGAAGTTAAACCTGGAATGAAAGCAAGGTAATTTTCCTTAAACCTTTGAATGACATGATTTTTTTTCTTTTTGAATATTAAGTTGTGTTATTGGTACATTTGTTAAACAATAACATGTTATTTTGTTAGTCAAAAGAACTTTCAACATAAGATTTGATAGTTTCATTTTTTAACATTTTGAGTGATTAGCGCAACTTTTGCAATTCATTGCATATTTTGAGCTGTTTTCATACAGAATATTATTGATTTAAAAGAAGATATTTGGAAGGAAATGGCAAAAATTAGGCTTTGGAGGATTGAATAACAAGTTTATTTAAAAAGTGAACCAATAAACAATTTTACTTACTTATTTGTTTGTTTGTTTGATTGATTGATTTATATCCTGCCATGCTACGATGCTCTGTACTTTTGAATGGCTTTAGTTAGGTTTGGTTTATTTATATGTTGTTTTACTATAAATGATTCCCATAGAGAAAGTTAAAATATAGCAGAACAAAATAGATAAAAGTGAATAAATTATTAAAATAAAATGTTAAAATAATATGTTTGGGCAGCTTCCATATTATAGCATCCTATAATGCATGATAGTATTACATTTGCTAGCATTGTTTTATATTATACCTTTTAATTTTGCAGATTTGTAGATAGTGGAGAGATGGCAGAACAATTCCCTTACCGAACAAAAGCACTCTTTGCTTTTGAGGAGATCGATGGTGTAGATTTATGTTTTTTTGGCATGCATGTTCAGGAGTATGGGTCTGATTGCCCTCAACCCAACCAGAGGTATTAAAAATTCATTTTTTAAATAATTATTAAAATTAGATTATTGCTACATAAATGCCTAAGAAATTGATCTTTTTGTAACTGGATCAGATATATACCCTTTACTACATCTTCCCTCTCCCTCTCTTGCCTGTATTAATTGTCTTTTTCCAAGATTGAATCATTCCCACATACTTAACAGGAAGATTTGATTTAACACTATTTACTTTATGGAATTATTTAGGAGCATTTGCTTTTTTAAACACAGCTTCACATTTTTTAATAAGCTATTTCTCTCCTTCAAAAAATCATTGGAGATAAATGCTTTTGCTAAACAGAGAAAATCCACCTTTTTGAAGTAAAAGAAAGTAAAAGAATTGACTTCTAATTTGAGTTAATGCTTGATAAAGAAGCTCAGAAAGAAGTTGAAGAATTTCTATTCTTGGTCTCTACTTCTTTTTGCAGAAGATAAAGATAAAGATGGAAGAATACTGATAATGAGCTATGACCTGCACAGTACCACTGCTTAGCAACTATGTAAAATAATCAGAACAAGAAAAAAATGATTAAAGTTTCTTTATATATGGGAAAATGCTAGGAGAATGTGTAATTTACACTTTTTAGAAAGCCCAATATACTAGAACATATTAAGTAACAGAGTTGGAAGGGACCTTGGAGGTCTTCTAGTCCAACCCCCTGCTTAGGCAGGAAACCCTACACCACATATTTACATTAGTTTTCCATCTGTATGGAAATAGTTTTTGGGTACTTTTAACCAAGCAATAGCAAGTATGATGGTATGATCAAGTAATGGGAAAATGCATATTGGTGATATTTTAATGGACAAGTGATCTAAATTTTCAATATATGCCCATTTTTATGTCTTGTTTCCCAAATTCTACCTGATAATGTAAGTTATAGTAAAGTTAAACACTGGAGTATTTAAAAAATATGTATTGCTACTGTAATAGTGACTGCATCTTATTAAGCATGTCAACAGCTATGGTTGGCTGCTTGGTTGTTAAAGAGTTTCATATTTCAGCAATTTTTGGAGCTGTGTAAACACAAACTACCTATCACAGTTTGCTGCTAGAACAGCGCATTTTGAATAAACTGGAGTTGAAACTGTTCTTCTCCAGTTATCCATATCGGTTCTTTCCTGGTTGAAGTCAAACTATCATTTGCTGTTTTGGCCCATGGGAAACTGGTTTGATTTAGGTTGAAAAACAAGATTGGTAACCAATTTGTAAACGAAGTGGAAACCACAGTCTTCTAATTCAAGCAAAATGATAAACTGGCTTAGTTCAAGTACAAAATATATCACAATATGTAGTCTCTAATTCCTTGAAAGCTCATTCTTTTAGGGCCAAACATAATTTGAACTCTTCAGAATTACACCTATATTTATCTGATCGATCGATTGATTGATTGATTGATATGCCATCCAAATTCCAGCTGCTCTGGCAGTTTACAGTTGTGAAAAACATTTAAAAATAAAGAACATTATAAAAACAAAGACAAAAAAATGAATCTGGAGGGAATTAAGGAAAAGGAAAAAAGAGGTGTTAATCATGCTCGCCAAAGCACTGGGCAAAGAGCTAAATCATGAGTAGAGTGTAGGCTGTTAAAATTTTGGGGAATTGGGGGGGGGATCTCATTCCAGAGATCAAGCACATTTCCAAAGTTCCAATAGGTGGCATTGTTTAAACAATGGAACTTATGCCAACCCCAAATCGAACCACTGGACAGATACTCTGAGAGATAGGTGGTCCTTCAAGTAACCCAACCCAGTGCCCGTCCCAAGCTTTATAAGTCATGACCAGCAACTTGAATTACTCCAGAAGCAAACTGGCAGCTTGCATGGCAGTCCGTACCACGGGAATTACATTATTCCAGAGTTGAGTGTGTTAATAGCTTAAAAATCTTATATGAGAAATAAGTAAACATAGTTAGATTAAGGCACTAGTTTTAAAAAGAGGCTATGAAAGGTGAAGTTAAGGCAAATTTCTTAATGGAAGAAAAAGGAAATAATTGAATACTGCAAAATGCTTCTGGTTATAGCTAATGAACTTTCTCTTCTTTAGGCGAGTATACATATCTTACCTTGACAGTGTTCATTTCTTCCGCCCTAAATGCCTGAGGACTGCTGTCTATCATGAAATTCTGATAGGTTATCTAGAGTATGTTAAGAAGTTAGGGTAAGTTTCCTATTTTATTATATTGTATGCTATTGTGTATTGCAACTTATAAAAGAAACATGGAATCTTTTAGGGTTAGTGAACAGATTTAAAATTGTAAAGTCAATTATATTGAGGTCAAGTGGACAGAAAGTTTGTTGAACACCAAATAAGATGTTTCTAGACCATGTTGCCAATCCCTTCTCTGTAGCAGCCAGAAGATAAGTATGTTTTCAGCATGTATTTTAAAATCTTGGGCATAGATATGCTTTGATTAGTACACTACTAGTAGCAAATAAGAATGTATTTTTTGTTTCGTCACTGAAGAATGCGTATATGAAAGTTCCAAGTGAGGATTGTGTGTTAGAGAAGAATAAAATGAAAGAATTCCTGAAATACTGTCATGAAGACAGTTAATTTATGTTAATATTATAAAGATCAACTGTAACTTAGATGGATCACCTGAGAGTAGTGTGTGGCTCTTAATTTACATTATAATACTGGTAGCATTTTATTAAAGGCTTCATTAATGCATTAATTGTTTTGGAAGAGAAATTTTAGACTAAAATGTGTGATAGGCTAGTTTTAATCTAAGTTTAAAATTAGGAAAGGAAAATCATTTAAAGAAAAGACAGCATATAAAAAGTGTTATTCTTATAAAAGGAAATCCTGATTATGCATGCATCATTATGGTGTTTTTCTGTGCACCTGTGAGCAGACAGACATGCAGTTAATTGTATTCATTGCTTTGTTTCTTGGTTTATCTCAATCAACTTTGATTTTGGAAAAATAACTTTTCAGTGGCAAGTTAAGCATGTCTTGTGTTGAGTGTGTCTATATATTTATGAACAAGGTTTTTATATGATTCTAAAAATAGAAGGATGTGGAAGATGTACTTCAAATGTTCATAATCGTTAATATAAATTAAAGCCGAAATTATTTGGTAAACATGCAGAAAAGAATAATTTCCAAGGGAAGAGAATATATTTGTGTTATTACTAGTTCTATCTGCTCATCAGGCTATAGAATCCTATATGATTACAGGTAGTCCTCAAATACAGTCATAATTGAGTCCAAAATTACAATCATAAATCATTAAGCGAGTCTGCATGTGACCATACTCAACTTTATAATTTTCTTTGCAGCAATCATTATGTAACGCCATTTTCAGGATTGGACATTTTTTGCTAGAAACTGGAAGTAAACCCTGGAAGTTGCCCCCCCCCTCCCAAAAAAAGCATGAAAATTGCAGTCACGAGACATTGCAAATGGGCATACATGGAACTCAGTTGCCAAGTGCCCAAAATGCAATAACATGAGAGGGAATGAGAGAGAAAGCAAGTGCAGCTGTCAGAAATTTGAAAACAGGTCATAAGTAGCTCTGGGGAGGTCCCCAGATTCATTTCTACATCAGAAAGTATTTTTGTCTATAAAGCTTCTGAACCCCTTTTTATTTATTACTTCTGAGTTTTTCAGATATGACATAGTTAGAATATTTCAGAGTCAGCTATCTTGTGGAGTACATTCTTGGTTTGAAAAGGTAACAAATGATTTAAAAAAGTATATTTGAAATAATGTATAATAGAACTAATAACTTATTTCTTCCCTATTAGCTATACAACTGGACATATCTGGGCCTGCCCACCTAGTGAAGGAGATGATTATATTTTCCATTGCCATCCTCCTGATCAAAAAATTCCTAAACCAAAACGATTGCAAGAATGGTATAAAAAGATGTTGGATAAATCCGTGACAGAGCGCATTGTCCATGATTATAAGGTTGGTTGTGCATTAGTTGAAGTATCGTATTTGTTTACCTGTTTATTCCTAAGTCATAGTATTTCAAAAAAGAATAAAAATATCTTTGAAAAGCAATTTTGCATATCTAGTTTTGATATTTATGAAGCCTATTTGAGATTGTCAAATAGGGGTGGTAGAAATAATATCTCATCTTTCTGCATCTCCAAGTGTGCATTAAATAAGGGGGGGGAAATCTACAAGATACGTAATATAGATTGAGAAGATTTAAGAAACTGAACCTTCTAAAGTATAATATATCATTACAACAATAAATACCTACTGTTTTATATTTATCTAATGCAAATATGCAAGCATATATGTTTATATAGCTATTGTGTATTTTTTAAAACTACTGTATTTTTTATAAATGAAACCATATTTAATTATATTTGTCCATATAAAGTCTCTGCCTATAATCTTCACATAGATTGCAAGTGTAATCAGGTCTTTAATCCAGTGATCCCCAACCTTTCTGGCTTTGTGGGCCAGTGGGAAAGGGAGAGAGGAGATGGTTCTACATGAGTAGCGGGCATGCACATGTGCATACAACTCCATTTGCGTGAGTAATGGGTATGCACACCTGCAGCCCACACAATTGGAGCTGTACCCGTGCCTGCTGCTCACAGGAGTGACACTGCGCACGCACTCACCCACTGCTTCCACAGTCCAGTTCCAAACGGGCCACAGTAGTGGGTCATGGCTTGGGGGTTGGAGGCCTCTGCTTCAATCCATTGAGAGAATGGGAACATACAAGCATCTTTCTAATGCTGCATGTTCATTTTTTAGCCATAATAAGGGCAGAGAGAATCCTTTTACACTGTCCAGTTGTCAAATTCCATGTAATAGATATGTAGTTTAAAAGAATATTACCCTTTGAAAATTTTAGCTTTTTCCGCACTATCACATTTATATGGCCCATTACTTTCTCCAAAAATTTTAGTAATTATAGAACATTATAAAACATGTATTTTAAAGAATTGTTGTCCTTACTATATCTTCAACAAAATGCTTTCTAAGATAGTCCCTATCTACACAATTATAATGGAGTCGAATAAATTCTAAATATTATTCAGAATTATAAGTCATAGTTCAAGGTACATCAACACTCTTAATATAGAAATGAAGACACTCTTCCATTGTCTAGGCCAGGGATCCCCAACCCCAGGGTCACAGACTAGTACCAGACCATGGTCCACTAGGAACCAGTCCACACAAGTGAGCAAAGCTTCATATGTGCATGTGTGGGATCTAGGTGACACGGTCTGTGGAAATTTTTTCCCCCCACAGAACTGATCCCTGACATCCAAAACGTTAAGGGGCCGCTGGACGAGGCAATGTAGGGATTTCTAATTCTATATTCAACTCATTTCTTAATGTCTGCATATCAGATTGACTTATTGATAATTATCAATAAAAACCAGTAATAGGATTTTTTCAAAATTTTAAAAGATTTAACAAGTTGTTCTGGTATCTCAAGTTTCAGTATTTCAGAAGCTGAAAATGCTGCAGGTGCAAACAGTTTGTGTCTATGTGTATGTGAGAGGGAGGGGTGTTTTTTTTTTTTTCATTTTATTTTTCTGTTGTATTTTTTCATTTAATTTTTAAGGACTTGTTATGCATTTATTTTACAATGTCTATATCTTTTTGTTTTGTTCCTTTTTGTTTTTGCTTTTTCTATTTTAAAAGTAACAAAAATTAAAAATTGACAACTATTTTACTGTTTTCACATTGTTAAATGTGTGCTGAAAAATATTTTGTGTTGCAGGATATTTTTAAGCAAGCAACAGAAGACCGTCTAACAAGTGCAAAAGAACTGCCCTACTTTGAAGGAGATTTCTGGCCAAATGTTCTAGAAGAGAGCATTAAGGAATTAGAGCAAGAGGAAGAAGAGAGGAAAAGGGAAGAGAACACTAGCAATGAGAGCACTGATGTAAGAAAATGGCTTCTATCAAAAATTCATCTCTGACATTTTAAAATGTAGAAGTAGAGAAAATAAATGATATATTTTGCTCCAGAAATGTTGATAAATTAATTGATGCACAGGAGCAAGTGACTCAGGCCCAACCAGAGGCACTTTGTTTTAATTCGGGAATAACATTAAAATGACTAGAAGGATGTTCCATGTGCTACTGTTCCCAAGCCTTTTGTAGTGAGATTAAGACAGGACTATAAATCTTGTTTGACTCTTTCGGAAGGGCTGGGCTGAATTAATGAAGGTTTTCTTGAACTGATTCTTCAGTTCTTCTGGGAAGGATAAGACCTTAAATAAAATTTAGTTTGCCACTCTCAAACTTCACTATGTTCATTTTCAGGTAAGCAAAGGAGATAGTAAAAATGCCAAAAAGAAAAACAACAAGAAGACCAGTAAAAATAAAAGCAGTTTAAGTCGTGGTAACAAAAAGAAGCCAGGCATGCCCAATGTCTCCAATGATCTTTCCCAGAAACTCTATGCCACTATGGAAAAGCACAAAGAGGTAAGAGTGAAGTAAACACTTCCAGGGCCTCCTAAAATGAGTTTGGAAGGGAGCGGTTGGTGAAGGAAATGTAAGACAAAGTTGGCAAGTGAGACTAAAAGGACAATGAAACATGCTCTTGAGCTTGCGAATGACAAAGCAAGAAGACTATCATTGGCTTTTTAGAAACTAATAACTTTGCGTGGCTTTTTAAAGCACTGCTATTATGTTTATCTAAGATACTGACCATTTTTGTCAAATTGTAGGATGGGAGTACAGTATAAAATATTTTCATGGGCTTACAGTCTAAAGCACATACAAGAAAAAAGTGTGTGAGATATATAATGGAGGAAAACAGTCTATCCCACAATTCATTCAATCAGATTAAAATAACCCGTTAATAAAGTCACCAAAGTAGCCTAATGGTTGTGAATTGATTATGTTCAGAAAATAAAATTATCTGTTTTATGTAGATAACAGATATTGTTTGACACTTCCTTCCCTCTTAACTGTAATGAAATGTTCCATGGATTCACACAGTGTAAAGTTGTAAAATGACATTTTTTTGGCTCTGACTTACTCTATACAAATTCAACCAATAATTTACCATTTCCAGGTAAGATGAAATAAAATCATGTTTTAGCTAAGTCCTCATTCACTTGTACTACCACCTACTTGCCATTGATTATAACTGGATCACTAAAGAAAACTAAATGACTGCATTTCAGTGTTTAGTTAGTACATGGTAGAAGGATTGCTACAAATTATATTACTACTCTAATAAGCACTTGATGAAAGTGAAAAAAATTAAAGCTTCTGTCTGATACCTGTAACCTATACAAACATTTAACACTGACATTAAAAGCATAAACTATGAAACATTCTATATTCAAAGAAGGTGACTTAGACGAGAACCTAAAATAGGCCTGTCTCTTTTACAGGTATTCTTTGTGATCCGTCTCATTGCTGGTCCTCAAGCCAACTCTCTGCCTCCCATCACTGAACCTGACCCACTTATTCCATGTGACTTAATGGATGGGCGTGATGCCTTCCTTACCCTTGCTAGAGACAAGCATCTTGAGTTTTCTTCACTACGAAGAGCAATGTGGTCAACTATGTGTATGCTAGTAGAGCTGCATACACAGAGCCAGGACCGTTTTGTGTACACCTGCAATGAGTGCAAGCACCATGTGGAGACAAGATGGCATTGCACTGTTTGTGAGGTATGCCTAACCTATAGTGAAGCAGCTGGTTAAACTTGCATTTCAGGAATTTCTGTTTCCTGCTAGTTTCCCTTGTACGTGCTTAATCATTGGATAATAAATATATAGGTACCTCTGTCATTTCAACATAGGTCCCCTCTATTTACTAGTTACTTAATAACTTTATAATATAACAGAGATCCATGAAATGATAGGAATCCCTGCTAAAGAGAATACATTACCTACCTAACCATGGTGGCGTAGTGGTTAGAGTGCAGTACTGCAGGCTATTTCTGCTGACCGCCTGCAGACTGCAATTTGGCAGTTCAAATCTCACCAGACTCGAGGTTGACTCATCCTTCTGAGATGGGTAAAATGAGGACCCACATTGTTGGGGGCAATATGCTGACTCTGTAAACCACTTAGAGAGGGCTGTAAAGCACTGTAAAGTGGTATATAAGTCTAAGTCCTATTGCTATTGCTATTATTTACCTGAGAATTCCATGGGTTTATGCATATAAGACTACATCAATATGAAATATTGATTTGTGATTCTTTGTATATTAGTACCCATGCATTATTACTTTCTGTGATCTTCACTGTATAGTTTTGATATTCTATTAACTCTGGTAAGCATTTGGTTAACTTGCCCAGCTTTTTACTTTTGCCTATTTTAATAAGTTTTTCTGTTAGGGTTAGGATGCAAAGATGCTTATGTGCATAAAATATAAGATTTTTTTCTTAGATAACTTTACTATTACCATATTGAAATTGTTAGAAGATAAATAATGTAGTCTAATTAACTTCTGTTGGTCTAAAGTTCCAAGTAACTGACTATAATAATTTCTGTGTTTAGGATTATGACTTGTGCATTACCTGCTATAACACTAAAAACCATGAGCACAAGATGGAGAAACTGGGCCTTGGTATTGATGATGAGAGCAACAACCAACAGACAGCCACCACTCAGAGTCCTGGTGATTCACGTCGCCTGAGTATCCAGCGCTGCATCCAGTCTTTAGTTCATGCCTGCCAGTGTCGCAATGCCAACTGTTCACTGCCATCTTGTCAAAAGATGAAGAGAGTTGTCCAGCACACCAAAGGTTGCAAACGCAAAACCAATGGAGGGTGTCCAATTTGCAAACAACTCATTGCTCTTTGCTGCTACCATGCTAAGCACTGCCAGGAGAACAAGTGCCCAGTGCCATTTTGCCTAAATATCAAACATAAACTTCGTCAGCAACAGCTTCAGCATCGCCTACAACAGGCCCAGATGCTCCGGAGGAGGATGGCAAGCATGCAGAGGACAGGCATAGTAGGACAACAGCAAGGGTTGCCTTCACCTACACCAGCCACACCAACTACTCCAACAGGCCAGCAGCCACCAACTCCTCAAACACCACAGCCTCAGCCTCCACCACAGCCTGCTTCGCAACCACAATCTGCACCTCCTAATAACATGCCTCCATATAGCATTGCAAGAACTCAACCTCCTGGTGCTGTGTCTCAAGGCAAGGCAGGTGGCCAGGTAACTCCTCCAACAACTCCTCAGACTGTTCAGCCACCTATCCAAGGTCCTCCTGCAGCTGCCGTGGAAATAGCCATGCAGATACAACGAGTAGCAGATCACCAGCGGCAGATGGCCCATGTTCCAATCTTCCAGAGGCCTATTCAACACCAGATGCCTCAAATGAATCCAATACAGCCTATGAGTGTAACGCCACCTCAGATGGCCAGAGGTCCTGGTGGGCACATAGACCAAGGGATGGGATCAGCAGGAATACAGCAGCAGCCAGCATGGGCCCAAGGTGGGTTGCCACAACCTCAGCAACTGCAGCCAGGAATGCAAAGACCGACTATGATGTCAATGGCCCAATCTGGACAGCCAATGAATATGTCACCGCAACCAGGAATGGGTCAGGTACCTGGTACAGCTCCATCAAAACCAGGCTCTCTGCCTCAGGCAGCCTTACAAAACCTGCTGCGGACTCTCAGGTCTCCCAGCTCTCCCATGCAGCAGCAGCAGGTGCTTAACATCTTGCATTCAAACCCTCAGTTGTTAGCTGCTTTCATTAAGCAGCGAGCTGCCAAGTATGCGGGTAACCCAAATCCGCAAGGCATGCCGGGACAGCCTGGAATGCCTCAGGGCCAGCCAGGTCTTCAGCAGCAGCAACAGCAACAGCAGCAAGTCATGCAAGGACAACAAGGTGTTCACTCAAATCCAGCCATGCAGAACATGAATCCAATGCAAGCAGGTGTTCAGAGGCCTAGCATGCCTCAGCAGTCACCGCCTCAGCAGCCTCCACCCCAACAAGCCATGGGTGGGATGAATCCTCAGGCACAGCCAATGAACATGAATCATTCGGGGATATCTCCCCAGTTCCGGGATCTCCTGCTAAGACGACAGATGATTGAACAACAGCGGCAGCAGCAGCAGCAGCAACAGCAGCAGCAACAACAAGGAACAGGACCTAATTTAGGTCCTGGCATGGCCAATCATAACCAGTTCCAACAGCCTCAAGGAGTTGGGTATCAGCAGCAGCAGCAACAGCAGCAGCGAATGCAGCATCATATGCAGCAGTTGCAGCAAGGAAATATGGGACAGATGGGCCAGCTTCCTCAGGCCATGAGTGCAGACACAGGATCAAATTTGCAGCAGGCTTACCAACAGCGATTACTCCAACAGCAAATTGGATCCCCAGCGCAGCCGAATCCTATGAGCCCTCAGCAACACATGCTTCCTAATCAGGCCCAGTCCCCACACTTACAAGGTCAACAAATTCCATCATCGCTTACCAATCAAGTTCGTTCTCCACAGCCTGTCCCTTCACCACGCCCCCAATCCCAGCCACCCCACTCCAGCCCTTCCCCTAGGATGCAGCCTCAACCTTCTCCACATCACGTCTCCCCACAGACCAGCTCCCCACATCCAGGACTGGTAGCTGCCCAGGCTAACCCCATGGATCAAGGGCACTTTGCCAGCTCGGACCAGAGTGCAATGCTTTCTCAGCTTGCTAGTAATCCAGGCATGGCAGGGCTCCATGGTGCAGGTGCCACAGAACTGGGACTCAGCTCAGATAATTCAGACTTAAATTCAAATCTTTCACAGAGTACACTAGACATACGCTAAGATTCATTGTAGCATTTTGGGAGCAAAAAAAAAAAAAAACTTATTTTCGCAAGACGTTTTGTACTGAAGACAATTTTTTGAATCTTTCTTAGCAGAACATTTTCCCTGGAATACACCTGAAATCTGCAACAATAGTTTGTGGTTTTAAAAACAAACAAAAAAACCCCCCCTCCAACTGAAATGGGGGACAATGGAATACAAAGAAAATATATTTTTGTTATGGCTGGGACTGTAACCAGTCCTTTTTTTTTTTGTTTTTGTTTTCCCTTCGCGTGCGTTGGGGAGGTGCTTGGGAGCGGATAGTTGTTTGGCTGCTGACCAAATGACTTCCTTCACTAGCCTCCAATAGGTTTTATTTTTTTTAAATTAATGAAAATATGTAATATTGATAGTTATAATTTACTGAGGCAAATGGTTAACTTTTCCCTATTCTGGTTTTCCTCTTGTCTACTGCAAAAACAACAACAAAAACAAAACAAAAAAAAAGAACATTACCTAAACTGGAGGACAAAAAGGTGAATGTTGCTTTAAAATTACAGTGCATATATATATATAAATATATATATAAATATATATTAAAGATAAATACCAATTTTCTTCCTCGGTTGGAAAGATGTCAAATCTTTTAAAAACTGTAAAAAAATATTAAGAAATCCAGTCTCCCCTCCGAAGTCTACTTTTGTCCTCCAAGAATTTTCTATACCAGAGTCTGAGCTTAAACTTCAAGTATTAAAATTTGTACATGTAGAAAAGAAAACTTTTTTGCAAATATATGGGGGCAGCTGCCAAATGGATGTAGTATATATATTGTGGTTTGTTTTCCTGAAAGATTTTTTGTTATTTTTACATCTAACAAAGGAAAAAACTAAAGAGGGTAAGAAACTATTCCAAGGGTAAAATTTTAACCTGAGTGAAAATCCCTGGGGTTTCTTCTTTATGCTTGCTTTCTCTTTCCCTTCCTTCCCTTTTTCTCCTCTTCCATTTTCTGTAAAACTTGAAAATAGAAAGCAAAAAACCCTCAAATGTTGTAAATCATGCAATTAAAGTTGATTACTTATAAATATGAACTTTCGATCACTGTATAGACTGTTAATTGATTTCTTATTACCTATTGTTAAATAAACTGTGTGAGACAGACTGGTTTTTTTATGCTTCCCTTCTTCTTTTCCCTACGGTTGGTGCTTATTTTACAGTGGGGAAAGAAGATGGTATGCTTTTACAGACAATTTATGGAAATCCAATCCGTGTAAATATACTTGTGTTTGGTCTTTTTTAAAGGTGGGTATTTTAGACTGTAATGAAGATGATGAATGTCCATTTTGGTGTGCCTTTGTATGTGCTTTTATTTGTGCTTTGAAAAGTACAGAGAGTTTTAATATCCAGGTGAGATGCTGATTGCATATTTGACTTGGTTGCACTTCAATCTCAAGCAAACATGTTCAGTGTGCAAATTTTTGAGCTGTGCAGGCTTACTCTTCTGTGATTCAGGAAGTTGCTTTGCACTCTGATTCAATAGTATTGAAAATAATGAAAACTTCAGGCACATTTTGACCACTCCAGCAGTTACAGATTTTAATTATAAAAATGCTTTGATACATCCTTCACCAAGGACAGCAGTTTTGTATTTTGAAGCTTTTCATGCCCCCTCACTTAAACGGAGTAAATAATTCTTAGCTAAACATCTGTTATACAAGGAATCTAAAGATACACCTTGATTTCGTCTGATGTAGACGGACCTGAGAATCTGAGGAAGTTTTAAGTTTTTGCATTGTCATGTATTAACATATGGAAACTCTGTCATCTTGATGTCAACATGTGCTGGTAAAGATAAGGTCTTCTAAATTATATATGGTGTCTTGTATCCATTTTTAGATTGGCTCAAAACCATGGTCAGGCTCTTATTTTGGGTACCCCGAGGAATAAGCACTGTCGTCTTAGATTAGCAAATTATAGCATTAGCGGTTGAATATTAAGTAAAGATAAAAGGATACAGATAAGTTTAATATGGAAATACTAGCAGAAAAGAGAAAAACAGGAATATACAATTCCTAGTACAAATATAATTAACACAGGATATGTTAAATTGTACACCTGCAATGATCTGTAATATCAAAATTCAATTTAAGTTGAAATGGTGCTCAGTATAACTTGGATGAATAACTATTTTGCCAAATTTATATTTTATATTTGTTAGAATAGATTTCTATTCATTAAGCATTATAGCCCCCACCCCCACCCCAAGGTGCTTATGACCTGAATTTGAAGTTCTGTTGGTCAGTCCCAGTCCCCTTGCAATCAGGTGATGTTCGCATTTTTCGTACTCTGCAGCCAGCCCACATTAACAGCTGTCTGCAGCATCCTGTAGTCATGTGACTGACTTTCTACATTTTTTTGCCAGAAATCGGCATTTACTTAGAGTTTCTGCCAAAAAAAAAAATGTCCATTGTGGAAAATGGGTTCTCTTAACAATTGCTACAAAAAAATGTAAAATCAAGGTCGATCATATGGGTGCCAAAATTTAACAATTGCCATGACATACAACAGAAATGCCAGACGCCGTTAGTCATAATTCAGAGACTACCTGTAAATGATTGCTTCATTTTTTATCTATATAAATTCCTTCTGCATGCTTTATTTGGAAGTGTAATCAAGTAGCTACGTAAACTGACCTCACTGGTTCCATATTTTTTAAAGAGTTTATAGTGATCTTAATCTGTTCCTTCAATGGGTATAAGTTTTATATCATGCTACTTTTTAGGGTTTAATTACAATTAGCAATGAGAAATGTTCCCCTAGAAGAATTAAATATGTGGCACTTACTAGTTCAATTTTAATTATGTTTTTGGCTAGTGTAGAAAAATGGAGATATTCCTCTCTGAAGACCCCATTCTCTTTCATGGTAACATCTAAACTCAGAAGCTTATTTCATAGACATCTTTAGGTTGAATTATTCTTTCATCTTGTAGAAGCATCATAGACATGTATTTTTTACAAAAATGTTTACATTTCCTTCAAAAATATTTAGCATATCATTGTAAAGTAATTTGTACATTTCCCAGCTAAGAACTATACAAAAAATTACATCTATTTTGTTATGATACACAAGATCAGAGATTTTTGTTTGTTATGAAATCATAGCACATGCAGAGCTATCTCTAAATCAAGATTAGTGATAGTATTAAATCAATAATTAACTTAATAGGTGCCTAGGATGCATTGTTGAATTGAGAAACAAGATACATGTGAATTACATGCCTTTGAGGTATTGGATAATACCTCATCAAATGTCAATCTGTTGGGATTATCAAAAAATGATTTCCAAATACACTTCGTATATTTAGGAAGATAGGTTCTTACAGAGGATGTAACTGCAGCTGCCCCATTTACTAACATCTACCATTAAATATTTTGATCAATATCTCTAGGAATTACTCATATTGATACTAATTTTTTATTTTATTTTAATTTATTGGCTGCCCAACTTTAATGAACCATAAACCATAAACGAAATGAATTTACAAAATAATGAAGCTTTCCCTTTATCTGTGGAACTTAGCTCTAAAATTCAATAAAAGATAGTGAAAGTAGAAGACAAAAATAAAGAGTATCGAATACTGCAATTGCAAATCTATACAAATATCATGCCTGGATTGGTACCTATTCTAACACCTTTGTTTTCCCAGCATCCTGAGATAATCCAAGTAAAATATGAGTAGATATTTCCGAATTATATAAAAGATTATACCTAACTCCAGGAAAAAAATAAAAAATAAAAAATAGCACAACTTTGAGGACTCTTGCCTCTGTCTGTGCATGGGAGCATTCATTACCTTCTTTAATTGCTCTGACACATAGAGGTAGAAATAGAATATATCCACTACTGGAAGGAAGAGTTGAAAATAACCTGCTAGTATGGAATTTGGACTCTGTTGGTATCAGTAAAAATTAACACTGCCAAATAACTAGATGTGATTTCTTGGGAGCATACGCTGAAAGAACATATTTTAATTCCTAAAGGTTTATTACTCGGTGAAAACAACTGAGTCAGCTGAGTTCTCATTTGCATATCAGATTTTATTCAGACAATGTATATCTAATCATGAAGTTCCTAAAGAACTAATTGTTTCTAAAGATAGGGGAACTACTGTATTCTCCCACTCTTCTACAAAATCAATGATAGTATTACCACCATATTTGTAAAGCATTTTTGGCATTTTGGCATCTAAGCTAACTTGGTAGGCAAATGGTAGGTTATTATGAAGATTTAAACTTGGATGCCACCAGATTCTCAATAACTGAGCAACTTGTCATAACCAAACTAAAATTTACAATAAAAAAAAAAAGATGGCAAGTGCAATGAAGTGAAAGATCTGCCAAAAGCCTTGGTGAAGTGCTGGGTCTTCATTAGTTTTCTAAACAACAGTGGGATGAGAATGGAAGATAATAACAGAATGTATCAAAAGTCAGATGAGTGTTATTTTTCCCCCTACAAAAATGTTAAAGTACTTAAGAGTCCTCCATATGTCATATGGCAACTAGTTTGAATATTTAATGTAATATAATAAATTGTCTATGGGCCTGATTTTTGGATCATCCTTTATATGTACTGGTAGATCATTGAGGGACTTGCTATGACTCACATTTCATATTCCCAATTACAGCAGCAATAGATTGATATCCCTGGGCTTGTGATGCAGCCAGAGGTGGGTTTCAGCAGGTTCTGACCAATTCTGGAGAACTGGTAGTGGAAATTTTGAGTAGTTCAGAGAACCGGTAGTAAAAATTCTGACTGGCCCCACCCCCATCTATTCTCTGCCTCCCAAGTCCCAGCTGACCGGGAGGAAATGGGGATTTTGCAGTAACCTTTCCCTGGATTGGGGAGGGAATGGAGATTTTACAGTATCCTTTCTCTGGAGTTGGGTGGGAATGGAGATTTTACAGTATCCTTCCCCTGCCACATCCACCAAACCATGCCACGCCCACCAAGCACGCCCAGAGAACCGGTAGCAAAAATTTTTGAAACCCACCACTGGATGCAGTCAACATTTAAAGTTTTGTATGAAAAGACTTGATTCTTTTTGGCTACTCAAAATTTATTCCAAATAGGAAACATTTAAATAATTTCAACAGAACACTTCATTTGGTGGATCTTGGCTAATAGCTCCTATTATATTTAAAACTGCTGCCTCTTTATTTGAATTTTAAAATGAGGCAAGATGATAATCTTTTTAGCTTTGTTTTTATATATAATCTGCTATACTTTGTATTTAAATTATTTTCAGAGAAAAATTGAATTGAATTGAAAAGACCTAATATATTAATCATAACTTCCATGACAATTTCGAATTAAACATCCCTTTGGTAGGTTTTGGCTGTCTCTTCGAGAAGTATATTATCCTGCACTTCAGTTATGCAATCATTTTATATAGTTGTGCATAAGGAGGAGAAATCAGGATTTCTTACTGGAGTAGTAATTTGGATAACATTCAGGTTAAGTGACACCTGAAAGAAAGAAAAAAGAATAGGCTAAATAGTAGCAAAAAATGTCTTTATTCTGTTTTGGTGCTCCTGTAGTGCTGAAAAAAAATTACAATTATACTCATATTTTAATATTGTTGCATATTGTAGCATATACTTTTCATAATATGTGTGACTATGTTCCTATTCTATATTCCCTATTACAAGGTAGATTAGGGATTAGGTCAAAGCAATGTGAAGGCAATGTTATATCTTCCAGCAGCCCAGAATTCTTTTTAAATTACCTTTCAGTTTCTAAAATATATCACAGGAGAATGTTAAAATTCCATGAGGTTGCTGCCATGTTCTTTCTGTCTCCAACTATCCCCTTGCCTTGAGCCTTAAAATAGCCTACCAAGTGTATAAAATTCTTATTTTAAACCTGTCCTAATATTTTTAACAACAGCATCATTGGTAAAAGCTATGTATCTAAAATTTTCCTGCTTTAGGGATGGAAGTGTCAGCAAGTCCATTGTAAAGATCTCAAGTTTTTCCTTACTTAATTGTGAAAAACCATTTTTAATGTTTTACCTAAAACTGTTTTTGAAGTAGTTTGAAAATTACTATTATTTGCAGAAAACACTTAATAGAAATAAAGATGCCAAATATTAAATATTAAACTATCCCCTTGCAGAGAGATGAGCAGTAAATAAATTCAATAAATATAATAATTTAGTTGAAGATAATATATCCTTTATAACATGTACAGCTTCACCTAATAATTCCACTTTACAAGCTTCAATTAAAGCCTAGATAATCTTGCAAAGTAGTTGATACTTGTGCATTTCTTCCTTTACAGTTATATGATTACAGCAAATATTTACTGCCAAATGAAATTAGTCATAAGAAATCAGAGATCTGAATTAAGACAATATTGCATTTATCTTCAAAATGTAGAGTTGTATCTCTTAATGGAGCCTCTCATATTGGTATCTCTAGTGCCTTTTTTTCTTTTATTGTATATATTGATATTTTTATTTCCATTATACCATATCATTCTCTTCTCATGTTTACTTTTCTACTACAGTTTTCCTCTACATTCTATTAGCTGTAGTGCCGTTTATTTTTTATATAATGCTATCAATAATGTAATGGTTACCTTAAAAATAAGAGGATAGTTTTCTGCCCTGAATAACTTAAAATTAGAAATCAGAACAGCCTTTGTACTTTTGGTAGGAGAGTTCTCTACATAAGTGAATTTAACAAGGCAGAATAGTGAAAGATGAGAAAAGACACTGCTATATTCAAAGCAAGTGATCAGCCATATAAGAAAAAAATAGAAAAAAATTTGTAATGTTTATCATACAGATGTCACATGATTTGATAATTATTGGGGCAAAGGAGTACAAGATAAAGATTATTCAGTGTAATGGATAGTGACATTATGTAATGAGTGAATGAGGATTGGAAGGAATACTGTAGTTTGGCCTCAGACATATCAGCCCACGGTATCCTTCAGCATCTGGCAAGATCTGGCCTTGAAAATGATGTTTCATAGTGATTCCAATCTGCCTGTCAGGTGATGTTAATGTCAAGTGATTTCTGTTTGGACCCTTAGGCCATTGATCTGTGATGTCCTACAAGATTCCATCTTGTTTCCCATGCTTTTTACAAATCTGTGAAGCTTATGGTAGAGTTTTGAGATGGTATGCAATATGTTCTCTTAAATTCGACTGTTTCACATCTTGTTACATACTATTTTGATTCCTACAATATATCCAGAAGTTGCAATTGGTGTGAACAGCAGCTAGTTTGCTACTATACAGGGAACAAAAATAATAGGATATAGCAATAATCTGTATTAATCCTTTTTTTCCAGGCACAATTTAGTGAATTGATATTGACCTTTAAATCCTAAATTATTTTGGCCCGTCTAAAGGATTCTCCCAGTATAATTCTGTCTGGGCTGTTAAAATAGAGGTTGTTAAGACACATTTGTTTTGCCACATTTGTTTTTTGTTTTTTTTTAATGAACTGATTACCTACCTGGAATGCTTTCCAAAATAAATAGGCAAGGAGGCAAAGTTTTCAAGTTAGTTTGTCAAAAGAACATATAGAGATGCTGCACTACATGAATTGAAAATTTACTTCTAGAGTAGAGAAAGATGTCCTTGGTGCAAAGGTGATACAAAAAGTTGTTATATGTCAGGTGAAGAACATTTGTAGGGTCCTTCTATATGCATCATGTATATACAGCAGAAATTGCAATTGTGCTGCTATGTTCCCATAGTCCTGGGATTCTGCTGTTGTTGAGTTGATTAACTTCTAGTTAATGCAATGCAGGAGGAACCAGCAAAAACAATTCCAGAGTTAATGTTGGAACAAAAAAAATTGGCAGAATTACTAACAGGAATTCTTGTTTTGTTCTTAGTTAGTTAGTTAGGATAATGCAAGAAAACAAGCAAGCTACAAATATTCTCCTTTATTGTCCTTATTTATTTAAATATTTATTTAATTTATTTATTTAATAAATATTTAAATAAATATTTATGTGGCAACCAACTCCATCTAAGTGACTCTGGGCAATTTACAGAAATTTACACGAATCTAACAGAAAATATACAAAACCACAGAACAATGACCAGAAAATAATAAAATGGCAATCCAAGAAGAAATGACACCTTTATCCAGTTGGGGATTTTTAAGGTCTGAGGAAAGGCTTTCTCCGTTTGCCTTGCCATCATTTTGTAACACTTTTTAAATTGAGGGACAGTTCCCTCTCTACTAGGGAAGAAGTGCTAATAAACAACTGGAAACTTTTTTGCATCTTCCGGTGATTATCTAGAAGACATTAGAACAATAGTGAGAACATAGCTCAAGTAGTGTAAAAATGTTTCTGAAGTTTTGGGCGTGAAGCTGGTGACTATTGAAATGCCCCAAGAATTGGTAGGAGAATGAGAAAAATGAGACTTGAAGGATTCCAACCAAAAAAAAAGTCTCACATGATGTAAAAATTAGCTATTGGAGCAGGGGTGAAATCCAGCAGGTTCTGACAGGTTCTGGGGAACTGGTAGTGGAAATTTTGAGTAATTCAGAGAACCAGCAAATACCACCTCTGGCTGGTCCCAGAGTGGGGTGGGAATGGGGATTTTGCAGTATCCTTCTCTTGGAGTGGGGTGGGAATGGAGATTTTGCAGTATCCTTCCCCTGCCATGCCCACAAAGCCACAGAACCAGTAGTAAAAAAAATTGGATTTCACCATTATATTGGAGAACAAAAGATTACAGAAAGACAAAAATCTAAGCCAAAGAGAAAGATTACAAAAATCTTAGCCAAAGAAAAAAGAAATACTGAGGTAAATCAAAAGGAGCAGTGATTTTGAACATTACAGATGTTCGTCTTATTGTCTAATCCTTGAAATAGCTACACTTCTAATGGGTTCCTAATCCTAATAAATTGGGTTTGTTCTTTGTCAGAATGGAGAATATTATAATCCAACAGATCTATTTGCAGGGCAAAATTTAGGGCAGGACATCAGGACAGAAATTGAGGGTTCAAATACACTACAGTAGGATCTTCACTCCCCATTTTGAAATATGAAACCATCTAAAAGGAAGCTAATATTGTTACATTTCAATCTATAGAATTGCTGGTAAAAGTAACTGCAAAATGGTTAAGACTTATGTATAAACGTCCTATTCTAATTAGTGCAATTTACCGTTATTTCTGAGCAAATGTTCAAAAGGAGCAATAGATGGCACCTTAAGCAGTGATTAGCCACATCCAATGATACTTGAGGAAAGGATGAGGAAAGAGCTATGCCCTCTTAATGCTCAAAGATGAATGATAGCAAATGGGAAATATGGCTGCCGGTGCCGAGGCACGATTAGAATTGGCAGATGGCTGGCGAAAAGAGACGTTTTGTTTCGTGTACAGTTTCGGAGCTCCGTTTAAGACATTTTTTAGACATTTGGGCTGAAGCGCTGACACAGTGTCACCCGCTCTTTTCCTCCTGGGAGGAAACAGAGCACTTCCCCAATTCGGAAACTCTTTTTGAACTATTAATCCTACAGTGTAATAATAAGCACCCTCCCCAGCGGCGATATGGAATAGAAGAATGGGAGTAGCAGTCCACAATTCTCCACAGAGAACTGACACTTTAAGGACTTTCCTTCCCAGTGTTCCCTGGGGCAGAAGGAAGGTTGCGATTGGTAGTCGTCTTTAAGCTTGTCTTCCTGTCGCTGTCGATCCTTTCTCTTCATTGGTGCCCCTGCAAAAGCGTGCAAGCTTCTGTGCGCTCGAGGCGCGTAAAGGACCGGGAGGTTGGTCTGCCGTTTGGTGGCTGACGTGCGCCTGAAGGGAAAAGCGGTGCGCGCTCGGCAGCCTCTTGCTCCGGATAGCGGCGTGCGTTAAATTGGCGTGTGGCTGAGAGCCATGGACCGGGAGGAAGGCGAGGTAAAATATATTTAGCCCACTTGTGTGCTCGGAGAGACTTTCGGCGCTAAAAGTTACAGGGAATCTTTGCTTTGGATAATTACGAGCGGGAAGAAAGAGCGTCTTACCTGAATGATCTCTTTACTACCTCTGCGGTTCCCGTGCTTTATTTCTTTTACCTGACAGTAGAAAGTAGGTCCCTCAAAGTAGAGATTCGTGGGTCCCTTTTCCCGCAATAATCCTCGGGAGCTTCTTGAAACTTGCTTATTGTTAAATATTTTCATTCGTCTTCCCTCAATCTGTCGCAAGCAATCTGACATTTAGCTACAAGATATTTATCTCAGGATTACCAATTGTCCATCATGCAATATACACTGAAGACTGGAATGTACTTTTGCTTTACTTGGTGACCGAAGGTGCCAGCAATTGCCACTCTCCTGCCTGTCTCTTGCTTGCTGGGGCATTTATAAAATTTATAGGCTACTGCAATCTGCCTCACAAAAAGCAAAGCATCACACAAGTAATCGATCACCCACCTGGGGGGTGTGGGGGAGGCAGCCTTGAGAGCTCATTGAAATAAGGTCAGGATGGAGCCCTATGAATTTAGTATTATCAGTTGAATTCTAGAACAGTGTTTTTCAAACTTCACAACTTTTAAGATATGTGGACTTCAACTTTCAAAATTCTCCAGCTACCCTGCTAGCTGGGGAATTCTGAGAGTTGGAGTCCACACATCTTAAAGTGAGATAGAATCAATGGCCCACATGTAATGATATTGCCAGTCTCATAGCGAATCTCTACTTCATTTTAATGCCATATTGCTGCTACTGAAGGAGAAAAGTTGCAGCACTCTAATTGCAAATATTCCTGTTTGTGTAGCTGGTGGGATAGAATCAATGAACTATGTATAATAATATTACCTGCCTCACAGGGAGCCCCACCTTACTAAAATAATGCCTTCAATAGTTCAGTGTTCAATGGAGTGGGGGTGGAGAGTAAAAAAGGTAGAGTCCCTGCAGATTTAGTCTGCTAGTCATAGACAGCGTTAGGGGTGGTGCTTATCTCCATTTCAAAGACATTGAGCCAGTGCTACCTGAAGAAGTTTCCATAGTGATGGAACAAAGCACTGTTATCTTCCCATTTAAGTGGAACCTGTTTACCTACTCATATTTGCATGCTTTTGAACTGCTTTGTTGGCAGGAGGTGGGGCAAGAATGGTCACTCCAACACATGGCATTCAGGTCTCGAACCTGGGATATCAACTCTCCAGCTAACAAGCCCAGCATCTTAACCATTGAGCCATTGCACCATCCTGGGAATGGAGAAGCTCACGTTTATTATCGAACTAATAAGATTGACTTCTAATGTCACCAATTTTGCAGAATTTGTGCCACTTCATCAGCAGTTACTCACAGAACACTTACTATATATATTATTTTGTTTACATTTAAATTTTAATCTGGGTTACACATTTTTACTTTAGCTGGTTGTTGACCATAAGAGCTGACTATAATGACATAAACCTATTATAGTACATATAGCATCCTTCTTCATCCTAAAATATAAACTCTCTTGTTTATGACTTCTGTGCTTCTAGAATTTGTTACATAGTCTCACATTCATAACAAGTAAGAAACTCAATTTTGTTATAAGGATACATTAAATGTTAAGAAGAAAATGGTTTCATTCTGACCAATTGATAAATTCGTATTCTAGGAGCCAGTTACAAAGTAGCTACTATTTTCAAAAAACTCTGCTAGAAATTGAAAATATGTATTGAAAGATACAATTGCCCATCACTTATCTATGAGACTCCAATAGCAACATTTTGTTGAAAAAATTAAAAGCATTTAACTGATTGCTATACAGTATAGCTGTATATTTTTTATTGGTACTCTGAAAATTTCAGTAAATGTTATTGATGTCCATGCCTGTTTGATATCCTAATATTCTGAAACTATAGAATTAATAGTTCTGGGTAGTCCAATAATAAGAACAGAAACAACTTATATCACCTGCTGTTTAGAAATTTAAATTGCATTTACTTATACAAACCAACTAAGCACACTTGGGACTATGACTAGGTTCAAGTATGGTTTTCTTAGTCTGGTTTAATCATGCTTATTCTTGGAACACACCATAATTGGTTAAGTTCATAAAATACACAAAGTCATACCTTGTGATTTACAAGTCATGGCAAACTAAATAAATCATATTATGACTTAGAAAAATATAACAATCCTGTTAGTATATTCATTCTTGCTTTGAAGAAACAAAGTTCTGTAATATCCTTACTGAATCTATCCCAAGATTAACCATTGTGACCAGCATGCAAACTATGACTGAACTTATTTCTGGTTTTCTGTGTTGTGTTGATGACTTATTAAGTAGGTACAGTTCTAAAAAGACTAGCAAAAGAAAAGTCACATAATGAATAGAGTAGAGTAGAGTAGAGTAGAGTAGAATAGAATAGAATAGAATAGAATAGAATAGAATAGAATAGAATAAATAGAATTAGAATAGAATAGAATAGAATAGAATAGAATAGAATAGAATAGAATAACAGAGTTGGAAGGGACCTTCCAACTCTGTTCCAACCCCCTGCCCAGGCAGGAAACCCTACACCACTTCAGACAAATGGTTATCTAACATCTTCTTAAAAATTTCCAGTGTTGGGGCATTCACAACTTCTGCAGGCAAGTTGTTCCACTTATTAATTGTTCTAACTGTCCGGAAATTTCTCTTTAGTTCTAAATTGCTTCTCTCCTTGATTAGTTTCCACCCATTGCTTCTTGTTCTACCCTCAGGTGCTTTGAAGAATAGTTTGACTCCCTCTTCTTTGTGGCAACCCCTGAAATATTGGAACACTGCTATCATGTCTCCCCTAGTCCTTCTCTTCATTAAACTAGACATACCCAGTTCCTGCAACCGTTCTTCATATGTTTTAGCTTCCAGTCCCCTAATAATCTTTGTTGCTCTTCTCTGCACTCTTTCTAGAGTTTCATCATCTTTTTTACATCGTGGCGACCAAAACTGAATGCAATATTCCAAGTGTGGCCTTACTAAGGCATTATAAAGTGATGTTAACACTTCACGTGATCTTGATTCTATCCCTTTGTTTATGTAACCCATAACTGTGTTGGCTTTTTTGGCAGCTGCTTCACATTGCTGGCTCATATCTAAATGGTTGTCCACTAGGACTCCAAGATCCTTCTCACAGTTACTACTATTGAGCAAAGTACCACATATAAGGTACTTGTACATTTTGTTTTTCTTCCCTAAATGTAGCACCTTGCTTTTTTCACTGTTGAATTTCATTTTGTTAGATAGCGCCAAATGTTCAAGTCTGTCAAGATCCTTCTGTATCTTGAGCCTATCTTCTGGAGTGTTGGCTATTCTTGCCAGCTTGGTGTCATCTGCAAATTTCATGAGTTCCCCATCTATCCCCTCGTCCAAGTCATTGATGAAGATGTTGAAGAGCACTGGGCCTAAAACAGAGCTTTTCCAAACAGATCCAAACATTGCACAATTTTACTAGCTAATTTGCCCCTGGAAATGTGGGGGTATCTTCTGGAGGCCTCTCAGTAGAAATGCTGATCATATAATTTTTTAAAAAGGAAAATTGGTATTAAATATTTTATAGATGGTATATAAATCATTACTAAGATCAAATAACAATAAATGTTAGAAATGCTGCAAAGAGAAAGGAACATTCTATCACTTATGGTGCTCTTTTAAGAACTAAATATTACTGGAAAGTAATACATCAAAATATTGAGAAAATTCTATAAAATAAAATTTGGACTGAAACTGCAAATATTATGGTACATTTATTCATGTGAATCTTTCTTAATTTCTTATAAAATCAATGTGATAATAGAAATTACAAATTACAAATTTTATTAAAAATTAAAGTGACAAAAATATACATCAAACAAATATATAACATGAGTGTGCTCTGGTTTTTAGTATAGAGATTAATATAACAACCATTCTCTGAGTTTATATTTATTTATTTATTTATTGCGATTTATATGCCGCCTTTCTCCCTAGGGACTCAAGGCGGCTTACAAAATGACAACTTCAATACAAATCACAATACAATACCAAATTAAAATCAGTAACCCAATTAAAAAATGATTTAAAATTATACCAGTGTACCCCCAAACAGATCAGTTTAATTGGCGGAAGAGCCACGTCTTCAGCTCGCGACGGAAGGAAAGAAGGTCGGGGGCTGTCCTGAGCTCAGTGGGCAATCCATTCCAGAGGGTCGGGGCTCCCACAGAGAATGCCCTCCCCCTGGGGGTCGTCAGCCGACATTGTTTGGCCGACGGCACCCTGAGGAGGCCGACTCTGTGAGAGCGCACAGGACGATGGGAGAATGGCTGGAGATGGTCCTGCAAGTACCCCGGGCCTAAGCCATGAAGGGCTTTATAGGTGAGCACCAGCACCTTGAAACGTATCCGAAGTGCCACCGGTAGCCAGTGCAGCTCACGCAGGAGAGGTGTTACACGGGAGTATCTAGACGCCCCCGTAACTACCCGCGCGGCTGCATTTTGGACTAGCTGAAGCCTCCGGACACATCCCAAGGGCAGCCCCATGTAGAGGGTGTTACAGTAGTCCAACCGAGAGGTAACAAGGGCGTGAGTGACCGTGGCGAGGGCATCCCGGTCTAGGAACAGGCGCAACTGGCGCACAAGACGGACCTGTGCGAAGGCCCCCCTGGTTACGGCCATCAGATGGTCATCTAAAGACAGCCGAGAATCCAGGAGGACACCCAAGTTGCGGACCCTATCGGAGGGAGCAAGGGTTTCACCTCCGATCATTAAGGATGGAACCTCCAGATCCCAGGATGCCGGCATCCACAGCCACTCAGTCTTGGAAGGGTTGAGTCTAAGCCTGTTCCTCCCCATCCAAACCCGCACCGCTTCCAGGCAATGGGACATCACGGAAAGGGCATCCCTAGGGTGGTCAGGGGTGGAAATGTAAAGCTGGGTATCATCAGCATATTGATGATACCTCACCCCAAAACCACGGATGATCTCACCCAGCGGTTTCATATAGATATTAAAGAGCAGAGGAGAGAGAACCGAGCCCTGAGGCACCCCACAAGTGAGAGGCCTCTGGGAGGATCCCTGACCCCCCACCCAATCAGACTGCAGACGGCGCGAGAGATAGGAGGAGAACCACTGTAAAGCAGTGCCTCCTAACCCTATCCCCCTGAGCCGCTGCAGCAGGATACCATGGTCGATGGTATCGAACGCCGCTGAGAGGTCAAGAAGGACCAGGATGGAGGAGCAACCCCCATCCCTGGCCCGCCAGAGATCATTTACTAGGGCGACCAATGCCGTTTTCGTGCTGTGGCCACGCCTGAAACCAGATTGGTAAGGATCCAGGTAGTCAGTTTCCTCCAGGAATTGAGGGAATTGCTGTGCCACCATGGACTCAACAACCTTTGCTAAAAAGCGAAGGTTGGAGACTGGACGGTAGTTGTTAAGTACGTCAGGATCCAGGTTAGGCTTCTTAAGGAGGGGTCGAACCACCGCCTCTTTAAGCGCAGCGGGAAAGACCCCTTCCTTTAGTGAAGCGGTTGACAATAGCCTGGATCCAGTCTCCAGTCACCTCCCTGGCTGCCGAAACAAGCCAGGAGGGACAAGGGTAATACCAATATTTAAAATATAAAATACTAACACTCAACATTCTAAACAGCCTATATTCATAATGTACTCGCTTAATTTTAATTGAACATATAATAAATAGTTAAATATGAATACATATAATTATAGTATAGGGTCTCCTGCTTGTGCAGGGGATGGGATTAGAAGATCTTAAAGGCCCCCTCCAACTCTATTCTGTTCTGTTCTAAAGGTTATTTGTTAGATTGCCCTTATGGGTGTCATCCATAATGTCTATGGAGATTCTCAATCATCCAGGTCCTAGTTGTCTCAAAGGTGCTTTTTAAAAAGGCAACTGGGCTGTTTTTTTCCTTGAGGAAGAAGAAGAAGGCATTTCGCTTCTCATCCAAGAAGCTTCATCAGTTGTGATGGTGAGAGGATGGAAGGATAGTCTGACATTTTGTTTCAATCTTTAAACATTTTATTAGATTATAGAATAAAATTCAAAAGCAAAAGGAGGACAAGGTGGGGAGGAGAAGGGAAAAGAAAAGGGGGGGAGGGAGAAAAGAAAAAAAGTGTTGATTTCTGACTCCTTCTGTTGCAGTAGAATAAAGCATAAATATTGAACCTCACTTTTTATTTTTCCATAATAATATAAACTAGTCATTTCTATAAGAACAAATCAATCTAATCAGTAAAACCCCAAATCAAAGTTTCATTTTTTTTCAACTCAAGCACAGAGTTCAGAAGCCATTTCCTGTTGTGGCCCGCCAACAGCCAGCAGAGCTGGCAGCAGATTTAGACAGGAGGTTGTGGAGGAACGTGGACCAGTCCTGGAGTCTGGGGAATGCTCAGAAGAGGGCTCTGCATCAAAGGCAGAGAGGGGGCCAGGACCATCTGGTAGTTATGTGCTGCCTCTGGAGCCTCTGGAATCTGACATCAGCGAGGCAGAAGAACAGTGTGAGCCTGTTCCCAGTGTGCGCATGCATAGAGCTGCCAGAAGGCAAGAACAATTAAGAAAAAAAAGGGCGACTCAGGAGTAAGGCTTGGAGATGATTGGCCCCTCCCATAAGACATAAAAGAGGAGCAAACGGACATGAGCCTTTGCAGGAAGCAATTAGTTCATATAGTAATTTCAAACTCTGACAAGTCAGTTTGACTCTGTGTTCCGTTTGCTCCGTTTGCAGGCAGCTCACTGCCAGCTACGATCCCCTTCTTGTCAGCTCAGGAAGGAGGAGAACGGGGAGGAACAGCTGCTGCCACCAGATGCAGGGAGGGAAAAGCTCCGGCTCTCCTGCGCAGCGCGGCCGGCTACTCACCTGAAAGTGCAGTGGTGGCAGCAGGAGGAGGAGTCGCCGTCGCCACTGTGTTCATGGCCCAGGAGGGTATCCCGCTTGTGTGCACGCATGAGATAGAGAGAAAAGGAGAGAAAAAGAGAGAGAGAAATGAGAAAATGATGGAGGCAGAGAATGAGAGAGAGGAAAGAGAAAATGAGAGAGAGAGAAAGAAAAAGAAAGAAAGAAAAGAGAAAAACAAATGAGAGGGAGATAAATGAGAGAGAGCTGGAGGGAGAGAAAAAGAGAGGGAAAAAAGGGAAACAAATGAGAGAAGGGGGAGTGAAAGGGAGAAAGAAAGGAAGGAGAGGGAGAGGAAAAAGAGAAAAAAACAAATGAGAGGGAGGGGGGAGAGAGAGAGATGGGGGGGACCTATTTCCCACAGATAACACTGGAGCCACAAAACCTGGGTAGGTGTGGTTGGGGTGGGTCATGTGACTGGGTGGTGTGACGAGGTGGCCATGCCCACCCAGGTTTTGTGGCTGCCAGTGTTTTGTTTTCTGTGAGAAACGGGTCCAAATGGCTCTTTGAATGTTTAAGATTGCAGACCCCTGCCATAGGACATCCTGACTCCTTCAGTTTTAACTATTTTTCTATAGTTAAAACTATTGATGGTGAGGATGGCACATTTGTCCAGTCCAAACTCCATTGCAGTATCTCGGTTGTATTTATGGTTGAGCAGTGATTATATTTCAGATGGTGTTTTTTCATACAGCTTCAGGTCATCCAGGCAGGGGTGGCTTCTAAAATATTTTACTACCGGTTCTGTGGGCGTGGCTTATTTTGTGGGCATGTCTTGGAAGTCATGTGGCTGGGTGGGCGTGGCTAGCTGGTCATCTGACCGGGTGGCCATGGCTATGTGTATAGGGACTACTCAGAGGGCTGAAAAAAGTCATTTCTGACAGGTCCTCGCACTTTTGACTGGTCCTCACACTTATGACCATCCTCACATTTATGCCCGTGCAGCATTCTTAACAACCATGTCACTCATTTCACAACTGCTTCTCTTCACCATGGTGACAAGATAGGGCAAAAACGTAAAATGTGAGGACAGTCGTAAGTTCGAGGACTGGTCAAAAGTGCGAGGACCAGTCAAAAATAACTTTTTCAGCCCTCTGAGTAGTCCATATGCACAAAAGGATACAGCAACAGAGAGGGATGAAGGAAGGAGAAGAGAGATGGAAGAAGGAAGGAGAGAGAGGGAAGGAAGAGAAGGGAGGAAGGAAGGGAAGGGAAATTAGAGTAGGAGTGAGGGTAAGAGAGGGAGGAAGAGAGGAGGAGAAAGAGAAAGGAAGTAGGAAGGAGAAAAAGTGGGGGAAGAGAAAGTAAGAAAGAAAGAAAAGAGATGGTAGGTTTGAGGAGAAAGATTGCTGTACAATAAAAAAGATGAAAGGGAAGAAAGCCAACCCCAAACAAATATAAAGGTATTAAGATAAAGAATGAATTGTTAAACTTTAAAGAATAAAAGAGAACAAATATGAATAAATAGCAATAATTAGAAACACACATACAAATATACAATGTATTTTCTTTGAACAGAGTATTTGGCCGGTTCACAAATTTAAACAGTGTTTAGTCATTTCAATTAAATTTACAATTTCTATATTTCCTTTTTGCCATATTTATTCCTCATCTATTTTTTAAAAAACCAATATTACCCTTCATCCTCATCTCTAATCTTAATCAAATTCAATTTTTCCCTTCTATTTTATACCCCTTCCCATGTCATCTATTTTTATATCCATCCTTACATTGGTTAATTATGTAATATTACAGATGTTTAATACAAATTCAACATTTTAATATAAATCAATTAGTTATATAACTATCTTTTTGTATATTAATCAATATGAATATGAATATTCCAATTATTTCCATGCAGTCCAATTTCTTACAAATCAATTAATTATATTTACCAATAATAATAAACCAAATAACTTCCCCCATATATTCCTCCAAGCTACAACTTAACCATTTCTGCTTTCAACACAATATACAATTAATAGTATCTCAATTATTACAATTCCCTAGTTAAATAGAGCTTTTTTTCTTTTGTGTTTTAAAATCTTGAACTTTCCTCTTTTGCCCTAAATTTCCCATTGCTTGCACCTACCTTTTTTGGTGAGGAAAAAGAAAAAGAAATCTCTCTCTGCCTCATTTTGTCAGGTTGCAGAAGCTGCAATCTGTAAAGAATCTGCTTTACTTTCAGTTTCGTTTTTCAGCATAGCTAGGGGAAAAAAAAATCTGTTCCAGCACTCTTTGCAGCTAGCAACAGAGCCCGGCTGAGAGCAAATCAGCTGAGTGTCGGGAGGCTGATCTAATCAACTTGTTCTAATTAACGTATGCTGAAGCTGAAAGGGGCTGTTTTTTCTATTTTTGCAGCCACCGCTCTATTCATTTGTTTTAACACTGATCAGCTGTAGGGCAGCCCTTTGAAGCCCCAAGGCAAGAGTTTAAACAGTTTTTTTCCCTCTAGCCATCAACTGGGACTCAGATTGGGAGTGGGCGGGGTAAGCGAATGGCGACCGGGCCGGGAACCGGTTCGGGGGCGTGGCCAGCTAATTTTATTACCGGTTCTCTGAACTATTAAAAATTTTTACTACCAGTTCTTGCGAACCAATGTGAACCGGGAGCAACCCACCACTGCATCCAGGTATAGGAGATATGATAGCTTGACAGAGATTTTTGATGTTTGATAGCCATGGTCTGACTAATTCAGTACTATTGCACTGATTCCTCTTCAACAACAGACAGTAGTGGTGATAGTGAGTCTTCTTGAAAGATTCTTCTTTTCATACTAACCTCTCCTGGTCTATAACCATTGATTAGCAATTGTGTCTTCCTTTGTGCCATTGATCTTTGCACAAGGCTTCTGATGTTTCCTCTGACTTCTGTTATTTTTAGGCCCATGATTGTCTAATTATTATTATTATTATTATTATTATTATTATTATTATTATTATTTTATTTCTATACCGCCCTTCTCCCGAAGGACTCAGGGCAGTATACAGCCTATTAAAAGCACAAAGACAAACAACAATTAAAATAATTTAAAATTATTAAATAATTTTGGCTCAATATTAAACCCCCCCAAAATTTAAAACATCCAATTTAAAATCATTACACTGATAGCCCGGCCTGGCGGAACAGCAGGGTCTTAAGGGCACAGTGAAATACCCTGAGGTCAGAGATCTTACGCATTTCCGGGGGCAGTTCATTCCACAGGGCTGGGGCTCCCACAGAGAAGGCCCTCCCCCTGGGTGTCGCCAGCCGACATAACTTGGCCGATGGCACCCTGAGGAGACCCTCTCTGTGGGAGCGAATTGGCTGGTGGGAGGCTACTGGTGGCAGAAGTCGGTCTCGAAGGTACCTGGGTCCTATGCTATGAGTGCTTTAAAGGTGGTAACCAACATAATTGATAATAATAATTAATTATAATTATCTAACCTAATCATTATCAACTGATTTCAGGTAGTCAAATGCTTTCTTGTAATCCAATGATGCTACATTCAAGTTGGTCTTTCTTCTCTTGCAGTTTTCCAAAATCATCTTGTCAATTAGGAGCTGATATTTTGTTCCTTTGATGTTTGGGCAATTTCCTTTCTGCTCAGGTGGAAAGAGCTTGTTTACAACTAGATGCTATTGGATTGTATCACCAGTTAGCTGAAAATTGTTAATAAGCAGGTAATTGGTCTGTAGCTGCCCAGTGTTGCCTCTTTTGTTTGATCTTTCATTATCAGTTAAATTTTGCCAGATATTAACCAATTCCAGTGTCATCTCTTTGCAATGTGTTGTTAAACTACTTGGCAATATTTTCACTGTCTACTTTTCTTTTCTGTTCATTATTTTTCTTTATTTCATGTCATGATTATAATCTGAAAGTAATTTTGTAATATGGTATGTGTATTTATGTGTTTATGTGTGAGTGAGTGAATGAAAGAATGATCCACTTGGAGTTTCAAATCTATTAGGTGCACTACTGAAATATATTAATTTCTCCCTTTCCTCATCCAATGTTAGTTAGAAAATATCCATTTGGGATATATATCATATCTAGCTGGTTAGTGAAGAGTGAATACCCAACACTGGAAACTCATCTTGAGACTGGACTGCTCTTCTACAATCAGCAATGACTAGTAGAGTAAAATCCACAGGGATTCCTGTAACCTTTACTGTTCTTCTATCTGTCCCACCATGTGAATTATTTCTGATACTATTGTTTGTTTTGTGCTAGTTGGAATCTCCAATCCACTGCAAGTCTTCATCTTTGGAGCAGATGGCTGAGGAGGAAGATGACTTTGATCTCTATGGGGATTATGATAGCTTTCCTCAATATAGCAGCAGTGAGGAAAGTAGCAGCACTTCCTATCTAGACGATTCTAGTGAAAATGAAGTAGCAGATCATGAGGTTGGGGAAGTGCCTCTATCCTCTTCACCGATCCAGACCCCCAGCATCCACTTGCCAGATGATAATGGGTCTGAGCCAGGTACCACAATTCTCTTCTGTGCCTATGGAAGGGCTCGTCTCATGGGACTTGAAGCGGCTCTCTTGTTGAATGCAGATGAGAACTTATCATAGAGAATGAGTTAAAAATATTTTTGCATTAAGGGGAAAAAGAGGAAAGAGTCCCACATTCCTATAAAAATGATTTTACCAAGGCTGATGCATTTCAGAAATGAATTCTTTTCCCAAAAGAACAAACACAGAAAAAAAGCAGTTTGTTAAAAATGTTTTAAAACAGACAAAAAACTAATATTACTAAAAATGGCTATTTTGCTTATGTATATTTTATTTCAATAGTGAGTATCCGATATATGTATATATATCCTGGAAATCAACAGTGAACCAAATATATTTATTAAAAACCATTTTTTATCTGTTCAGCTTAATTACCACAAACAAGAATGCAAGAGGCACAAAATCAAGTATCTGTAAGGAACGTGAACATTCCTAAAACATATTGCATGAATTTATTTCCAATGTACGTAGATAGAGTGAAAAGGCTTCTACAAAGTCAAAATGAGGCACAAAAAATGTTTTACCTTCTAAAATGTCTGTAAACTGATCATCTACTATACTGTACAAAACTAAATGAGATTGAGAACAGCTATTGTAATTTATAGTGGAAAAGAATTTGGAGGGCAACGTTCTTAAAGGGAAAGATCCATTCTAAATGTAAACAAAAGTAGACACTGAAAGTTTCCATTAAGTATGAAACTATTCAGAAACAAACACTTTTTAAATAATAAAAAATTCTCATTTTCACCTGATTGGTGTTCTGTGAGTCCCTTGGGAGTTGGGCGGCATAGAAATGTGATAAATGTGAATGTGATATGACCTACACAAACAAATTTGAGATGCAGTGTTTCTTACTCAAAAGTGTTTCTTTAAAGGGGCTCTTATTCTTTCTTATATTGCCTAAGTCAGGGGACCCTAACCCACAGGCCTTGGCCCATTACCAGGCTGTGGCCTATTTGGAACAGGGCTGCGTGAGTGGCTGGCTGGCACACACACACATGTGCATAGCTCAATTTGCACATGTGGCGGGCCAGTTCCTCTCTTCTCACTCCCACCAGACAGCCAAGCTGTAAAGGTTGGTGACCACTGGCCTAAGAATTTTCTAATTCCAATCCTAAGAACTCTTAATAGTTGTCCCTATATATATATTAGGATAGAGATCCTGTATGGCATATACAATATGAATGCTAGTAGAAGTAGTGAACATTTGCAGGTGTTATCTCTGTGTCAGGCCTGGAAGATCCTGTCAGGCCTGGAAGCCATCTTTGCATTGGATCTTCACGCCTGCCACATTTAGTGCTGTGGGAAACTGGGAGGGGGGATTATATGGAGCAGGGGAGATATATAGTCATAATAACATTATTTTCTTTGAGAGTCAAGGACATCTTGCCCTGCACCTGTAGGGGTGTAACTGGGAGGCATCTCCAGTTGGGATGGTGCATTGATTGGGCCATGTGATGGACATGTGGGTGCTGGACAGGGACATGGGTGGGGAAAATCTGGAAGCTTCCAGATTCAGGTTTTCCCAGATGTGCCAATATGACATCTCTAATAAAATGGAACTTTGAGGAACTTCTAGCCTTGGAGACTTCTTTCAATGGGGGTGTTACTTGGAACCCTGACACTCTGTCCATTTGCAGGATTGGTGATAAAAGTCATTTTATGTATATATTTACAGTAAATCCAATGGCCACAGTCAAGCCATAGCTGTTTCAAACAGTTAATGAATCAGGATATTGAAACAGTTTAATAAAAATGATAAGATAGATATTAGATAGATATATCCATAAATATTATATGTCATTCTATATACTAATATTTGTAGTCCTTAAAGTGTCCTTGAAATAATAATTCATTTCCAAAATGTTCAGTTTCAGGAACAGCTCCAATAAAATTATTTTACTTGTACTTGGGATACCTTACTCTTTCCTTTGCCATTATTTTCTGCTTAGGAAAATACCTTCTGTGCCAAAAGAGGAAGGAGGGGTAGCGATAAGAGAATATGGCTGCCTAGTTTTCCATTGCGCTGCTTAGTCAATTCATGTGTGGGATTTCCTCGCTTGCTTGTCAGGGACTGAGCATAATATTTCTTTAAATTTGCATAGGCCACGCCTCCTCTGCCTCCTAGATCCTCAGTTGTTTTCGCTCTGTCTTCTTGTAGGGACCTTATTCAAACTGCTCTGGCAGTTAGTTACATAGGTGTTTAGAGAGGCTTTATTATTATTTTGTGAGTTTATTTCTTTTGTTATTTTATTTGTGGGAGCTGAAGTTTCTGGCCGAAATAGCAGCCGGAGCTGCTTAACACTGCTCGTGGAGGGTGAGTGGCTTTGGGGCTCCAGATCACCACCTCCACCCCTCAATTTAGCAGCAGGAGGAGTTTTATCCCGGCTGGGATACTCCGAACGGCGTGGAGCCGTAGAATTAGCCGCCAGCGAGCTCGCTGGTCACCCGGTAAGCCGGATTAACCGCAGCCACCATTTTGAGCTCCTTTTAGGGTAGGGCAGCTCCAGAGTCACTGCTCGGGGCTCCGAGACAAACTCTGAGGTGATTTCTGCTAGCTAGTGCTCGAAGAGCAATTAGCTCTAGCGCATTGAAAGCCTTGGGACCTTGCCACGCTGAAGATTGAAGTTTGGTTAAAGAGGCTGGCCGCGGAGAAGCGCAACAAGCCTGAGGACTGATTCACGCCATTTTGATGCCAGGTTTGGAGGTCTCAGCAGCGTGAGGAGATTGGTAACATCTCTACCGTTAATTATTGACTGCGCAGAGAGGCTGTGATCGGAGGGCTTAACCCACGCCAGAATTTGAAGGCTGCTGGAGTGGCTTGATTGGAAGGAGGTTTATTTAAGTGTTTTCCAGCAGAGCAGACAGAGTGTTGGGGGAGCTTTCGCGCCATTTTGTATCCTTCTCAGAGGGAGCTAGCAGTTGATTTAGGCGCCAATTCTGCTCTTTCTTCAGAGACACAAGTGACTCTTATAATGGCTGACCCAGAGTTCTCCTCAGACATCGAATAGCCTCAGACTCCCCCCAGAGCAAAAAAACCCTCTAAGTCCAGGTCTAAGAGCTCTTCCTCTATTTCCAATAGGAGAGAACCTGACCAAGGGGCTCCTAGGTCTACCATGGAGGACAGAGATGCCCAGAGACGGCATAATGCCCTGGAGAGGCAGTTTGAACGGGCCAAGAAGCAGGTCCAGCCAATTACTGCGCCATCTTCTTCTCAGGAGAAGGGGAAGTTGTATTTCAGCCTGTGGCTGTCAGGGCTCCTTCTGTTTCAGCTTTAGAGCTTCAGGGGTGTCAGGAGAAAGATTCTGGACCTGTCCTGGAGACCCTGAGGGGGTCACAAGCAGTACAGCCAGGGGCCAGATTGGCACCAGAGGCCACATTCACCCCGACCGCAGGGGGCTCTGCGCGGGGGAGGGGCAGGGACAAAGCCAGTCCTTTGATTTTCAGACTTTACTGACAAATGCATTAGCCCAGGCTTTGGCCTCAGGACTTAATCCGCAAGGTTCTAAGCCACCCAACTTGGCAGGTTCTCAGTCTCATGTCTCCATACAATCTAGGCATCAACCTTTACTTGTCGCCCAACAAGAATTGGTCAGTACGGAGGATTCATGGCAGGCAGAAGGGGACCCAGGGGACCAGGAATTTTCGGAGGATGAGGGAGCGCTGCCAGATAAACCGGCCTTTGCAACTCTTTTTTGCCCATCTGTTTTCAAGACATTGTTACGCAAGGCAAAATTAGCAACTAACATGGGGTCAGTAGCGATCTCCGGGGATCAGGTAGAGGGGTCGCAGGTGCCTCAGAACGAATTCTTTGCTGTTCCCGCCCCTGACCAGGAGTTTATTCCATACCCGGAATTATTTTCCGAGGTCATTAAGAGGCAGTGGGATCACCCTGGGGCCTTTTCTGCTCCCACGGGACATGACAAGAGGACTTATTGTGTAGACCCAGTATTAGACAGGTTGTTAGCTATTCCCACGGTGGACCCACCTGTGGTGAGTTTGACTTCCTCTACTGTTTTGTCTAATGATGCTGCGGAAGTGTTAAAGACGGAGGATAGACGGGTGGAGGTTTTGTTTAGAAAGACACACCAAGCAGCTGCTTGGGCGGTGAAGGCAGCAACTTCTGCCTTTTTTTAGTAGGGCTAATTTAATCTGACTGAGGCAGTTGTGTGACCGTCTTCCTCCAGATGATTTACATATCCAGCAGGATATCAATAAAATGGTGGCTGCGGCCGAGTACTTGGCAGATGCTTCCCTAGATGCTGCAAAATTTGTGGCAAGGGTGATAGCTTCTAACAAAACATCTAGGAGGCTCCTCTGGTTACGCCCTTGGCGAGCAGATTTAAAATCAAAATGGAAATTGGCCTCTGCTCCCTATAAGGGAACGAATCTGTTTGGGGCAGCATTGGAGACTATTCTTGTAGAGGGGAAGGATAAACAGAAGGTTCTTCCGGTATTCTATTGGAGACCAGAACGCAGGTTTACCCTGTACCCGCAGAGACAGCCCTTTCACCAGGACTCAGGACCCAGTGGGTCCTACTTCACTAGGCCTTACCCCCAGGGGTTTGACAGGAATGCAGATAGGCAGTCCTTTCGGGACAGAGGTAGATATCACCCTGTCTCAAGGTGACCCTATAGAGGAGCAGGATCCTGACCCGTTAGGCGAGGCAAGTGACTCGCAATCCCTTCTTCCCATTGGTGGACACCTCAGTCATTTTATCCATCAATGGGAAACAACTACGTCCGAAGATTGGATACTTCGAACGGTGAGGCTAAGCCTCACTTTAGAATTCAGGACAACACCTCCCGACCGCTTCCTTTCCTGTCCAATTGCAGGACAGTCAGAAAAAAATCAGCAACTGTCCAAGGAAATACAACATTTGTTAGAAATAGGAGCAATCGAACCAGTTCCAGCAGGACAGGAAGGGACGGGGGTATATTCGATTCTATTTCTGGTCACCAAGTCATTGGGGGGGCTGGAGGGCATCTTGAACCTAAAGTTCATCAACAAATACATTCTGTACAAGAGGTTCAAGATGCAATCTCTCCGGACAATATTGGCCTGTGTGAGACAGGGAGATGTAATGACATCTCTAGATTTGCAGGAAGCATATCTACATGTGCCCACACATCTGCAGCACCGCAGGTTTCTGAGATTTGCCTTTGCTGGTAAGCATTATCAATATCGGGCCATGCTGTTCGACCTGTCATCGGCCCCATGTACTTTCACAAAGTTGCTGGCAGCAGTGGCGGCTACGATTCGTCTCGTCCTGATTCGACTGTTGTGTTACCTGGACGATATATTGCTCCTGTCTCCCTCACATCAGCAGGCCTTACGAGTTCTACAGACTGTAGGCCGCATTCTCACTCTTCACGGTTTCTCCATCAACCAGAAGAAGAGTCACCTGCAGCCCACGACGTGTATTACTCACCTTGGGGCTTTGATCGACTCCATACAAGGCCAGGTCTTTCTGTCGCCCAAAAGGCAACAGGACATCAGGGCTCTGGTGGACCATGTTTTAGCCAAGAGGCAGGTAACATTGCACACCTTATCGCAACTGCTCAGCAAATTTATTTCCTGTATTGCAATAGTGCCCTGGGTGCGCAGACACGCCCGCCAGCTACAGTGGTTCCTGCTACCAGCACAGAGAGCTGGCCACAGTGCATCAAATGCCAAGGTGAGATTACCAGACAAGGTATGTGCTTCCCTCTGATGGTGGGCGTCAGGGGCCATCCAGAAGGGGTGCCTTTTCCAGGAGCCCAGTCAGTTAGTGGTAACATCAGACGCGAGCCTGACTGGCTGGGGTGCTCATCTGGGGGACCAGGTGGTCCAGGGACATTGGTCCCAGGTGAAGGCCAAGTTCAGTATCAATTGGCTGGAGCTGAGGGCTGTCCATCTCGCCCTCCGTCATTTCCAGAACATTCTATTACATCAACATGTTCTGGTCTTAACGGACAATGTGGCCACAAAGGCCCATATAAATCGAGAGGGGGGCACTCCTGGTCCCTAATGAAGGAGACGGACAATCTGTTGAGCTGGGCAGAGAACCACTTACAATCTGTTCAAGCAGAGCATATTTAAGAGGCCTCAAACGTTCGGGCTGACTGGTTGAGCCGGACACAGCTGGACCCATCAGAGTGGATGCTCCCTCCGGACCTGTTCCAGGAACTGGTGAGGAGGTTCGGCCAGCCATCTGTCGACCTGTTTGCCCGACTGGACCACGCACAGCTCCTGAAATTCATCTCCCGATTTCCGAGCCCAGGGGCAATGGACTACAACGCTCTGTGTTGCCTGTGGTAACAGGGCTTGCTATATGCTTTCCCTCCAATCCCCCTCCTTCTGAGGGTAACTCGGAGACTGGTGACCGAGAGGGAGGAGATTTGACTAATCGCTCCTCATTGGCCGAGACATCCATGGTTTGCCGACCTGGTGGGCCTGTCCGTGTCACAGCCCTGGCGAATTCCTCAGGACAGGATCTCTCTCAGCCAGGGGGCCATATTACACCCAGACCCCCAGTGGCTGCAATTAACCGTGTGGCATTTGAGAGGATCCTCCTGAGGAAAGACAATTTGTCAGGGAAGGTGATTCACACCATCCAGGCTGCCAGGCGGCTTTCCACCACAAGAATCTATGAGGCATTTTGTTTTTGGTGTTCGCATAACCATGTGGACCCTACTTCAGCTTCTGTGTCTGACGTTTTAAATTTTTTGCAGGAGGGCCTAGACAAGGGACTGGCTCCAGCAACCCTGAGGCAGCAGGTGGCAGGCTTGTCGACTGTCTTGCCCGGGACGGTTCCCACTCTTTGACTCAAGACCCAAGGATTCGGGGGTTTCTTCGGGGGGCCACTAATATCAGGCCTCCAGCAGTCCACAGGTTTCCCACATGGGATTTATCATTAGTCATGCAGGCCCTTATGGCTTCCCCATTCGAACCTCTGGTGTCAGTTAGTCTTAGGCTTCTATCACTTAAAGTGGCATTTCTCCTGGCAGTTACATCGGCCAGGAGAGTTTCTGAACTGGCTGCCTTGTCGGTCAGGAAGGATTTGTGTATTTTCAGGCCCAATACGGTTGTTCTTAGGCTAGACCCTTTGTTCATGCCAAAAGTGAATTCCAGCTTCCATTGTGCCCAGGAGATAGTATTACCGGACTTTTGTCCCTCCCCCAGGCATCAGTTAGAGGTCCAATGGCACATGCTGGATGTTAGGAGAGGGCTCTTGTGATATATAGCTAGAATGGCCTCCTTTCGTAAAACAGAGGCTCTCTTAGTGTCTTTTAATCCTGCCTCAATGGGACAGAAGGTTTCTTCTAGAACAGTTGCACGCTGGATTAAGGCTTGCATATCATTGGCTTATAGTTCCAAAGGCAGACCAGTCCCAGGTAGGGTGTGGGCTCACTCTACGAGAAAAGTGCGGCTACCTCATCAGCCTGGGCTACACAGGCATCGGTCCTGGACATTTGCAGAGCTGCTACATGGACAACGTTGACTCAGTTCGTCAGACATTATAAATTAGACAGTTATGCATCAGCTGAAGCGTCCTTTGGGCATAGAGTCTTGCAGCGAGTCCATTCGGATGCAGCCATGGGGTGGAGTCAGCCTCCCACCCCATAAAGTGTGTTGCTTGGGTATATCCCACATATGAATTGACTAAGCAGCGCAACATCCTTTTTCGTTGCACTGCGTCTCAATTCATCCCGCACTTCCGGCTGACTGAGCTTGGTGCCAGGGAGTGTTCTTCTATTTCTTCTTCATAGGTCACATTGGTGGACGAAGCCTTCGCGAAACAACTGAGGATCTAGGAGGCAGAGGAGGCGTGGCCTATGCAAATTTAAAGAAATATTACGCTCAATCCCTGACAAGCAAGCGAGGAAATCCCACACATGAATTGAGACACAGCGCAACGAAAAAGGACGTTCAGGTAAGCCAATGTCCATTCTATTGTATTCATTCTTGATTAAATTAATTTCCTGCCATTGAATCTTACTGTATTTCTGTTTTCTCAGCTGTCTGTGAGATGTGTGGTATTGTGGGCACAAAAGATGCCTTCTTCTCCAAGACCAAACGTTTCTGCAGCGTCTCCTGCTCCAGGAGTTACTCCTCAAATTCCAAGAAGGCTAGCATTCTGGCAAGGCTGCAGGTGATCAATATCCTCTTAATAGGACTGTTTGTTAAATTAGATACTGCTAAATATAAGGAAAATATTGGAAAGTGCTTTTTTCTGCAAACACTAACTTTATTTGGATCGTTTATTTGGATAGTTTAATGCCACCAATTTGGGGGGCACTAAAGGAGATTCAATAAATTCATGGAGGATAAGGCTACCAATGGTTACTAGTTGTAATAGCTATTTATAACTTCTGAAACATCGACAATATTTCTCTGTGAGAAATTCCACAGGAGTGTATGAGTGGAAACCATTATGATCATGTCCTATTGGCCTCTGATTGGCCACTAAGAGGACAAAATGCTAGGGCTGGATCTGAAACAAAATAACTATTATTCTAAGCAGTGTTCTCCTTCAAATGCCAGCAAATGCACAATAAAAGGCCACACTTGATTCTTATAAATAACTGAGAGTATATATCATATGGAACTTGTTTTTGTTGTTGTTGTTGTTGTTCATGCTTTGATTGAGAAATTTACTCTACAAAATCTGCTTTCTGTGATCTGAGTAGCATTAGGGAAACTAGGAGTAATCTCTATACCAATTTGACTAAACAGATATAGGGCCATAACAGAATTTCCATAATCAATCCATATTTGTTTGTTTCATTCATACCCATGTTAAAAATAATATATATGCAGTCCCATTTGTTTTATTTTAAAATTAGAATAGAGAAAGGATGTAATGTATACATTTCACTTACATTAGGAATATTTGAAAGAGATGATAAAGTTAGTAGGAAAAGAATGAATCCATAATTTATAAGAGGACAGTTTTAATTTCATTGTATAATCCAAGAATTGAAATACAGACATGAGAATAAAGCATTTTCCCTTGCTAGAAGGACGATATAAAAACATCATTATTAATAATTTTTCTACTGTTATTGATACAGTTCTTTTCTGTGTAATGTTCATACATGAGTTGTTTAAGAGGATTCAACTTTTTTTTCTCTTGCCATCCTTTCTGAACTCATGACTAGGAAAAATAAGTACTGTTCTTCCTGACTCTTGTAAATGTAATAAGACCTGTATTGTATACATTTTATTGCCTAAGAGCTCCCGGGAGCTTTACATGATTTGCAGTTATTGTAATATTAACTTTTCATGGCCAGATATGACATTACCAGATCTATCAAAGTCTTAACTCATATGAATTCCACCTCTCTTGTTCATCTTATCAAATACTTCTAGTAAAATGACTTATAACTATAGAAACCTATAACAAGACTGAATCCACATATTGGCCTAAACCATTGTTTGCAAACCCTGTTTTATTAAATGAATATAACAAGTGACTTTATGTAACACACTAAGCCAAAACCAAACATAGTGTTCATGATGAGATATTTACAACATAGCAAAGAATTACTCTTTAAGAAATGGCTCTTTTGATTTGATATCTTTACTGGATAAAGTCCCATGGAAGAGCTGGAAATCTACATGTTCTTTTTTATGTTTGTGTGTGTCTTGTTTTGATACATTTTCACAGGGTAAACCACCAACAAAAAAAGCTAAAGTCCTGCACAAGGCAGCCTGGTCTGCTAAAATTGGAGCATTTCTCCACATTCAGGGGACAGGGCAACTGGCAGATGGAACATCAACTGGTCAAGATGGTAAGTGAGATCAGCAGTTGGAGGAACTAAAGTTGTAATTACTATGAAATAAAGCATTCATCAGAGTTCTTGCAAAATACTCATGAATAAGGAGTATGGGCTAACTAAAGAAGAAGCATGGATATGTCATCAAAATTAAATGCAATATGAAATGAATGACTGGATAGAAGGATCACCAGCTCCTTTTTGTTTTTAGTGTTTTTGTATTTCAAACTGAATATAGTTAACAAACTTTCTAATGTGTTGGCCTCTACCTTCTCTCCTCCTCTCAGCCTATATCCGATTTCAGTATTTCAAGATAAGTTTATATAGGGAACACATTCGTTTTACAGGATTGGACTTAAAAAACTTTGAATTACATTGCAGGTTTGGTTGACATTTATTTCAGCATTATTGATCTTCCCCTGCATGAGAGAGATTACCTTAGTTTACTGATCTCATGTTTGTATGTTCTTTGAGAGCGGAGCACAAATGGATGCATAGTATATTGTAGATTTGCTGTGTAGGTCTATTTTTGGAGCAATGAAGTTGGAGTAGAGAACACTTGTGAATCTCTTCTAATAGTTTGCTTATATATGTGTGATTGCTTAATGAGAGAAACAGACCCAGCAGTTTTCCTTTTTAAAATCTTTTTAAACATTTGAAAATAGTTAGGATTGGAGTTAGTTTATGTAATGTGACAGCCTGCTTACTTTTATGGAGCATAAAGCTGTGTCTATGAACTTTATTGACAAACCTGTTTATTTATCTGTTGCGCTGCATCTGTTTTCTATCCTTAGGTTTCTATACTTAGAGGACTTTATATCTCTTATTTTGCATTCCTAGCTCTCATTGTAGGCTTTGACTGGGGAGCATATCTTCAGGACCATGAATACAAGGCTGCACCTGTTAGCAGTTTCAAACATGTGAGTACTCTCTGTTTTTTCAACAAGTGTGTTACAATGTGGGAAGTTATGAGAGATAGTACATTCCTTTAGAGCAAGGGTGTCAAACTCGCAATGACACGTTGTCACCTGATGTATCACAACTTTTCCCCCTTTGCTAAACCAGAGGTGGGCGTGGCCAGCGTGTCACGCATCTGGCCCGCAGGCCGCAAGTTTGACACCCCTGCTCTAGAGCAAGGATGGGAAAATGAAGGTGTATTTGGCAATCAGTGATATCCAGGTAGGTGTAGCTATGGGACATGGGGAAAAATGGATACATGACATGAGATGACATTAATTGTGCATGCACAAACATACATACAAACACAATTGAACATATATACATACAGCCAATATTTTTTTCTCTTCCCTGCTTTACCCTCAGTTATCTTGCTTCCATTCTTCTTGCAGGTTCCCCTTTATGATCAATGGGAAGATGTGATAAAAGGACTGAAGGTTGAAGTATTGAACAGCGATGCTGTGCTTCCCAGTCGTGTGTATTGGATTGCTTCTGTTGTTAAGATTGCAGGTAGATTCTTTGAGGAGGAGCATAGAAAAGACTATGAATTTTCTTTAATTTTTTAAAATGTGTACTACTTCTGTCTGAAAAGTTGATATAAACAAGATAAAATGTTAAACTAGTTACCCAGAAGTGGTGCCTTGCCTTCATTAGATATATTCAAGTGGAAGTTGGAAACAAAACGTGTTGCAAATTCTTTGTTTTAGCTTTCTACACTTGACAGGTAATTAGACATCATAGCCTAAATGGCTTTCTTCAGTTGTATGTTTTCCTGACACTAACCAACACATTTAATGATATCTGCCTGATCATCAGGTTAGACAAGTCAACATTCCAGAGTTGATTATAAGATGGGCAGCTATATAAAATAAATAAATAAGTAAATAACCCACTTATACTTCTACCACAAACACAGTCTTTCATTCATTCATTCATTCATTCATTCATTCATTCATTCATTCATTCTCACAGCTTTGTTTAAAAATAGATCCTTTCCAAAGAATATTTCCCTTTTTCTTGGAATGCTAACTTGCTAAATGAAAATGTAGCAGTAGCTTTTCTAAAACTGGGATGCTGCCATCAGAAGCTCAGTCTTCCATCAATGACTTTTCTGTGTGTGCTGTCTTGGTTTCAAGATGGGAGTCAGAAATCTGTGCATCCACAATTTTTATCCAGTCATACTAGATCTGGTCTAAGCATTAGCTTAGCCTCTACCTTCATATCCCTATCCCCTCCCCCCCACAAAAAAATTCAGGACTTCTAAGAAATTCCCAATTAACCTGTGATGATCTTGACAAAGAAACAATTCACATAATTTTGAGGCAACCCCTCAGCCAGAACCTTTGTACATTCTCTGGTATGTATTATGTATCTACCTTACACCATTCTTTGTAAATCTTCAACCAAGGAGTATATTTTGAACCATCAAAATGGTTCATTAAAAATTTGTTTGATTAACTTGCCCATGTTTCCAACCTCAGGCTTTTAGCAGGAGATAGTTAACTAAGAACTGAAAAACAGTACTGAACTGTCATCTCATTATCTGTACCTATTAGAATTTCAGATTGAATAGTGAAGTTAGCACTGGTGATTGGATGCAAGAAAACTGTAAAAATTATCAGGCATCATTTCATGAAACTGTTTCAAAAGACAAACTTCATTATATATAGAATTGTTTCCATAACTAGTGGGAGCTCTGTGATCTAATGTATGTACAACTGAATGAATGGAGTTGATCTATAGGAACTACTACAGGAACTACAGGAACTACTGGTGGAACTGTTAAGACAAATTATCATTGTTTAAGACTTAATGATAGCTAGATTGATAGGACAATATCTATAGGCCCCAAAATGCCCTCAGCAAAGTACTCTCAAAACTTTACCTTCCACCTTACTTCTGACAGGATGTAATTGTAACAATTCTGCAATTGTATTTGCTCTTTTAAATTATATTTTATTTTGGTCCATTATTGCCACTAATTAAATGTTCCTAAGGCAGCAGCTGACTATTTTATCAGGGAAACAAATTATACTTAAAATCTGCTTTGTGGCTTGACATTTCAATGGATCTCTAGCCTATCTGAAGAAGGAAGTAGAGGGAGATCAAAGTAATGAAGACATGAAAGAACTACAGTTATTCTGCTTTACTGTTTCTAGGAGCGAAAAAATAAATAATTTTATTATTTTGGGGGCAGGGGAAAAGAAAGGAAAAGAGGTTTAAAAAATCCTTGGTTCTGCTATCATTGATGAATGTGGAACATTTTGGGACAGGGAGATAAATATATATATATAAAGGCATTCCTACACATATGTATGGAAAGATTTTCATATGATAGAATAGATTTGGGAAAATATTAATATAGATAGTACTTGACTTACAACCACAGTTGAGCCCAAAATTTCTGTTGCTAAGCGAGACACTTGTTAAGTGAATTTTGCCCCATTGTATGACCTTTCTTGCCACAGGTATTAAGTGGATCATTACAATTGTTAAGTTAGTGACATGGTTGTTAAGTGAATCTGGCTTCCCCATTGACTTTGTTTGTCAGAAGATCACAAAAGGTATTGCATGATCCCAGGACACTGCAATCATCATAAATATAAACCTTTGCCAAGCATCCTAATTTTGATCATATGACCATGGGCCTGCTGCAGCGCTTGTAAGTGCATCACTTATGACTGTCTTTCGCATATACATATATATATACATATATATATATGTATATGAAATCTTAATCTGTTCACCGCCCTGAATTCTTCGGGAGAAGTGCGGTATAGAAATTCAATCAATCAATCAATCAATCAATCAATCAATCAATCAATCAATCAATAAATCAATAAATAAATAAATAAATAAATACTAGCCATGAAAGCCTACATCAGTATTTTATTCCTAGTAATTCCTCAGAATCCCAGATATGCCCAGGAATCCCTAAAGACAATAATCTGTATTTTTAGGGATGGGGATTGATCTGTTCCTGTCTTCAAAACTTCAATTTTGGCAGGTTACAAGGCACTGCTGCGTTATGAAGGCTTTGAAAATGATTCCAGTCATGACTTCTGGGTCAACTTAGGTACTATGGAAGTGCATCCAGTTGGTTGGTGTGCCATTAACAGCAAAATTCTGGTGCCACCCCAGAGTAAGTATCTTAAGTCTTGGTCAGTTATAGAACTTTACAACTCACAATTTCCTTTTCTTCTCATCTAAGAAAGATACTTTATATGTATTTATGCTAGTGATTATACTGCTGTGGAAGTATAAATTAGGCAAATCGAAAGCATCACTGTAGAATATTTAAGTTGCATGTTATCTGGAAAATTTAAGGGAAAGACAAGAAATGGGTATGGAGGCTGTGTAGATAGCATAGAAATTTTCTTGGCCAGTACACTTACTGAAATCTGTTCAATGCCATTTTTTCATCCACATTTTTTGCAATACTTCTTTCATAGCTATTGTTTTAACTAACAATTTCTATTTTTACAATATTGTTCCATTTTTATTTTTAGAGTCATTTAAGGGTGCTTTTTTAATATGTTGAACAACAATTGTGCCTGGATATTACAGGAGTTGTAATTCAGCACATCTGGAAAGCAGTGACTTTAAGAAGATTGATTTATATGGTGATTTGATCATCAGACAATATAGTAATACTGCTAACATTTGTCTTGATACTTTAATCCAGGGGTGTCAAACTCACATCGTCACATTGTCATCACATGACGTATCGTGACTTTCCCCCCCCCCTTCGGTAAAACGGGGGTGGGCTTGGCCAGCACATGATACATCCGGCCTGTGGGCCATGAGTTTGACACCCCTGCTTTAATCGCTCATATGATTTGTGAATATTGTACCAAATAAATATAAAATTTTTGGAGCACCTCCTTGCATTAGATCAGACTTGGTCTGCTTTTCTGCTTAACTAGCACAATGGGGGAAAAGTGACAGTATATAATACTTTGCAATACAGTATATACAGTAGTGGCCAAAATTGTGGAAACCTTTTGGGAAAAGTGTGTTTTCTAAAACTAGCTAATAACACCACTATTTTTGGAGTAGTACCATAAAATTATATATCAATGGAAAGATAATTTAATCAAGAATGTAATGCAATAACTTTTATGAAGGATTTGCTATTAGAATAGCAGTTACAGGATAAAGAAGAAAAGTGTAACATAGAAAAAGCAAGATATACAAAAATTATCACCATAGAAAAAACGAAATATACAAAAATTATCACGTCAGTTAAAGTTGGGTAACCTTTAGCATGAATTACGGCCTTACAATGTCTTCCCATGGAGTGAACCAAGTCTTTTAGTTCTACAGCTGTTATAATGTGAAACCAAGATTGAATGATTGCTTCTATTAACTGGGTTTTATTGCTGGGTCGCTTCTGACTCCAAGTTTCTTTAGTTAGCTCCATAGATTTTCAATTGGGTTAAGGTCTGGGCTATTCCCAGGCCATTCCAGCAATGGAATATGATTATCTTGAAACTCCAAAAAAAGTGGTGTTATTAGCCAACAAACCTCAAAAATACACTTTTCCCAAAACATTTCCACAATTTTGGCCATTACTGTATGAAGATTGTACTTCACTGAAACAGCTACCTATTTAGAGAGATAATACCATTGTTGGAAAATTGAGTACATACTGTATTCACTGCAGCAAGATGTTGATCCTTAATCATTATTTAGACCCTCTGTTCAAAGGTCTCTGTACTGATTCCAGAAAAATGTTCAGCAGGGCAAATATAACCAAAAAGAATCTAACTAGAAGGAGTTTGATTCAGTTCTGTATACTTCCACAGATACAAAAGGCATATTACACTGACTTTCTTAAATCTTTCTATACAGCTATCCATTCAAAGTTTACAAACTGGAGAGGGTACCTTATGAAAAAATTGGTGGGGGCTCGGACAATCCCAGTTGATTTCCATTTAAAGGTGAGGATGGGAACTCTAGCAAAATTATTCAGACTAATCTAGTTTTCCAGTAGCTCATTCAAATCAGGTATAAGTGGCAAGTAAATTAATTCCCAGAGTTAATGCTGCATAGAATACTTGGAGAGGGGATTGATAACCAACATAATGGTGAAAGAAGGTCATTCTAAGTTAGTATTTATTTTAACACTGTTTAGAAATAGCATATCGTAATGAAAAAATTTATGAATACCTCTAGTAGTTCTAGTAGTAGAATAAATCTAGTAGTTAAAACATGTCCTTTATCTCTGAAGTTCATGCACTCTCTGAATATAGATAATCCTTGATTTATAACTATTCGTTCATGAACTGTTGAAATTATGAAATTATCTGTTGAATTATGACCAAAAAATGAACTTATGGACCGGACCCAGAGTTATAGCAGTTATAGTGCAACACAGTGACATGACTAAAATTTGAAGGCTTGGCAGTTCACCTCAAAAAAACCAAGAAATCACATAGTGATTCTTCCAAACTGATTTCTTTATTGTTCTACACCTGTAGACAGAATCTTGCCTAACTGAAGCAGACTATTACTTACATGAAACAGATATTGAGAGGGGCTGTCTTCATTCTCTTTCTCTCACACAAGATATTTGAACTGAGGAGTCTTTTACTCCTCTGGAATGCACCCCTCCCTCTTGTGAATCCAGCCCACTGCATTCCATCACACTGCTTGCACTTATGACCTTAGGAGTGCTGCAACTGCCCCCACCTGCCTATTTCCCCCCATTTTTGGCCATTCTGCATCCTGCTTTACAGGGTGGCAAGCCTCAACAAGCGGCAGCATTTGCTCAAGCTCCAGCCTTCAAACAAGGACACTTATTCTAATAAAACATATTTAAAATCAAACAGTATGGGGAAATTTATTTTAAAAAGACAATTCAGTTTCCATATTTTTCACATCAGTGTAAAAGATGATGCATTAAGTTGTACTATTTGTACAGTGAAAGTTAATGATCAAAAAAAGGATAAAAGTGAGTTTTTGAAAAAATAAACCTAAAGACCCAATTTCTGAAATAAAGGATTATCCTTTGTAATAAAGGATATATGGTCACTATAACAAAACCTCTATTTGTCATTTTGCTATCCTTGTGAAAGTATATTTTATCTCCCCAAAAAGGTATTTCTTTGTAATCAATATGAAGTAATGAAATGCTGAATTTAAGGAAGAATTTTTGTGTGTTTAAGTTTCTCAATGAAAATAAGATATTGATCATTTTAAGGACTTACTGCTCAAAAAGTTTCATTTCAATATAGTATAGCTATCCATTAAATCAATGTATGCGCTCTAATGATATTAAATAATGTTATTATTCATTAAGAAGAGATAGGAGATAAACAATTTTTCTTTTTCCTTGTGTTATTTCTCTTAGGGATTAAGATAACTATACTTTCACAGCTCTATTACTAGTTGAGAAATTCTAGAATAAAATCAAGCAGAATCAGTCTTAAAGCTGGGGGGGGGGAACAGTAAATCCTGCCCCTGCCTATGAAGGATTTTTAAAAACTTTAATTAAGTCATTATTATCCCATCATCTCAATTCAGTGCAGAGATGGCGAAACCAGCTTGCAATAAACCACTTAAGGAGCTCATGATCGTTGTTGCAGCACTTCCTGATTTGCAGATTACTAAAGAACCCAATACATAACATAACAATAAGACTGCTACCCAATTGTGTTTACTTTTTCAGATTACACTGTGATCTGATCCTGAATGTGACTATTATAGGCATGAAGGGGAAACTTTAATTCCATTTTCATTCCCATTATTTAATAACATTTTCTTTTCTTCTGCTATTTTTTTTAAATAATTACAGCTGAAAAAGAATGGCTAACCCATAGGGCGAAGGGAAAGATTTAAGTTTTCTACTTTTCTCATACAGTGGTTCTATTCCAAATCGCTTCCCTGTGTGTTTGAAGAAATATAAGATGGAGGGATAGCTTCACAATATGTACTTTTTGTAAATGATTAGATTAGATCTTGGTTTTAGGATATAGTAATGTGCCCGTGTTTCTGTTTTGCAGAGTTGTGGGGCTTTAACTCCTTTAATGGAAATTAATTTTGAAAACTCTGATTTTGGCTCTGGAGTTGTGGGGTTTCCCAAAGAAAACAATTTATCATTCACCTTCATGTGCACTTTCTGGTTTACTTAGATGACTGAGAGCATGAAGTATCCTTTCCGCCAAGGCATGAGGGTAGAAGTAGTGAACAAGGCCTGCATATCCCAAACACGAATGGCCATTGTGGATACTGTAATTGGTGGCCGGCTGAGGCTTCTCTATGAGGATGGAGACAGTGATGATGATTTCTGGTGCCATATGTGGAGCCCTCTAATCCATCCTGTAGGCTGGTCCAGAAGGGTTGGCCATAGCATGAAAAAAACAGGTGAGTTTTCATATTGGATGCAAACAGCAATCACTCAGGATTTTCAGGGATTGAGGCCAGACATTTATATTTACCCATTGGATAGCAGTGGCAGTCCCTTCTTAATATTTGTGAGTACACCAGGCAATTCGTATCTACTTTGGTTCACTGGATATTATCCTAAAACAATAGTTTTCAACCTTTTCAGATAGACAGACAGATGAACTACCAAAGTACTCTCACAGATCAGCAATAGTTAGGAGAAATTGCATTAGAATAGATGGGGGCGGGGTGAGTCAGAATTTTTACTACCGGTTCTCCGAACTACTCAAAATTTCCGCTACCTGTTCTCCAAAACTGGTCAGAACCTGCTGAAACCCACCTCTGATTTATACGTGGTAGATGCCTTATCATGCAGCTACAGACACAAGGAGAGCAATGAGATAAACGATGAGAGAGAGATACGCCCTTTAATGGTCACCTATATATAGACACCTCTTAAAATGGTACCAGTCTTGTGTGGGGCCCCCCAGAGTCTTAAACCAGCGATTCCAATAGCTGAATCATTCTCATTGCATCAGCTTTCCGTTGTTTCTGCTTACAACCTTACATCAGCTTACAGCTATTAAATCTACATTACCTAACAAAATAACATTTATAAAAAAAGAAAGAGAGAAAATTAGATTGAATGTATTCTCTGCCTCCCAAGTCCCAGCTGATTGGGAGGAAAGGGGGATTTTGCAGTAACCTTCCCCTGGATTGGGGTGGGAATGGAGATTTTACACGCCTACCAAGCCATGCCCACCAACCCACACCCACAGAACCAGTAGTAAAAAAATTTGAAACCCACCACTGGTATAAGTATGTATATATTTAGTTGTATATAATCCACTATTAATTATCTAAAAGACTCTAAAAGTGATGTGTGATGTGTTTTTGCTCCTGGGTTTATCTCATAATACTAGTCATTCTGCAAAACTCTGACAGATTATGGGCCCAGTCCACAGTGAAGGCCAGAGCGGCTAGTGACTAGTGAGCCTAGAGGAAAGAGAATCCCAGTGTGAGCTTGCACCAGAGTAAGTGGTTTAAATCGTGGTTAGCAGGCAGCATGGCCTCCATCGGTGTAATGGGAGGAGGTTTCCTGGTAGTCTCGGCTGAATGAGATTAATTACCTTTCCTGGAATGTGAAGATGGAGATGTACCTGCGGAGGGAGGAGTTGTGGACGATTGTTACTAATCCACCAGCAGTCCTGGATGATGGGGATCAGAGAAAAAACCAAAAGGCATTAGTCAGCATAATCCTTGCCTCGGAAGAAAGTCAGCTAATACACATGAGGGATCTCCAGTCTGTGAAAGAGTGCTGGGAGGCGTTGTGCAGCGTATATGTGAGAGAGACTGCAGGCAGTAAAGTGTTGCTGACTAGGAGGCTATATAAGGCACAGCTGAAGCGGGGAGAGTGTGTGTCCACAATTTACAGAACATGAGAGGGACATTCCTCGAGTTGGAAGAAAGGGGAATGAAATATACGGAGGCATACAAGGTGTATGTGGTACTTTGTTCCTTGGACAGTTCATGGGACATTCTTGTGAACAGTCTTAAATCCATGCAAGAACAGGACTTAACGATGGCGTACTTGACTAGTTGGTTGTTGGAGGAGGAACAGAAACAGCTGGAGAGGAGACCAGGAAAGGGAGGAGAGAGCATTCAGCACAAACCAGCATCTGCAACAGTCCAGGATGCCGGCAGAGCAGCTGAAAGAGTTAACTTTGCGATGAGATGCTACAAGTGTGGTTCTACTGAACATCTCTAGAGACGCTGTCCTGAGAAGAGGAACAAAGGGGCAGCGAGACAAGGGAGCAGAATTAATCAGCTAACGTGGAGCAATTCTCCAGCGTCGTTTTCCCTGGCAGCGTCAACAACTGAACACAACAGGAATATGTGGTTGTTGGACAGTGGGGCAAGCCAACATATTGTTAATGATCCACATGTGTTTTCTGGTTTGAAACCAGCAAGGAAAACGTGGGTTAGTCTGGCCGATGGACAGAAAGCTGCTGTAAAAGGGGAGAGTAAAGTGTATGTACCAGAAATAGATGCTACATTGTACAACATGTTATATGTACCTGCTTTAGAGCATAATTTATTAAGTATATCCATGTTAGACAGGCAGGAAATAATATTTGCTGAGGGACTATATACAATTAAGAATGAACAGGTATGTGCACAAGGTGTTAAAAAGGATGGTCTGTATGTTCCTGGAATGCAAGAACATAATTGTGCACTAGTTCTTAAAAATGTTTCTACACATGACAACTGTATACACCTGTTACATAGAAAATTAGGGAATGTAAGTTTTAACGTGTTGAGGAAAATGCCGGACATAGCTGAGGGGCTGAACTTAAAGAAATGTAATGCATATTTGGATTGTTCTGTATGTAAAGACTCAAAAGCTAAACTGTATCCTGTAAGTAAGAAAAGTGCTAGAACTACAAACAGGGTATTACAATTAGTTTATGTTGATCTGGTTGGTCCTATGACACCAGGGGTGAAATGCTCCCAGTTCAGACCGGATCGCCCTATCCGGTAGCGATGGCAACGGGTGGTTCAGAGAACCAGTAGCAAAAATCCCTGCGCCCCCCCCCCATGCCCAGCTGAGCTGCACGATCATCAGAGGCTTTTTTTTAAAACTTTTAAAAGCATTTTTTCTACAACCTCTTCCAACGAAAAAATGCTTTTAAAAGTAAAAAAAAAAAAGCCTCTAATGATTGCATGGCTCAGCTGGGATTGTCAGAGCCTTTTCAAAGCATTTTTGTCTGCAACCTCTTGGCCGAAGAGGTGGTAAAAAAAATGATTTGAAAAGTCTCTGATGATCCCAGCTGAGTTGCCTGATCGGCAGAGAGGTATTTTTTTAAAAAGCCTCTCTGACGATCCCAGCTGAGTTGCCTGATTGGCAGAGGCTTTTCAAAGCATTAGAAAAAATGCTTTAAAAAGTTTTTTTTAAAAAAAGTTGGCCATGCCCACCCCAGTCACATTAACACCCCCCCTCAAGCCATGCCCACAGAACCGGTAGTAACAAATTTTACATTTCACCCCTGTATGACACCCTCTTTAGGAGGTGCAAGATATACATTAGTCACAGTTGACGATTACAATAGATACTGATATTGTTATTTACTGAAAAATAAGACTGAGGTATTGCAACAGTTCAGGGAAGGAGTAGCATTCGTAGAACGACAGCATGGATATAATGTATGTCAGCTTCAAACAGACAAGGGGACAGAGTTTATGTCTGAGAACTTTCAAAGGTGGTTAAGCTGTCTAGGCATAAGGCATAGAAAAACAAACCCATATTCACGTTCTGAAGGTGTGGTTGAGAGAAGAAATGGTGTGCTTCAGACAATGAAAAATGCTTTGCTTGCTGATGCAGGCATAAGTAAGACATTCTGGGGAGAAGCCATAACAGCGAATTATATCGTTAATAGGTTATGGAGCGAGGCAGTACAAGAAACACCATATTTCCTGATACATGGTAGGAAACCAACTTTAGGTCATGTAAGAACATTCAGTAGTCTGGATGCATATTCCAAAAGCTATTAGGAGAAAAGGTCAGACAAAGGCCAGAAAGCTTCGATTCGAGCCAGGAATGAAGGGGTACAGATTCACAGATAGTACTAAATGAGTTGTAATCTCAAGGTCTGCTAGTTTTGCAGAGCAGAACTGGAACACGATACATGCTAATCATGAGATGTTCATGCCAATACAGAGTCTATCGGAAGCTGAGACCGAATCAGATAAAGATTTAGAAGAGGATAGAATTATGATAAAATGTGAAAGTACAGATGACATAGATATAGAAGAGGAGAGGCCTGAAACAGTAACACAGGAACACGTAATTCCAAGGAGATCAGAGAGGAGTAACAAAGGTGTAGCTCCTGAACGGTTCACGGCAAGTGAGGTCAGAGCATACAGTGTTAAATATCAACCTCAAAGTTACCATGAAATTGTCGAAGCGTGAATTAGCCTCGTTCTCCCCATGGGGAAATTGTAATTAATTAGAGGTGAATGGATCTTGTTTTCCATGCTGTATACTTTCAAAGAAAGAAAACCCGAAGTATATATTCTAATAAGGATTTATTATAAAAACAAACAAAACTAGATAACTACATCTTTACCGGCAGCTCATCTCAGAGACGAACAAAAGAAGTATAAATCAGGAAGTTAGAAAAGAAAGAATGTAGACATGCGCAGTAGTCCAATGTCTCACAAGACCAGACTTATCTCTATTGCTATAGATAAGTTCTCTGGCAGACTACCGTACCGCTCAGAATGGACGCTCAGCTGGCAAACACATAACACAGTGACAGAAATGTTGTTATTGAAAGGTGTATAACAATGGTGACAGGAGATCGCATTAGGAGTAGAAGTAAATATGTATTCATTAAATATTGTAATGTTAGAGAAGCTGTGAAGGAGAAACCGATCAAATTACAGCATTGTTCCAGTGATTGTAACTTAGCTGATATGTTATCTAAACTTGTATCTGTAGAAAAATATAAGAACTATGTTAAAGAGTTCGGATTATCAGCTGTACAACTTTAAATGGAAGGAGTGTCAGGTAATGTAGATTTAATAGCTGTAAGCTGATGTAAGGTTGTAAGCGGACGCAACTGAAAGCTGATGCAATGAGAATGATTCAGCAATTGGAATTGCCGGTTTAAGACTCTGGTGGGGCCCACACAAGACCGGTACTGTTTTAAGAGGTGTCTATATATAGGTGACCATTAGAGGGCGTATCTCTCTGTCATTGTGTATCTCATTGCTCTCCTTGTGTCTGTAGCTGTATGACAAGGTATCTACCACTATAAGTATGTATATATTTAGTTGTATATAAACCACTGTTAATTATCTAAAAGGCTCTGTGTGCTGTGTTTTTGCTCCTGGGTTTATCTCATAATACTAATCACTCTGCAAAACTCTGACATATTTCTTATTGTAAATACATTAAATTTATATTATACGCAACTAAGATATATATATATATATCGCATTACTTTGGAAATTAGAAATAATTTGAGATTGCTAATGTCCCATTGTACTGTACTATTTTTCCTTTTTAAAGATTATGAATAGCTAGAAATCCCCTCTCCCCCAATTCTAACTGCTGTCTTTATATGTCTTTCCTGATGGAAGAAAAGAATAATGATATGGCAAACCATCCTACCTTCCGGAAAATCTACTGTGATGCTGTTCCATATCTCTTCAAAAAGGTAGGAATGAGTTTGGTTCACAGTGCTGTCCTGCAGGATAGAGTTAGCTAAAATGAGTAAAACAAAAAGTAATTTGGATATATTCTGTGAAACTATTGAAATCTTTCTTATGCAGTACAGTGAGGTGGATTTGGTGATGTCCAAGAAACACAGTATAAGAATTTGGCTGATGTAGGGAAGAAATGAATCTCTGGGAGCTAAAGGGAAGATGAAACAGAATAAACTTTTTCCAGAGACACAGAACTGGCTTTTAGTGATTAAAAAAAAGAATTATTATAAGACTAAACCAGCCTTCCTCTGCTTTTCCCAGATCTGAGGATGGCTGGCTAAGTCAAATGCAACCCTCAACACCCTTCTGCCCAGCTGATCAAATCCCATCATCATCAAATTTTCATACCATCATGTTTCTTTCCACTTTCCCCATATCTGAGGAGAGAGAGGGGTGGGAGGGAAGGAAAGGGAAAGAGAGAGGGGGAGGGAAGGCAGAGAGGGAGAGGGAGAGAGGGAGGGAGAGAGAGAGAGAGAGAGAGAGAGAGAGAGAGAGAGAGAGAGAGAGAGAGAGAGAGAGAGTGAGTTTTAAATATCTGGGAAATAATTGAGATATAAGTAGTTGTGATCATAGAGTGGTATGGTGCCCTAATGCTGAAGATACTCACCTCCCATTTGGAAGGTTGAGAGTTCAATCCTAGGTAATGCTAGATATTTCTCTCCTAGGGTGCAAAGAAAAAATATCTGCTGCAAACTCCATGTGGTGTCAGGAAGGGCATCCAGCCAGTAAATACTTAGCTCCATCCAGTCGCCCTGACTGTACCCTGAATTAAGGGATTACAGGGTTGTAAAAAGAGAGTATAAGGAGATGAGATCAGGCGTGGGCTGCAGCCGGTTTGCACCAATTCGGGCAAACCAGTTGTTAAATTTTTTACCAGTTCAGAGAACTGGCTAATCCCACCTCTGGCTGGCCCCTCCCCTCCCCTCCCAGGATTCCCCCTACGTGCCCTATGTTGGCTTTCAGGGTGGTGCAGGAGGCCTCCCAGCCCAAAATGGGGCACAGGGGGGACATCGTGGCCCAAAATGGGGCCCAGAAGGCTTTGCACGCCACCCCAGGCCCCATTTTGGCTTCCATGGTGGTGTGGGAAAATAGTTGGGATTTTTGCATGCACATTAATGTGGGGTGAGTTTGAAATGGGGATTTTGCATGATCATTACTGGGGGGTGATTTTGTGTTATGATTGCTCATAAGTAAGTAGGAACCAGTAAAAGAGGAATGGAAAAATCCCTATCTGTAGATCAGCGTTTTTCAAGCTTGGCAAGTTTAAAATGGGTGAATTTCATGCTGCCTGGGGAATTCTGGGAATTGAAGTCCATGCACCTTAAAGTTGCCAAAGTTGAGAAGCATGGGTCTACACTAGAGTTTAGGATTTTCCATTCCTGTTTTATTTAGAATTTGGTGCAATTAAATCAGTTGTGGTTTCATTAACAAATAGTGATTAAAGCAATAAGAACCATCACTGGACTTTTTGTGAGAAACTGAAATTAAAAGTTGATCTGGGCTTTGATGATTAAATAAGGGATTATGGAAATAATGTAGACAAATGTTAATCTTAGAGTAAGAGTTTGATATATTTTTTTACTTATATCTGTACCAAAGAAAATTGGAAGTCATTCTTTTTCAGTTTTCCTTCTTTTCCTCTTTCTTTCTTATACTTTCACTCTTTTTCTTTCCTGAGCCTTTTCTTTTTTCAAATCTGTTTTTTATTTGTTTATCCCTTAGCTTTGTATTTTTTTGATGTATTTGAGGATCAAATACTCAGTCATTATAATTCTATATTCCTTATTTACAGAAACCATACCAAAATTTAGAATGAAATTCACTGGCAGCCATCTCATATAAAGCAGGCTCTGAGTCCCTCTAACCAAAATGTTAGAATATTTGTAGCTCAGGGTTGAACTGCGGGGTCCTTAGTGCTCTCTGAGCTTGATGGCTTTCTTGCAGATGTTTCATTACCAAACTAGGTAACATCATCAGTACTAGAAGGGAGTGGAGTTTGCTCTTATTTTCATATACTAGTGGCTTACCCTCTCAGTGTTGATCAGTTGCTTCACAAAAAGTGTTTTGATTGGTGCCAGGTCTCTACAGTCTCAGGCAGAGAAGGGCTATTCTGCATCTCTCCCTCAAATGTTCTTTAAAATAAAGAGTTTCCCAGCATTCCTTTAGGTACCTCCAACATGCAAACTGTGGTTACTCATCCTAAAATGAATCCTCTTTACCTGAAGCTTCAAAATTTGTTGTTTGCTGGGGAGGTGTGTAGCTAAAAGTCAGTCTACATTTAGTGTACATCTGACTTTGGGGATATTTCTTCATAACCAAACAAAAGTGTATTTTCTCTGCAGTTCACACCACTTGCTCGCTGGATCTGGATGTCACAAAGCAAAGCCCACATGTTGTAATTAACCTCTGCGCCCCGTTTTGGCTGGCAGAGTGCTGCAGGAGGCTGAGTGCTGTCAAGCCCCCTGGCCACGCCCATCCCGGCCACACCCACCCAACCGGTCATTAGGGCAGAGAACCGGTTGTTAAATTATTTGCACCACACCACTAGATGAGATCATATTGTGTATTAAATGTTTACGTTAATTGTAATAAATAATATTTCACTGATATTTCATTTTCATCCCCACCCATTTTTAAAATTTTATATAATTCTACTCCACTTTTGCAGTTCCTGGCATACTATTTAGGGTATGAACAAACCATCTTGACTTGTTGTTAAAATTCTCATTAGCCACAGCCAGAATAATCCAACAAGGCTTGGGATATCAGAAGAAAATGTGGTTAGAATAACATCTCAGGAACAGAGCCAATATTCCATCCTCAGTAAGAGCCCTTCCTTTTTATGTGCCGACTTCAGATCCAAATAGAAATATGATGAGTGATAGAAAATGTGACCTAGATGTGTGTTTTTATATATATTTGCAGCTTAAATTATTCAACTTTTTGCATGTTTATCCTGTAGGCTCTTGCACTGTATTGTGATATTAAAGTGATAGCTCTCCTCTAATATCTAAGTAGTCAGAATGATAAGGGAGCAGCTTGATCAAAACTAATCAATAAGCTTTATTTGAAAAGCAATTAAAACTTAAGGCTCTGCCCCATTAGATTGAGTTGTTGATCAGTCCACTAATCTCAGCATCTTCCTATAGATATTCACGTTTGATTCCCATTTATCATTTTCTCCTATCATCTATTATAGGTACGTGCTGTCTATCCAGCAGGCGGCTGGTTTGAAGAAGGCATGAAATTGGAAGCTATTGATCCTCTGAATCCTGGCAACATTTGTGTTGCTACCATCTGTAAGGTATTGTGAAGAAGCAAAAGTGACTGTAGTAATACAAATATTACTCTTGCTATCCTTGGCCCTGATGGAATTGGGAATTACGTGCTTGCTGATAACACTTTTATTAGCTAATCAGTCTTATTCAGACATGGGTCATCCTTATATTGGACCTGGGAGAGAAAGAAATACTCACCTTCCTCCTATGTTGTCATATAGATTTTTCTGCTTTTTTCATTTCTGGGGAAAAAGTATACCTTAATGAATTAAAAAATGGATTAGCTCCACTATGACTTTTTATTGATAGCTCTTGAGCCTTCTTTCTGGTTGCATTATTAGATTTTAAATTTATAACTTCTATAGAAGGAATGGAATATAACTGGTTTTTTAAACTTTAGGGTGCACCAGACTTTGCCCCTTGACATGTGTAAGTAACTAAAATGTAACTGCAGTCAGTAAACCAACAAAACTGAGACAGGAATCTTTGGGGGATATAAAAAGGGGTGCTGAGATTGTTGAACTCACCCCAGGAGAACTTGTCTTGTTTTTGCAATGAATTTGTAGACACATTTTTTCTTTTACTAGGTATTTAGGAGCCCAGTTTTTCTTTTTTTGTGTGAACTAGGGAACCACTATTTTTAAAGTAGGTTTTTAAAAAGTAGATGCTTAGGCTTCATAAGATCTTTGGAAGAAAAGTTCTCCATGGAAGAAAATTGAAGAATAAATTTCTATAAAATAAATGGGATAACATGGCAAGCCACCTAGCTTTGGCCTTTCCAATTATATATCTGCTTCAGATTTCTTCATTTGACTTTGGTGAGGTTGGGAATTGCTACCATAAAATATGTCTTTATCTAATATATTTAGGTCCTTTTAGATGGTTATCTTATGCTTGGCATTGATGGCACAACTTCCGAAAGTGATTCTGAATGGTTCTGCTATCATGGGTCCCTGCATTCCATTTTCCCTGCTGGCTTCTGTAAGAATAACAATATAGAGCTGATTCCACCAAAAGGTGAGATTCCCAATTTGCTTTTTCTTAGTTTGCTTTTATGGCAAAATTGGCACAGTTCCTTTTTATAAGATAGTTTGGGGGGAAAAAACTTGTCACATTGGACCAGCCTGTCTTAACCTAGTGCTTTTTATGGCAGAGTTAGAGTCCCAACTTATTTGAACAGTGGAAGACTGGACAAGGCTGTTTCATACTGTATTTGTGGGTTTTTCCTTTTGGCATTAAAGATAGAATATGATCAGCTGCTCCTGTACTTTTCTCTTGGAAGGGCAGGTTTGGTTGGAATCCTCTTGCTGTCCTCTGGTTGTTCTGAAGAAGAATCTCTCTCTTTTTTTTTTTCACCGATTTTTTATTGGAGATGGTTATGCAAATGTTTTTGTTCATACTAATATTTCTCTTTGCTCTTTTAAATAATTACTTTATTTTTAAAATTTAATTAAATTTATTGACTACCAATCCTAGCACAAGGTAACTCTGAGCGGTTTACAATATTAAAAAGAGAAAATAATACAAAACCTACAGTATACACAATAAAAAGATAAACACTGAATCCTACCTAAAGGATGGGGAAGGAGAGAGTCAGATGAGTGGATGGGATGGGGGGCGTGACCTATTATTAATCTGTCCCCATCCCTCCATTGGAGCCCTAAGCCAAGTGGCACAGTCAGATCTTTAAACTCTTGTGGAAAGTCAGGAGGATTGGCGCCGACCTCATTCCAGGGAGCAAGATATTCCAAAGGGCAGGCACAATGGCACAGAAGGCTCTTCTCCTGGACACCATCTACCAGAATACGCTGTCCAATGGGGCCCACAGCATGCCTCCTCTTCTGGCATAGGTGGGATGGGCTAAACCCATTGGGATGAGATGTTCCTGCAAGTAGCCTCAACCAATGCTATGAAGGGCTTTAAAGATGATTACCAACATCTTGAATTGTACCCAGAAACAAACCAGCAGTCAGTGTAGCTTGTGGAGGAAGGATATTAAATGAGTCATTCTTGGGGCCCCCAAAATTGCCCACACCACCACACTCTGCACTAGCTGCAGCTTCTGAATGTTCTTCAAGGATAGCCCCATGTAGTGAGCATTGCAATAGTTGAAATGTGAGATGACTAGGGATTGAATAACTGAGTGCAGGGTTTCCTGATGCAGGTGAGGCAGCAACTGGTGCACAATCTGAAGTTGTACAGTCACAGTTCTAGCTGTGACTGCCACTTGCTCTTTGAACAGGATTTGCGAGTCCAGAAGAACCATCAAGTTGTGGCCCGATCCATCTGGGGCAGTGCCACCCCATCCAGAGCTAAAAATATCAAAGTACTGGATCTTGGGGCTCCATATAATAAATTCCACAATTATTAATGCTAATCTGTATTTTATAAAAATAGTTTTGGTCTGTATTCCAATAGATTATGTCTTTCTTTTTGTCAGTTATACCTATGAGGATGTAGCATTGATCTTAAAGGTTGCCACTATGTCTTCTGATAATGTCCATCTTTTTCTGATTTTGGTGTGTTAGTTTTTCCTTCCTCTTTCTCATGTCAGAAAACTCCCAATTTCATATTTTAGGATATGATGCTAAGATCTTCAGTTGGACAAGCTATTTAGACAAGACTAGGTCAAAATCTGCACCAGCACGTCTTTTCAATGTGGTGAGTACTGTATTCACAGGCAAGATGATAAAAAAAGTCTCTGTCCTGATAAATAGCAGATAATATTTAATGGAAGCATTTGTGTAACATTCCATTCCCTCATCCCCTTCTTCCTTTTCTTCATGTTGGCTTCCATTTTTATTCACAGTACCAGTCCTTGTGTAAAAAATGTGAATTCAATAGTAACCAATTAAAAATAATATTCTAATTTAATTCATATTCTACTACGAATGAGCCTCTACAGGATCTAGATAGATAGAACCTCTTCATGTTCAAAATGTTTTCTGTTTTAACTTGAGCTCTGGAATTAGTACATGCCTATTTGCATTTTAGTTCTTTCTTTGATTCATTGAATATTTTGTGTCTAGACCATTTTATACTTTCGAAACCTGTTGATAAATTTTCACAATAAAATTTAATGTAGAAATATTTTTGCAAGGATTTAGATTGCCGGATTTAAAGAATGTATAACATGTATTATGTATTTGCTTTTATCTTTTTAGGATTGTCCAAATCATGGCTTCAAAGTGGGTGCTAAAATAGAAGCAGTAGACCTGATGGAGCCAAGACTTATCTGTGTGGCAACAGTAAAAAGGATAGTCCATCGGCTCCTCAGAATTCACTTTGATGGTTGGGACAGTGAATATGACCAGTGGGTAGACTGTGAATCACCAGATATCTATCCTGTGGGTTGGTGTGAATTGATAGGTTACCAGCTGCAGCCACCAGTGAGTCCAGGTGAGAAAAATAAACAGTTGCATTACTGGATATGAGAGAGAAGCTTCAGCCCAACCCAAACCATATTCTTACTCTACGTAAAAGCTTTGAACCATAGCGAGGGCTAAAGAGGTCGTTTTAAGAGGAGCTAGTGTTGGCAGTCATTTTAATAGGAGCTTCCTTTGGAGTGTGATGGATCCCTAACATATGCCATTTTAATCCATAAACTGTGCTGCACCATCCCTTTTGTGCCATGTATGCCAGTGCTTTGAATCTCAGTGTCATTTCCCAAACAATAAAAATGGTAGTGTGCTCTCTCTCCCCAGTGGAGCCACATTTAGTAGGGCCAGGAGGCTATCCAGACAACCTGCTAAAGGGAGGGTGCCTGTTTCACCTTTAGTCATTTGTGTCCGCTCAACTAGGTAGACCAGATCAAGAAATCAACTCCAAGGAGGATAAAACTAGTTTTACTATGATTGACAATATTAATAGAATATTGGAATTCTGGGCTCTACCAGACTAAATTTTTTTCTTTACTTTGGTATGCCATTAGTTGCCATTGTGCATTCAAGTAGGATGGTGTCATGTCCTACAGGTAGAGTGGTAGACACTCGTGGTTCTTCCGGGTAACAGTTAAGTGGTGCTCTCCTGTAAAATCTGCAGGGATTAATCCTGCTGAATCTTACATTTCTCTTTGATTCCATGCAAGCTGTTTACTTGGACATCAGTTTTCATGAATTATTAACTTTCCAGTCTATAAAATAAGCTAGATGCAAGTAAATACCTGATAAAGAAATTGGCATTCTCCACACATTCCAGAAAGTGGAATTATTTTGTGCATAATTTTTTAAATTTAAGCAGTGTTTGTAAAAAAGTACAATGGACTATGGTTGGACTACAAGAAGGGTTGAGAGCGATATGTGCTCCTGCATCCTGATGCTCAAATGGTAATTTAATGGAAACTGCTGACTTTTTCCTTAGACTGTTCACTATTTTCTATAAATACTTCTCCACCGAAGAAGTATTATTACATCCACAGAAGTATTATTACATCCACAGAATACTGCCCAGTGGTCCTGTTTAGGGTCACCCAGACTCTCCTTGGGAAGGGAAGTCCAGAGGTCCATCTACAGGACCGTGTGGAGGAATTTTCCATGCATCTGGAGGATAAAATCAGTCAGATTTGTTCCCAATTGGATACCAAGCATTGTGCAAATCCTGTAGAGATGCCAGGGGAGTGGAATTACCCAGTTATCTGGGAATGGCTTGATTTTGTTGGATCTGAGAAAGTAGATAGGCTCCCAAAAAAATGCAAATGCCACCACCTGTGTATTAGATCCATGTCCCTCTTGGCTGGTTAAGTTTTCCCAGTGTGTGGGTGGGTCATTTGGGTGGAGCCAAGCAATGGTGAATTCATCCTTGTTTGGGTGTGTGTTTCAGGTTCCTTTTAAAGAGATACTGAAGAAGCCATCATTGAACTCTACCATTCTGGACAACTTTCCTCAGTCTCCCACTTCCCCTTTTTAGGGAAGGTAGTTGAGAAAATGGTGGCATTGCAACTCCAGAGGATCATAGAGGAAATTAATAGATTAACTGGACCCTTTTCAGTCAGGTTTGATTGTGAATATAGGGCCAAAACAGCATTGAGTTCCACTCATGAATGATCTCTGGTAGGAGTAGGATGGAAGTGGTGCATTCATCCTTGCTCTTCTTGACCTCTTAGCAGCTTTTGAATCCATTGACCAGAGCTCAGTGCTATCTTTGCTCTTTTTTAACATCTACATGAAACCGCTTGGTGAGATCATCCCTTGCCACAGAATGAGGTATCACTAGTATACTGATGATACCCACTTATACATCTCCATCTGGATGAAGTAAGTGAAGCTGTGCCTGGAAACTATGCGGGCATGGATGGGGAACAGTAGATTTCAGCTGAATCCTAGTATGACAGAGTAGCTGTAGGTGGGCCCCTCTGTATCCAGGAGTTTATAATCTTTGATCTTGAATGAGGTTGTACTATCCCAGGCGGACCAGGTGAGTAACTTGGTGGCTCTTCTTGACTCATGGCTCTTGTTCAAAGAGCAGGTGACAGTTGTGGCAAGGAGGGCCTTTGCTCAATTTCATGTTATGCACCACTTATGCCCTTTCCTGGATAGGGAAATTCTCTATTCAGTCACGCATGACCTGGTCAATTCCTGTCTGGACTATTGCAATGCATTCTACAGGAGGCTATCCTTGAAAAATATCCAGTCACATGAGCAATTCTAGATATTCAAAGAAGGTAACACCTTTGCCCTGCAAACTGTATTGGGTGCCAGTTTGCTTCCGGGTCCAATTCAAGGTAGTGGTTGTGACATATAAAGCTCTACATGACATGTACATGACTTGGAGCCAGACTACCTATGGAATTGTCTTCATTCCATTACATCGGCCCATTCTACTCAGTCAGAGAGGAAAGATATGTTATAGATCCTGTCAATTAAAGAATTCCAACTGGCAGAATATCACCCTGAGGAATATGCTACCTCTGGAGGTGAGGCAGGCCCCCACTCTCCTAGCCTTCCAAAAAGAAAATATGGCTCTGGAACCTTGCATGGGGAGCCCAGAGGAATATGTAGCCATGGGGCTGGTTGCACCGTGAGAGCTCTCCTTTCACCTTTTAAACTAATTTTTAACAAGGTTTAATCATCCTTGCCTCCTTCCAAATTCTATTTTTTTAAACTTTTATATGCTGTTTTTACATTTTAGCATTGTATACTGCTCAGAATCCCTCTCTGAGGCAGATGGGTGGTTCAAAAATATGATACAAGAGAGAGAGAGACAGAGACAGAGACAGAGACAGAGACAGAGATTCAGATCAAATTTAGTTTACCAGATTTCAGAATGAAAATACACAAAGACAAAAAAACTGGGCTGTGACACAAAAAGCCTGTTCCTATTCTTCTGCTTCAGGCTATGAAATTCTTACACAACAAGTTCCAAACCCATTAAGTTAGTACCTGATCCTGGAAACAAGTGGTAGCTATGTCTGTATATTTAGTTGCTGCTTATTGCTTCTTGCATCCTGTACAACATACCATTCTAGACTACTTCTTCTCTTGATAATAGAACCTGAGTCACCTGCATTTGCCAAGGAGGTTTCAAAGAGGAAGCGAAAACCATATGGAAAGAAAAGTAAGAAGCACTTTCACTAAGTATCTCTGTTTCATTTTAATCACAAGGCAAAACTTGTTAATTTGTTATGCTGAATAGAGCAGGGTCTGAAAGGAAAAACAAGAATCTACCTCAAAATAAATAAGATGGAATGTTTCCCTGGGTCAATTTCTCTCTGTGTGATATTCATTGCAACATCAGTCAGTCAGGGACTATTTAGCAGGATCTGGAATGCAATCAGGGCCATCTTAACAGCATTATGGGCCCCGGGCAAAGCAGTGTACTGGGACCCCTACGATAACTACTCGAATAAAAATGTAAATGGTCGATAAAATTAAATATATATTTGCATGTTAGTATTAATAAAAAATGCAGTAAAATGTAATAAATATGTTGCTGTATTTATATCATACAAGGTGCATTGAAGGGTTAACATACACAGATTAGTATGGGGCCTCTATGCTCGTGGAGCCCACTGAAAAGTGCTCCTGTGTTAAGACAGCCCTGAATGCAATGCCTTGTAATTATAGTAGACCCTTGATTTAATAAATTAAAGAGGAAAAGAGGTATACATTAAAGTTCGGTGTCCATTAAAAGGCAAAAAGGATTTTCAAGCCCAGAAATACTCATACATGAGAAGAAAAGAAATTTGAACTGCTGTGGAACAATAGGCAGTGCAAGCTACGGAAGCACTATGCTGAAATTGATGGCAAATTCAGCAACTGCAAGCAAGGCAAGTCAAAGCACTTAAAAAGCCAAAGCTAAAAGGCCACATGGGGATTTAGGATCAAAGTCTGGGGGGTACCAGTACCAGAAAGATCCCCTAGTTATATGGACTCATGCAGTCCAGGACTCAGAGGAACTGGTGAGCAGTGGACTGGACACCAGGGAGTTGTGCCACCCAGTGCCTAGTTTGCTGCTTGAATCCACATTCTGGATCCAGGAGATTTGTCCATCAAATCTCAAGTCAGATAAACCAAATTCTATTAGATCAAAGGTTTATTTTATCCAGGCTAATCATTTAACTAAGCCACAAACATGCCCTTTTTTCTGCCATGTCCTCATGATGTTGCTTTTATCTATACCTATTATAGCTAAAAGCTACCAATCCCTATATTTAACTTACCCAGTAAATCACAAGTATGGACATTCCCACTTGCTGTTATTATTCCTGTGGCAGGTTAAGGTTTGCAAGTGGAGGCAATAAATTGATTTTAAGGGATTGAAGGACTGATGGATATCACTAACTCAGCCATGAGGAACAGTCTTTATATGTTTTTGTGAACCTTCTTAATGGTTTTCTGAGTCAAATTCCGAATTGGAAGAATTGTGTGTGTAAAGGTTTTACATTTTCCCCATTCATAAGTTTTGCAGGCAAAGACTTCATGTTGAAACTTTGATAGGAAATTTTTTGTAAGAAATTCTGGAAAGGAACTTCAGGATACCTGAACCATACCTGTTCTCATGCAGGTATTGCTGAACCACAATTCTTAACTTACCATGAACAGTGGAGAGAGATGCTGAAAACTATTAAGTACCATTGAAATGCAATGCTGATTCTGAACTAAATGTTAGACTTAGTGTGAAGCATTTTCTTATGCTGTTCATCAGGATTCTTTTTGTAATTAGATTGAGAAATGTTTAAGCAACAAATTGCCTGTTTTCCTTTTTTGGGAGAATCTGCAATCTCCCCGTCATATAATAATTTATCCCTTCCACTACAGTTGTTGTAGCAGTTTTGCTATTTGATAGACGAATTACATACTAATTGAGATCTGCTAAAACCTTGCTGCTAAATTGATACTATGTGTAGCTTGGTTAGGTGGGAAATATGCATTCAAGATTGTGGAAGCATCTTTGTTCTATAAGAGCCTGCTAATTGCTTAACAACCACATATCAATGAGTATAAAATTATTGAGCTTTTCTCTGCAGTCTGATAACATTTACAGGACATCACAGGATGCTTTACTATGAGTTTCATACCTTAATTTTCTGATGGTCTTTGTTTGCACCTTGTGGCATCTGTATCCTATGTCATGACTAATTAATTAATTTGTCTCTATCCCTCCTCGTCAGCATTCAAAATGTAGGCTGGGAATGATATCTAGAAGAAAGAACTTTTTTCTTATAGCTATAGATGCCACAAATTAACTCCGGGCCCTTATAGGTACAAATGATAACTACTGTTTTACTATTATAATGGACACTAGTTTTACATGCTTAAAGCCTCAGCTTGCTCCCACTGAAGAAGTATTTTCAACTAAGCCACCCAGAGTCACCTTGTTGTAGGGGAGATGGATGTATAGAAATTAATGAACAAACAAACAAACAAGTTGGAGGGACCGGCTACCCAAATGTTCATAGATGTCTCCAAGGCATTTAATAATATTTATGCTGTTTAGTTACCCAAGCAGATATATTAAATATATGTGTCAGTTTCTAGTAATTATAATTTTAAAATGACCTTCAGTAAGATTTGTATCAATGTGATTAGTTTAGACGTATGATAGCTTAGTACACCTGCTTCATTTGTCTCATAGCTGAGTTTAGATTATTAATCCTTATTGAGGTAATCAACCAGGATCTCATCTGTATCATTTCAGCTGCATTTTGGGAATCACTTCACATTATTTGCTTTATATTTTCCCCCAGAATTGTAGATTAGTTAACCATGAAAAACAATCATGTTTTATGTGCGGATATTTTACAGAAAAAAAATTGATATAAGTATCCCCTCCCTGTATACAATTGTATAGCCCTGATACAACTGAGCTGCTATGAAGTCTTTGACAGAATTGTGAGGTGGATGTATGATTGTTTTTATTCAATTTGCTAAGGAAAAAGGATGACTGCTAAAGCCCGTTCCATCAAAGAGGCAGCTAAGAAAGTGATCATTCCAAAAACAAAGGAAGAAACAAAAGTTACCAAAAAGCTGCCTACTTCAAAATCAAAGGAGGGAACACCAACTGTTTCAAAAATTGAAGCAACACAAGCTAAATCCAAGACGTCTTCAAAACTACTGCCTAAAAGTAAGGAAAAGGATATAGTGCTTCATTTCTCCAATTCATAAACATGAACAGGAAGAGCGTAGTCTTAAGAAAATTGCTAACATGCACATTTCAACTTGCTTAACTGCAGGCAGTTTGGGAAAGTTTTCATGGACAGGTTTGCAATGTAACTTGTCAGAGCTACCGTGGTATAGATAGTTCTCCACTTACGATTGGTCACTTAGTGACTGTTCAAAATTACTACAGACTTTGATAATGGGACTTATGACCCAGATTCAAAGTTATGATATCCACCCTGCTCAGTGATCATGTGACTGCATTTTGGGTGCTCAGCAACCAACCCACATTTATGGCCATTTGCAGCACTGCGGTCACATGACCGTGATTTACAACATTTTTGCCAGAAACTGGTGTTTACTTCCAGTTTCCTACAAAAAATGCCCCATAGCAAAGAATGGGCTTACTTAACAATTGCAATATTAGCTTAATGACTATGGCATTCACTTAACAACCACCACAAAAGAAGTCATAAAATCAGGTGCAGTCAATGGTGACTTGTTTTATGACTGTCAATAATAACTCCAAAATGTCTTCACCTTAAAGATTTATTTTGATTTTCTTTATATGTGGACAATTTTGAAACCGGCACTGTTGCAAAAATACAATTGCAAAAAATAATTTTCAATGTAGAATTTGAAAATAGACACTTTTACTTTAAAACACTAGTTTGCTAAAACTTTATGAAGAAAATATTGAAATCTTGTGGGGAGTTATCTCATGGCTCATGTAATTTTGTTTCTCTGGATGAATTGATAAACAATAACATGTGAATCTAGAAATATTTTTGCTTGATGTTTAGTTTTCCTTATCCATGTATGAATAGCGACAATTATTTTTAGGAATAAAGGTTATCAATAGCATTTTGTTCATGTGTAAGACCTTTTAGATTTTATTCTGTAATTGTAATTTTTCTGTGTTTCCTAGCCTTTGTTGCTGTGCAGGTGAAAGAAGAAATGCTTGAAGACCCAAAGGTGAGGATTGAAACTCCACAACGTTCAGTGCCAGTGAAGGATGAGGACATGGATCAAGAAGCTCCAGCACATTTTATGACTGGCTGCCTAAAAGATGAAGGCATGGAACTAGAGTCCCCAGAAATCCCTAGAGCAGATGAGCAGGATGGCAGCACGGACGTTGAAGCTGCAACAAGCCTTGATACACTTGGCTGCTTAAAGGATGGGGTTAAGGAACGAGTACCCCGAGCAAAGTCTACTGCAATTGCCTGCTTAAAAGATGGGGACATAAAAGCAGAAGCAACAGTGAGCCCAGTGCTCATTAGCTGCTTAAAAGATGAGGATGTAGACTAGAGGTTCAAGCAGTATAAATATCAATGGTTCTGCAGAGCAGTCCTTCACGAATCAAGGAAAGTGAATTGCTGACCTCTTTGGACTCTACTCTAGCTTTTTATGTGATATGATCAGCCTATGAAACAATTATTAGAACATATATTCTATCCCATCATGTAAAAATACAGGTCTACAGTGCTGCTCTGAATACTACTATGGATGAATTTCTGCATTATAAAACTCTGTGGAAAGACAGGGATATGTTACAGGGCATTTGTAATTTGCCTGACCACAGTCATCATCACTATTTCGGTCAACAGTGGACTGCCTCCGAAGCAAGTTATTGGGCTGGTACTCAAGAAAAGTTTTCTGCTGAAATAAATGGCAGATCAGGAAAATGGGTAAAAAAACTGAGGAGCTCAGTGTCTTACTATGAAACGGCATTTTTCCAGCAATGCAAATTTAATATGAAAGGGGCCACATAGTTCACAATGTCTATCTCTGAGGAAAAGATCCACTGATCCCATTCAGTGGCAGGCTTGTGTGGTGGAAAACTCCAAGAAGTATCAGGATTCAATAATTGATTTATTGTTTCAACAGTTGAAAAAGCAGCACACAGCATCAGTCTCTTATGACCAGATTAGCCATGGGCAAGAATGTCAAATTTACTTAGATCTTACACAGAAGACAGTTTAAGCATGCACATCTATAAGGACCCCAACTTATAAGAGGGAATTACTTTACATCTGATAAGGATGCTAGATAGGATGGATATCATTCAAAAGATGATGATACTATCAGTATTACAACCAGTAGTTGAAATGTAATATCTCAGCTTTTGCCAAGAAATTAATTGTTATTCTAACAAGCTGACCCTATGTTTAATTGTGGAAGGAGGAAAAATAAGTCAATCATTTTACATCCTTAAGCCTGAAATGTCAACAGCAGCATAAATTCTGAGAGTATTTGGGAACATGTATGAATCATTTAGAGAGCTACAAAGAATTTTAAAATCCTACAATCATTTATATAACTACAAAGGATTTTAAAATCCTAAAATCCATGAATATGAATCCATAGGCAGTATTTTCTATTTCCTGAATGGAGGAGAGTTTCCCAAGTCAAAATGGGGAGATCTTAGCTACTGTCAACAGAAGCTCTAGGAGGCCTCAAATTATTTGGAAGAGTTTTCATGAGGCCATAATTTTGGTTTCCCCATTCTATGATCTAGCTCTGTGATAGAGAACCTGTGGTATGCAGAGCCATCTCTCTGGGCACCCGAGCCATCGCTTGTTGCTCTTCCGGGTTGTGGCGCGCTGGCCAACTGGTCTTCACACACACGGGAGCACCAGAAACTGGAAGAGCAGCTGGCCGGTGCGCATGCGTGTGCCAGAAACCAGAATATCATCTTCCCAGGGTGCACATGCACCCCGGGCAGCTGCTCTTCCAGTTTCTGGCATGCACACGCGCTCCCGTTTTGGCACTTGATGCTGAAAAGGTTCCCCAACACTGCTCTAGCTCTTTGATAATGTTGTTTGCCTTTCCCTCTACTATTTCAACTTTGCAATATGATTTTTGTAGTGTGACCAGAGCTATAGGTAGTTGTCCAAATTTGGTTACAGCATAGATTTATCCAAAACATCATTCTTCTACACCAGGAGTGTCAAATCCAGCCCACAGGGTGCTTTCATCTGATCCACGGAGCCGGCCTGTAAACAGCAAAGAATCAGCTTGCGGTGCCTCTGCCAGCAAAAATGGAGCTCGGGGAGGGGGCGAGTGACGTCAAGATGACCATGCCCACCCCTCAGCCACGCCCCCAGCCCTCTGAGGTCAAACACAACCCTGATTCAGCCCTCAATGAAATCAAGTTTGACACCCCTGTTCTATGCTTAAAAGAGTTTTTGTGCTTGCTAGGAATTTTAGGAGTTGTAGTCCCAGCATATCTAATAGCCACGCACTAGGAGAACAATATCCTAAGAAATGCATTTGAACTTGTGCAAATAGTTTATTTAGACACAATTCAGAAATAGTATAAATACAGCATAAACTTCATGACTTTATCAGTAAAGTAAATCTTGTTTCCCTAATGGACTGGTCAATTTGTACTGCCCTACAATTACTAGCTGAATATATAATGCAAAATAAATGTGCATATTTTCCAAATAGTTTAGAGACTACAACTATACTGCACATAATTTTGAATGTACTTTGTTTTTCACATTGCTGGACTGATCATTGTAACTAGACAAATGTAGATCAAAAGATGATAGAAGCATATACCAAGGTCTTCCTTTTCAAATTCCTTATCATTATGAGAAACTGAAAGTATGTTTCCATCAAGAGACTTCTCATTCATGCTTCACTTTTCCTTTCCTTAATTCCTGAGCTCTTCACCTGCATCCCTTATTTGGAGCAAGTTCCATCCCTGATTTTGGATACAATTTAGATGGCTTGTTTAGCCTTCTGGATATTCCAGCCTGGGCAACTTTGGAAAATAGTGACAAGCTTCACTTTTTGTCTATATAGATTTGGTGGAGAGCCACAAGTGGCCCCTACTCTCAGATTCAAGTTATCAAGCCACCTGGAAAATAGAGAAAAAGAAGAAACATTATGATTTTGCCAGATTTTACTGCATCTATTTAAGGATGGGTTTTTTGTTGGTTTGGAGTTTTGCGGGGGAAAGGGGTTGTGGACATTTTTTTGTATAGTTTCACATTTGAGATATTAAGTAATTGTTTGTGAAAACAGGGAAGCAGGAAAAAATGCTGCTTGTTTATAATGTTTTCAAGTATGTTCTCAGTACAGAATTACTATTTTCTAGGGAAATGTGAAACATAGTTGATCAGCTTTACAACAGAAGGTTCATCCATCAATTTTATGAGCTTGTATAACCACTATTTGGCAATCAAAGTTTAACCTAGACTAACATTTTAGCATTTAAGATCTATAATTCCTTCACTGAGAAAAGTAAATCAGAAGTCAGTTGCTAAAAAGAAGTGATTGATGAATATCTGTAGTTCGATTTGCTATTCCATTTCCTCTCCTGTGTGGTATATGGTGTGGTATATACCACACCATCCAGTTATATTTATTCCAGCCATTCTACTTATACAAACATTTGAAACTATTTGCAACACAAAATTAAAGTACACATTTTAAAACAATTATTCATATCACTAAAATTCACTATTAGATTGATGAAATATATATACTTTTAGTATTTGGGGGGGGCAAAATATGTTTCTTTGAGGGTACATTCTGTGGCCTGATAATTACACATAAGAATCATTCTGTCTACCAGATAGATGAGACTCTGGCAGGAGAGGCATCTTCAGTAGTCTGTTGTTGAAATCGAGGTGGGACAACAGGCTCTAAGATGTTTTATTTCTAGCACCTGAATAAAATCAGGCCTTTATTACAGTCAAAGACGAGCATAAAGGTGGGATATAAAATATTTAAAAACATTAAAAAATTTAAAAAATTAAAAGGGAGATTTTTAAAAAATCTCAAATCATGTGCAGCTTTAATTGCACAATCCAATTCTTCCAAATTGTTTAGCCCCTCCCCATCTCTACTTTTAAAAAGTGATTGATTCTAGAAAAATAATCTATTTAACAGATCTGATCACCAGGCACTTGTATGATTTTGAGTCAATACAGTCTTTAATAATATATATTAATTACCATTAGCTGATTTTGTATGACACTATTAATAGGTGGTCCTTAATATCTTTTCTTCATTCCAGTGATAAGAAAAGGGACAAATTTTCTAGTTTAGAAGAGGAGTACTGGGAATTAATGACTTACTTGCGTAATGGGAGAAGTCGACAATCACAAGAGAAAGGGATATCATTCAAGTTGATTATCTCCAGAGCAGTGAAGCCATGTAAATTAGGTAAATTGTACATTCTATTTTTCTCCAGATACAGACTTTTAATATTTGGACCCAAGCCAGTGAAGGCCCCAAAAGAAACCTGCCAACACAAGTTAGTAATGATAAGTTCAAGAACTGCAGAAGGAATTTACAATTACCCCAATCCTCTATTTCCACTGACCCATTGTAGAGTATGTGCCTATGTCCAATAATTGTAAGAAAATTAATGTATTTATAATAAAATTAGTGTATTTATAATAAAAACAGTCAACAGTTTCTTGTTTAATTAAACAAAACTTACAGTTGAAGGAGAAAACATTTATCCGAGCTGACTATAATTAGCCTCTATCAAAAGTACAGCTCAAAATCTGCATGCACTCTCTAGATACTTGAATGCAGCCACCTCATCTTATCTAAATGTACTTGTAATGTTTCAGTTGTCACTTGTAATATGTTTTCAGAAGGAAATTATTAAATACCCAGAGTGATGATAATCATCTAATTAATTTACTTTATATCCTGGCCCTAGGACTCTTACCTCTCTCTTACCTCTCTCCAAGTGTAGCCAACAATCCAAGAAATCTGCAGGCTAATATTTGTGAGAATTGTGGAAGTCAGTATTTCACATTTTGATGAAATGTTTTTGGAATGAAAGAATTAATACTGTATTTCTCCTTTTCTCATTACTATTAAGGTGGCTGTACTTCTAGTTTAATTTTAATTTCCTCTCAGGTCCTGCTGTACTGCCTCATTGTGGTGGCTGTTCCTGGGAGGAAGGTGTGACAAATGTTGGGAATGTAGGCCAAGAGGATATACCTCCAGCAGGATTCTTCAAGGCATGAAGACCATCACTGTCTACAGTGAGCAGGCACCTGGAGCAGACAGCCCTTATACAGAAAAATGCTAGAGATGGATGATCACTTCAATGATAATGACAATTTATACTAAGCAGTGGTAAAGCATCCCTGTTTTACCAAGCAAAGCACATAGAAAACAATAGAAAGTGATTGATGGTATAATTTCAGATATAGGGCCCTCAGTTTGGATGATATTTACATGTTATTTTACTTATTTAGGAAGAGTTAATTATGTTTATTATGTGTCTAGAGATTTAGTTATTGATCTCACTGATAGAGAACCAAAGGGAATGTTGAATGAAATTAAAAACATTTAAGTTGGCCAAGATGAAGAAACAGAAGAAAACAAACTATGTCAGTACAAACTGACAAGAAGAGAAACCAAAGCCAAGGAGACAAAGAAAAGAACTTAAGAGTTTCAAAGAAGTGTTGAAAGATCCAAGAAGTAGTATTGCAACAATATGTATAAAGACATTGAAAATGGAAACAAGGAAATATTTCCCAAAAATCTCTAATGTCTATATCCAAGTTATTCTGGAAGGTATTTCCTACTACAGGAATCTTTAGTACTAGAAAATGGAGTTAGATCACACTCTGGTCATTATTAAGTCAGAACGATGTCTGTTGAAATTTGGGAAGCTACAGAAAACCAATAAAGATGCTAATGCCAGCAAATCTGGA